TTTGGACATAGGACCTCATTTCCTAGTGAGCCAGAGTGTTGGAGATGTGTGGAGACACTTTTTAAAATATTCCATCCAGTCCTTGTATTTGCAGAGGTTGCTTCCACTCCACAAATGACCTGAAGCAAAACTATTATTACGGCAGGCTGTTGATGTGAATGTCTGTATTGATAGAATAATTTAAGAAGTAAAACCAACCTTGCATTTGAAGGATTTATGTCTGAGTAACAGGAGCGAGTTGTACTTCCTGATAGAAAGCTTGGCAGTGGTGGACTGAAATCACCTAGCACCTATCTTACCAGCAAAGTATAATTCCGCTGCTGCTGAGAAAATAGTCCCTCAACATGCGACGATTTATGTGATGCAAGGTTAGTTTTATTTCAGACATTATTCTATCAACACAGACATTTACATCAACAGTCTGGTGCAATAATAGATTTGCGTCAGGTGATTTGTGGAGTGGGTAAGACTCTTTTTAGTGGCAGGCTAACTGTGGCCATTGACATGCACTAGCCTAGCACCAGTGACCTCTGCAAATACAAGGACAGGATGGAATATTTTAAAAAGTGTCTCCACACGTCTCCAACACTCTGGCTCACTAGGAAATGAGGTCCTATGTCCAAATTCCGGACTGTCTCTTTAAAGCTCCCATGAGTCAAATTGTTATAATGCTGAATGTTTCCTCATCAAAAACATACCTGGAGTTGTGTTTTGTTTCATTCACACATGTTTGAGTAATTGCATTGTTGGTCTGTATACATCTTCAAAACTCAAAATGGTTTGTTCCACTTTGTGATGTCATGAGAAGTAGCAGTTAACAGCTACCTTTTACTTTTTGTTCAGTAGAGATATTGAGTTTACAAGCACAGTGGAACACTTCCTGAATTACCACATGACATCACAAGGTGGAACAGAGTGTTCTCTGTTTGAGAGAAGAATGAGGATGTTTTGAACGAGGAAACAACATCATTACATAGATCAGAAAATAGCGTAATATGGGCCCTTTAGATGCTCAAGTGCTACTATACTAACTATGAAATCAGGTTTATTTGGAGATCATTAAAATCAGAAAGTGTGGCTTAAAACTTCTTATTGAATATTTAATTATTTATAAAATTTATATATTGGGCATCTAATATTTTACTTATAAGCATTTGACACATCTTTATCTTTGCTTTTACTAAAATTATAAAATTAGACCAATCCTTATCAACCCACTGCAGCTCTCTAATGATCATATAACAATTCAATTTACTCCACAATGCTTTTTCACGTGTTGCAATCTCTCAACACACAGGGCATCATCTGATATCCGTGAAAAGCTCCACGCTGCCTCAGGAACGCCAAGCCCGGGTTAGACCGTCCAACCCCGCCTCCTGCTCCCTCCGCTCCCCCTTATGCCCCCTCCTATGATCCTGCTGGGTTTGTTTTAGCTTGAGTTTCATTCTTCTCTGCTATCACATCGTTCCCATGGCCTTGTGCGCACTCTCACAACCACACCTCGAACCAGGAAGTGATTTTTACAGTCCGTAAGGGTCAGCGTTGGGGTCAAAGTGCACAAAACAGGCGTCCTGGTCACTTCGTTGCCCCATAGGAAGCATCTCTCAGTTTCCTCCATGCTGGTGGGTTTGTGTTACTTTGAACTGCACTTACAAAGGTTGAGTAAAGGTCCCTAATGGTCTTTGGACAGGCGTGCGGGTCACTCAAATGAAAACTGTTGTCAGATGAGGTCGGCGGTTTTCAAATTGTGAAACTAAGTTGTATGTCTAGATTAATTCTACATAATTTGGTCAATTTTAAAATGTTCTAGTTACTTTGTTGTTGCTGTTCATAGAGAAGAAAGTTATACACAGTCGCAGAGTTAATCTTAGGAAGGTCTTGGTTTTGGCTTGTTTAGACCTGGTTTAGTTCAGGTGGTTTTCAGGTGGTACTTGAAAACACAAACTTTACAAACTTTCCCAAAAATATAGTTAAACATAATATTGCTCAGTTGTTCAAATGTGGAAAATGTGTGATGTTATTTTGTTGGTATATTTTCATCTATTTAGATTAGAAAACAATGCATAACAACACAACAAAAGCAAATCTTCATTATAAAGTAGGGATATAACAATATCCAAATCTCTCAGTACAATATTATCACGATATGCATCTTATGGTACGATACTTATTGTGATCTTTGGAGAGGCTAATATAATTGTAGATAAGAATCTTTTTTTACTTTTAAAATACCTTGACAAGGTTTTGGTGTGAATTATTTCCATCCCAAGAATTTATGTAAAAAACATGTTTCTTCATGTTGTTTACACTGAAATGAATCATTGGATTTGTAGTTCCCTATGTTTATAAGCTGTTGCTACTATAAAACCTTGCATTGAAACAAGGAACTTGTAATTCGATATATTGTGACAGCCCACGATATTATTGTGAGAGTTTTGACGATACAATATTACAATATTTCGGTTATTGTTACATCTATAATGTAAACTTTTTGGCCTAATTTTTTACTACCAAATGAGCTTGGAAATCTTGCTAGGAAAAAATTACAGCAACCATTATATATTCTATATCCGGCTTGTCAAAGCCTGATCCTGTCACATTTCAGAAGCTAAGCAAGGTAGTCTTTGGATGGGAGATCACTGGGAATTCCAGGTGCCACAGTGGAACGCCAGTGGCAAAAACTGTTGTTGTGTCCTTAGGCAAGACACTTCACCTGCATTGCCTAGTATGGTGGTGTGTGCGTGAGTGATGTTGGTGGTCGGAGGGGCCGATGGTGCAGATTGGCAGCCTTGCTTCCGTCAGTCTGCCCCAGGGCAGCTGTGGCTACAGTTGTAGCTTACCATCACCGAGTGTGGAGTGAATGAATAATAAACTGTAAAGTGCTTTGGGTATCTTGAAAATATGTCTCTGTTTCTTAATTTCATAACAAACACAAACAAGCCCATTTAATCAGTGATGTTTAACACTAAAACATTTTTTTATCCCTTCAAAGTCTGAATTCCAACTATGACACCTCATACAATGTCGATTCAATTAATTGCTCAACCATTACCTTGTAAAATGTTTTTCTTTTTTTTTTTTTTTTTTTATCTTTGCAGCAGTAGCAGTCCCTCCCTTACACTTCAGTTTAAACCGCCCTAAGCCGAAGGGTATTTAAAGTTATTGTACATCAGCTTAACCTAACAGTGCGTGAGATTTACTTCCTCATATCCTCCATGTTTCTCCAAATCACTGTAACACCCACATTATTGCGAGCGCTGTCAGCCACAGAGGGAAGGCTCCTGTTGATGAGAAAACTCCCATAATGACTGTCACATCATTTTCTTTTTTCACGGACAATTTTGACTTCTCTCCCCTCCCATAGTTGCTTTTATAATTCTGCGCCCATCCGTCTCTGTCTGTTGCTTGTCAGCGGGGCCAGGGGTCAGACAGTTAGCTGCAGTTTTTGCCAGACTGGAATGGCCCCTAGGCACCCAGAGAAAAAGAGAGTCAGATTGCCAGGCGTTGCTTTGAATAGGGCCATAAATAATAATGATTAATAACTGTAGCCTGAGAGACATCAGGTTTTACTCTTAATGTTTTGGTGTTTTCCAAGAGGACTGAAATATAAGACAATGTGAGGCTGCATGCATTCGTCTTGCACTGACAGGCAAGATTTAATTTCAAATGATGTGTCAGTATATTCTGTGATATAAATGATTTTCAAGATTTGCCTATCTGCTTAAATTGGGGTCTTATCTTGGGATCTTATATCAAACTTATAAGGGATATTTCAGCTCACAATTTGCATAAAACACTAGAAGTTAGAGACAGTTTACAGTTTGAAAATATGGGCTGTAGTCCAGTAAAGACGCGCTCTGGGCATCTCAAAATTATTATGAACTTGCTGTTAATTTAGCAAATTACTGATAAACAGCATCTGCATGAGTAAAAAGGCAGATCAAACAGTCCAGTCACTTTCAGGTAACACAATGTATGTATTCTTCTTTTTGTTTCTGTGCATATAAAGCCTTTATAATTCAAATTAAACAAATAAATAGCTAATGAATAGTGTATGAGTGTGTGTGTGAATGTATGAATTACCGAAGTGTATTGGTATGAAATCATATTGTTATTACCCACACTGAACTTCATAACAGTATCACATGTACTTCTTTTAGGAAATGCTCTTGCTCTAAATTTTTTCATTTAGCTGGATCTAAGCCTGTCACGATAATTACTATACTGACTTATCGTTTAATACATGTAAGCTGGAATACATTATGAGGCTCAATATTTAGTGTGGGTACTGTTTCTTTGCAAAATTGGGGAGATTTTTGTTATTTTTGTTGTACTATTATCACTTTTGTAATGACTCTATGCTTCATTCTGTGATTTATTTGTTGCTGCCCAAGCCTTTTAATGATACTGTCTATTTAAAAATGGTTTTACTGGGATTATATTACTTTATTTTAATTGTATCAGTGTATATCTCTATATATATCATGCTTCAAACTTTTTTATCGTGACAGGTCTAGCTGAGCATTCCCTTCTTCTTCAATTTGTCGATCACTTTGACCCCACCCGACTCCGTGCTCCAACCACTTCACGTATCATTGGCCTTTTGACCCCTGACTCTCCACCCCACCCCTGTTTCTTAATGGCATTTATCCTGCTGACGACGCACCTTTATAACCTGTACATGACCTCGAGTACTTTGGTTTAGATTTTATTACTCAGAACAGTGCATCTGCTGCCAGATGATGTTCTGAATGAGTCAGCGCGTACACAGAAACAATGTCACCCGTCAAGTTTGTGTAAAGTGATAATTTCAGCTGTCAGGGAGGCAATAATGAGCACGCTTTTCACTTCTTTCTCCGTCTCTCACACTGTTTATGTTTTGGGTTTTCTTTGTACTCTTTTGAATTGTTAATCCCTTTGAAATCCCACTGGCTTCACCTCAGGGAGTTTTTGGGGTGTCAGTCAGTCACTAAAATAGCATGTTTTCTTTGTTTTTGCAGGACAGTTGATGGATTTAAAGAACTCTGACTGATTCAAGTGGGAAAGGATAAAGTGGACGAAGCCTTCTGAACAGAGGCAGGTCAGACTATGTAGTAAACCTTAAGGTGCACTATGTAACTTTTTGGTTGGAGGGTCTATCACCTGCTTGTTACTACGGATATATAATTTTTCTGGCTGGAATGTTCTGCAGTATGACATTAAACAGCTTTATCTTACATTTGTAGGTAGTGAATGTAGTTTTATACCTAAAAAATACCATAAAAATGCAGGGTTGCCTCTCCTCAGATCTGATTTGTAATTTGGTCTGGTTTGGTCTCCATGAAGATAGAAACATACTGTGAAACATTCCAGGCAAAGCAATAACAGGAGAAAAGCATTTGATGGTCCCTTCAGCAGAAAAGTTACACAGTGCACCTTAAATATGTCATTGGATCTTTGTTATAATATCATTGTTTGAATACACCATTACTTAGAACCAATATGTGTTAGATTAGATTATACTGTTTAGTTTGTCTTTGTTTGTTCATAGTCACAGATAGAATTACCAACAATTATTACTGCTTCCCAACCTAAATAATTTACAATGAGAGATAGTCATATCAAAGAAAGCATGCAAATTAAATTGGTTTAAGGGTGCACTGTGTAGCTTCTAAGGTAGAGGGTCCACTACTTGCTTGTCGCCATGGAGAGGATGTCTCTTTGCTTGGAATGTTCCACCGCATGGCATTAAACATATCTCCCTTGCATTTGTTCAATTACAGGTGTTTTGAAGCTCAAAAATAGATTAAAAAAACATGCATTTTTATTATGTGCATGTTTGCTCCTCCATCGATCTGATCATTAACGTGTCTAATTGTATTATTTCACTGTTTTTCAGAAGGCCTTCTCTTGGCTCACTTCTAGGATCTACTCTATCATCACTGCAGGTGAGTACTGCCTATAACACATTATCCATAAAACACCTTTCGACACCCACTTCTCCTATTGGTCAGCCTCCAAGTGACAGGGTTAGGGTTAGGTCACAGATTGAAATAGCCAATCAGAATGAAGTATGAATTTTCAGAAGAATCAGATTACTTTAGTTACCATTTTAAGGCAATTTAAAAGATAGAAGTATAGAAGAAATATAAAATAAGTTTGATGTTTATATTGAATAACAAATTGCATTGTAATTGTCCACAGTGCCCTTGATATCAAAACTGAATAACGAAGTTTCAGCTTAAGCTAAATGGACTCTGTAACTCTGATATGCACAATGGAAATAAGTTTGATTAACTGCATGGTATCAATATACAAGCCAGTTCTTCCCTTTTATTGTATTTAAAATTAATTCACAACAGAAAGGGAACACAATCAGTTAATTTCCTTAACTTCTTGGGTTCTTTTTTAAGACAATGCAGTAAAGTGTGTTTACCTTAATTTCCTTTTTTTATTGTAACCCAATTGTTCCTTTACCAGGGCGGTTGAACTACAAAGAAGTGTCATGGCTGCCTACGGACAGACTCAGTACAGCCCTGCGATCCAGCCGGCGGGACCCTATGCACCATACACCCACCATGCACAAAGTTACAGTGTTCCATCATACAGTAAGTGCAGAAACCTTAAAAATCAGATTTTTTCATTACATTTTTCATTTGAAATTATCTGTTTTATTTCCATAGATATCAAAACAGAAGAAGGTCTGAGCCACTCTCCGGGACAGACAGGGCTTCTAGGCTACTCAAACTTCAGCAGCACTCCTCCTAGCCAAAGTCTCTACAGCTACTCACATACACACGGTTAGTACTAAAAATATACTTATTTTTATGTCTATTTGTACTTATACTTCTTAAAGGCCTAAATTCAACACTCCTCAACTTAAAGTCACCCATAGCGTTCGTCTCCAGTCAAATGGAGCACATGAGGCTAGAAGTTATAGGAGCAATTTGGAGCCAAGTTCCTTATAAGAAATAAGAATTTATTTATGAATAAAATAGCGAAAAGACCAACATTTTAAGACCAAAATGAGGAGCAGCAGTTTCGGAGATAGGGGCTATTTTTCCAATACAAAGCGAACTGGAGCCGGAGTCGATGTTTTCCTGTTTGGAACGCAGCGGCAAGCGGGTTAGCTATTTATATATACAGTTTTATGATGAATGTGTAAACGTACAACTGTGCAATTTTCCATTTCCATTACAAATAAATATAAGTTGGAAAAAAATACAGAAAGTTTACATAAAAATATCCCCAAATGTTAGTACTGATATCACCGTTCACTACTAATTTCCAGGCAAACTGACCAAATTAACCAATAATTATCCAGAGTGACTTATTCAACCAACTCAAATCGTATCGTATTACAACAAAAATGTCCCCATTTTAACAAAGAAATTTTACACACGATAAATGTATTGTTCCTGCTTTCACATATATTGGTCGATATAGTAATTATGGTTGACAGGCCTATGTGTGAATACTTATCTTTTACTATATTACTTAATATGTCCACGCATTTGGTCAACGCTCCCAGCATCACCTCTGCCTCCCCATGCGACACCTGTTCCCCATTAGCTGCGGTCTGGACTTTTGGCGTCGCACGTCTCCCCACCCGCCTGTACTTTCTCTGGGTCAAACCCCCCCCGCCCACCTCCCCCCTCTCCACTCACACCAACAGCTCAGCATGCACCCTCTTGTCCGCTTGCAAAAGACACAGGCAATCCAGTGAGAAAACATACGCTGGATGGGAAAGTACTGGAGATAGGAGGCCGAAAAGGAACGATGAGCAAGAGGTCGTGGTAAAAACAGCAAATATTAGAAAACGTTGTGCGTGTGTCATATGGCTGTTTTGAGTGGACCGGGGTAGCGCGCATTCCTAGAGTAAAGACGGCGCCCAAACCATGACTTGCTCAGTGTGACTTTATGGCCCCAAAAGCTGCGTGAAATTGACCTTGTGTGATCGTGAGGGGAGAGGTTAGGATGCAGCGTACATGGGGCGAATGGGGTCGCAAATAGAGATGACTAAGTATAGAAAATGCCAGTGTAGTACGCAAATGTGGGAAAGATGAGAACTGGCTTGCAGTGAACAGATCTTTCTATTAGAGTATGAATTACATTAAGATAAGGCCAATGAATGTAGTCCCATATTGATAATTTAATAGATGTGAGGTAGAGAGAATTCTAGGTCAACCATTTGGCTCTGTGCACAGTAGTTAACTAGCTCACGGTGTCTCAAAGCGATTCATTTGATTAAAATCGTTAAATATAAAATAAACAACCTATTAAATTCAAATTAATTAAAGTAAAGACTACTGTTTGCTTTTAAATGTAAAGCAAGTTAATATGAATTTTAAAGTCCAAAGTTATGAGGCAGAGAAAGGTGCAACATTTTTCAGTGTAAATTGAATTGGAGCCAGAAGCGCCTCCATGCTCACTTCCTACTTGGAACGCAGCAGCAAGCGGGTTAGCTATGTCCATTTATATACAAGTCTATGGTTTAGACTAATGTCCCTATACAATTTCTCCCATGCAATGTATATGACATAATTAGTATTAACAACAAAAGGCTGCTTGTGGCCTATTATGTAAGACTAGTGGCTTTGGTCAACTCCTATAGCTCATCTAGCAATATGTCACTATAAAGCAAAGGCACTCTTCTGTATTAAACGTTGTGCAATGATAACCCTAAATTACAGCTTGACAAATCGTCTCTCTAAAAAACTATGGCAGCGAGATGACGTGTTTGGAGATGGATCGTCAAAGTTCACTCTAGTTGAGTGCAAAACCCACAAACATTTAAATATGCTGCAGTTTGAATGAAAAAAGCACCGTTTCCAAACAAAATACTGATTTGTTTGAATATTTTTATCCATATATCATTAGCTTCAGACTTCAAAAAAGGCTTTAAAGCGGCCACAACAACCAAATGTTTGTTGCATCCCTGGCTGTTTCCATGTCAGCCATTGTAGAGTATACATACAACATAGCGGGCGATGCCAGGGCCAGTGCATGAGAAGACTGGCACAACTGAAACCAAATGGGGTTGTCTGTTTATCCAAGATCCTTCTGTATTTGTTGTTTAGGACTGGGACCAGGATTTTGGTTCAAGACAGATCTGCTGTGTTTTCTCTCATGAGTCATTGCTCCCTCAATATGTTAAGTGAAGCATGTTAAGTATAGCTGGTCGGTGTAAGCAAATTATATAATTATTGCAGTAGTAGATGCAGCGTACAAAATGCAGGATTAAAGAAAAAGACACAGCCTTTTTTTTCTTAGTAACGGTCTCACTGACTTCCTGTTTAAAACTTTAGATTTGCCCTACCTCTTTCAATGGACCAAGCAGCTGATTTTCATTTACTTGATTTTTTTTGTTGGAAAATGGCTACGTGACATGTTTCAACCTTATATGACCCGGTGTCCAGTTTTTGGAATAAGCGGAATTTATTAAAGAACAGTGGTGGGCAGAGATAGCAGCTAGGTGACAATTGAACTTTTCTGAGCTCAAATCTCAAATGCATCATATTGTGGACCTCTACTGTTGTTGTTACTATTACTGGATTGGGTATCAGCTAAACTGATATTTGGAAGCTGATATCAGATCCAGCTAATTTTTGGACTTATAATTTCATGTAATAAGACTATTTCTTGGTAGTAGTTTGGCCAGAAAGCCTCATAATGTTTTTTATTTATTTATACAAAGTTGTCCTGTAGTTACTTGAAAGATAAATAACAGCTCCATAACACATTTAGATCAGTTGGGTCTTGTTTTTTTTTGTTTTTTCTGTCTGTTTGTTTGTTTGTTTTTTTCTGGTATTGGTTAATTTTGGGTATTGACTGATACTTAAAGCCATAATATCGGTATTGTAATTTTAAAAGCCGGATCATGCATCTTTTAATAGTTATACAACATACAGTAGATACTAGGGGTGTAACGTACACAAAAAATCACAGTTCTGTACATATCTCAGTTTTGAGGTCACAGTTCAGTTCATTTTGTGTACATTATGGAAACAAAATGAAAAACCATTTGCTTATTGTTTATTTGTGTGTTTATTAAACCAACAATTTGTTTTAACATTATATAAAGGGGAAAATAAAATAAATGCAAGTTTGGTAACACTAATAAGTTAAATAAAATACTCTCAAATAAGCAACAAATGTATGAAATATTATAAAAAATTAATTCCTTGTAAACAGTAAATAAAACTTTTCAAAAGTAAAGCGCAGCACTAACAGTTCCAGCATGAAGTTGCAATAGGGTACGCTGGGCAATAGGCGAAAGTGGGGACCACAGCGCAACAACCATAGTTTTGTGAGGATTCACATGGTCCGGAGGGACATAGTGTGAAGGCAGGGGGCAATCATTGTCAAGGTGGCTGCTCTAACTATAAAGCGCTGCGAGAAACACTGCCACCCCAATCACGGATAAGTTCCCTGGTGAATATTAAAGAGCCGAGCCTTCCGTGTAGCTGCACATGTGGTGGCGGAAAGTAAACACACAAAAATTGCACAAATTCTCTCATGCACAGCCCTGCACTGAACTGTACGCCCCATGTCAAAACAGTTCAAGGCAGTATAACGGTTCGAATACATGTACCGTTTGTAGATACTAATAAAATGTGTACTTAATCAGATAATATTCTATTCCAGGAAATAAAATACTCACCCGCTTCTCCTCTCAGTGTGTTACTTCATATGATATTGACAGTTATGGCTCAACATGAAATCAGATCTAAAACATACGTCCTGTTTATTTTTCACCCATGACGACACTTGATGTAATGATAATAGCTTATGTTTATCTTGCCATCATGTCATCTTCAGGATTTATCACTTAGAAATAGTAGTAAGGAATATGTTTATTTTATGGTGCACTTGGTGACATTTTCAGTTTAAAAGATTTAGTAGCTACTGAAAAGAATTTAAAGGTGCATTGTGTAACTTTTCTGGTGGAGGGTCTGTCAAATGTTTTTCTCTGTCATTGCTCTGCCTGAAATTGCCACAGTATGACATTAAGCAGTTCTACCTCATCAATATCAATAGCTCATCAATGCCTAGAAAAACAGGCATTCTGATTGTGAGCCAGGTCACCTCTCCACAGATCTGACCTGACATTCAAGATAAAGCAATAACATCTCCAGGGATAAAAGTATTTAAGTATTTGGCAGATCCCAACCAGAAAAGTTACACAATGCACTTTTAAATGTATTTGTATTATTTATTTTATTTTATTTATTCCAGATAATAACACATGTTCTGAAATATATGTGCTTTCTGTATTTGTATTTTAGCCAAAGATATTTCTCTTGTTACAGTGGACACGTTTAAAATGCCTTGTAAAGCTTATTTACAAATGTAACCATAAATCTGAACTAAATTAGAGCATATGGTTTGGGAGAAAAAAAAGCAATTTGATATGTTTTGCAAATTTGAATTTGAATATCCCATATTTAGACTTGCAGAAAACTGATTGTTGGCTAGATTGATTTCAACACCCCCAGCCATCCGTCACAATATTTAACAATACAGGCGCTACCAGAGTCAATACCAAATGGTTTCCAAGATACTGCCCACAGGTGCAGGTGAATACAGTTAAGTTACCAGAGAAATAACACAACTAAACAAAACAAAACAGCTTGTTCTTTAGTCTTATTCAAAGATGCAGGGTGAAGAGAAGGGTAAATTGCTGGAAGGAAGACATTCTTTGGCTTGTTTTGAGTGTAAAAGTTCCCAGGGAAGATGTATTAGCAGCAGCAGGTAGTCCAGATTCCCACCTGTATAGTAGTGTCAAAGATAACTCAAGCTTACACCTCCTGGAGCAAGAAACTGTCAACACCGAAGCTCCTAAACTCATTATATTTTCCACAAGGCTTAAAAGATGTAATGAGATAATGCAAAGTTAATCGGAATCACGCTTTCTACAATCTGTTACTGTTCTGGCTGTCAAAAGATTGATACCAGCTGATACTAAAACTAGCATTTGAAGGTGAACTAAACAATTTTCTGGTTCAACTTGTCTCCATGGAGATGTCAGATAGAGATGGAGGAGCCAGGCTGGCGCCACCTAGTGCCTCTGCTCAATTGCATTTCTCTCCAGCAACTAGGTCATGAATCGGAATACACTAGATGGTTCGCAAAAGCCTCAGAGGGTGCGAATTCAGGCACCAGCCAATCAGCGAAGAGCCATATATTCTGTATGGGCAACGATTCCCGAGATCGAGGATTTAAAGCCAGAACAAAGAGAATGTTTGGTGAATTTTATCAAGGAGAAAGACATTGCCCTTCTTATTACGGGATTTGGGAAAAGTTTAATATACCAGTTAATCCCGTTAGCGGCACATTACATATGTCACAACCAAATATCAGCAATTGGTTAAATAAAAAAGTATCAGCCTACCGTCGAGCAAACGAATTCTAACGCTGCAAGGTCAAACGGTTTCTTTTTAAAAGCCTTGGAATCCTTGATAAGCATTTGGTCCTGTAATAATGTGAAGAATTAAGATTTAAAAGTGCTTAATAACAGTTATTTCTTCATGTAGTCTGCACTGACAACACCAAAGGATCGTGGTCTATGTAATTCCCTCAGTTTTTTAGCTATTGCTGCACCATAGAAAGGCAAAGCAAGTTTATTTGTATTGCACAATTCATACAATAAGTAATTACCTCCGCCAAGGAGGTTATGTTTTTGCCGGCGTTTGTCTGTTTGTTTGTTTGTTTGTTTGTTTGTTTGTCTGTTAGCAACATAACTCAAGAAGTTATGGACCGATTTTGATGAAATTTTCAGGATTTGTTGGAAATGTGAAAAGGAAGAACTGATTTTGGGGGTGATCCGGAAGAAATCCTGGATTCTGGATCACTTTGAAATTTTAGTTAACATTGTGGTAAATGGGGCCAAATATTTTGTTTCTCAATATCTCACTTAATTATTGACCAAACCCCATGAAATTTGACTCAGGGATGGACAATGGGATCCTCTTTCATATTCCAAAGGCTGATCCGGATCTGATCCAGAAGACTGATTTTATTCGCAATTTCTATAAAAAATGGGGGTAGTCCTTGGCGGAGGTCTGCGCTCTCTGAGTGCTTTTCTAGTTCAAAGTAATTTACACTGAAAGACACTGAAATTACAAAGAAAAACCACAGAAATATAAATTTAAGCTAAATAATTTTTTTAACTTTTTGCTTAATTTGATTTGTGAGACTTTTGATGATACGATATCACAATATTTTGGTTATTGTTACATTCCTATTTAGAACTTGTGAATAGTTTCAGAAAAGTCCAAATAATTTTACCACAGCCTACTAAAATTATTATTTCTGGTAAAAAAAATACTGTAAGTTTAGATCAGTTATCAAGTATCCAGCTTTATCTTTACTATCCAAGTTAGAAATATTAGAAATGTTTGAAAAGGGTTAAGTAGATGTTAGTTTTGTGACAGCTGTATCAGGTGGCAGTTTTCGAGAATTCACAAAGTTAAAATCTAAATATTTATATTTTGATTTTTCAGGTGGTGGCATCTCATCAGGAATTTTTCAAGGAACCCATGCGATTTCCAGTTCAACGCCATTTAACCACACCCAGCAGGTAAGCCAAAAGATAAGATCTTTTATAAGCATACATGTGCCCATTCTAGCATGTCAGTATTATGATGATGGAAAGATTAAACAGCTGTGTGTGTGTTTTACAGGATTTTTCTGCGTATTCCAGCTACAGTCAAGGCCAGTACTCATATTACAACTCACCCTACAACAGCCCCTACCTAACCAGTAGCAACATCAGCCCCGGCGCCATCACAGCTCCAGTGGCCTATCAGCATCCAGAGCACTCCGTCATGCTGCCCAATCACAGCCCAGAGTCACACACAGGTAGGGAGTGAACAGCTGCATGGTTAGTGGTTTCAACTCAATAGATTAAAGGGGCATTGTGTACGATTTCTGGTGGAGGGTCCATTACCTACTTGTGTCCATGGAGATGTTATTGCTTTGTCTAGAATATTCTACCGTACAGATGAAACCTATCTATCACAAGGGAGACGCGCAGGTTACAGCACTACACTACATTATAGTTCAGATCTGTGGAGAGAGACCCCTATTTATATAAGGAATTATTGTATATAATACTAGATATGCTGATGTTGACAGTGTGCACGTTGTTATCTATGAATACGTGTACAACTGAATTTCTTCAGTTTCTTAACTTCAAGTTCAGTAATGTTCTATATTATATTAGCAGAAGAAACGGTGTGTAGAAACGGTTTGATGTAGAGAAGGTTTCTGCAGTGGTCATCTTATCTGGACACTGTTTTTGCTATCAATGCATATCAGCTCCCATCCAGAAGCCATTTTCATTTGAAAAAGATTCAGGGATTGAGGGAGGGATTACACTGTCTCTTCTAATAAGATAATATGGAACATTATTGCAGTGAAGAAATTCACTTGTATAGATAAAAATGTGCACATTAATTTATTAGCTTCATTAAGCCTCCTATGAACAGGTGTAGAAAATTAACATTGTGGCTACAACACATTAGCATCACATCTGGTTTACATAATGTTATTTATCTTTCCATATTAAATAAATCATTTGAATAAATAAAATATAACATGTACCAAATTAAGAACGTATAAATATCATTCATATGAAAACTCGTCACCCGCAGCAATTGACTCAAATTCAAAGTGGCATAAAATGTTGACAAAACCTTTGCAACAGCAGCTGTTTTGAATAACACCAAACTGACTCACAAATAAACTGTAGCGCGGAGTCCAAGTCGACTTTCACAATGTATGATCATTACAGAAGCTTGTAAGTGTTAATTAAGATATTAATGTTTTCTTCTGTATTTAACAACTCTTCAGCCATTAACACAGGTTAAATAAGCACTAACTAGGTACTTTACAATGTTAGCCAAAATATTATATTATACCATCAAAAGTCACACACTGCCCTTGTGGTCTATTTCAATATATTAAATCACAAGCTTCTTTGCAGGTACAAAAGCATAGGGAACTACATGATCCATGATCCTTTGCTCTGTTTTTGTGTAGACGACACAAAGAAATAACTTTTAACACATTTTAAATCTTGATCCTTTAGAATATGACATGTTAGCACAAAAAGCTGACCATTGTCACAAGGCATATTATAAGGGAAAAAAAATATCTATCTACATTTCTGTAAGCCTCCTCAAAAGAATCTCAATCAATATTGTACTGTGAAATAAATACAGTGATTATCTAATGTACCGTTGGATTTGGATATTTTTACATTCCCAGCACTAACTAGCAATTAATATATGGTCCTTTAACTAAAGTGTAACCATTCTTTTATTTATCATTGACCAATCCAGGAGAGTACCACACACCCCCAAGCCCCCCCACCCCAGGGAAAGAGGAGGGCATCCCGGCGAGAAGAGCCCCGGATGGGAAGCTGCGAGGCAGGAAGAGAGTGAACGACCCCGCGCCCCCTCTGGACTCTGACATCGAGGTACGCTCCACTCGCCACAGTCCTCCATGTTTGTGTTTCCCAGTGAGGGTCCCGCTCACATAAACGTTTGATGAGGTTAGCGTTACATACTGTCCGTGTTATTGCTCCGCAGAGGGTGTTTATCTGGGACCTGGATGAAACCATCATCATTTTCCACTCGCTCCTCACGGGAACCTTCTCCTCACGATTTGGCAAGGTATGAACGGACAGACCCCCGCCGCCAGCACCACACAAACAGCCCACATGTCAGTACAGCAAACAGGCTCTTCACAGCGGCTCATAGGCCCTGGAAAATCCTCAACGCCACACTCAGAAAATGAAAATTGCGAGGAGAATTTGTTTTCTTAGCACAAGTCAAACTGTAAAAACATATATACAAACATGTAGAGATCAAGCTAAAGAAGTGACAAGGAAAAGCTCATTACCAGTATACACACTAGTTAGACACTTAAAATTATAGCATGAAATAAACAATTATGCATGTATTCAAATGTACATGATCAGTCCAAAAAATGTTTTCAGAACAACAAGCGCGTTTCACTTTATTGCTTTATGTCCAACTATGCATATCACCATTCATGCATCAATATAATTAATATAAGATTTAAATTATACTGCAAATATTACAAAAATAAAGTTAGGCTCACACTTCACAAAGGATAGTAGTTGTTAAGTTAAAATATTTAGGCTTATATATATATATATATATATATATATATATATATATATATATATATATATATATATATATATATATATATATATATATATATATATATATATTATTATATATAATTTGTCACCTAATTGAATAATGACAATTAGTTTTTCTTCTTTAATTTTCAACTTTTAGTTTCAGTTAAATTAATTTCAGAGAGATCAGACCTCCCTATTTACCCAGGACAGTCCCAGTTTTGAGCCCTGTGTTGCCTGTTCCTGCAGATTTATTCAAAACCAATGATTTGTCCCAGTTTTACACAAGACATTTCCCAGGTGTCCCTATTTTGGACCAATTAGATCTAAATCAGGACTAAACTAGGACTAAATTAGGGCTAAAATTAGGACTATATCAGTTCTAAACCAGGTCTAAACCAGAGGAGCATCAATTGCATTTGTATTTTGTCTCTCAGATTATACACTGACCCTCATGAGAGTCGAGAATGAGGAGCGTATGTTGCCTCAGCCTTATGTTCCCTCATTTCTAAGTTTTTTTTTGTTTTTGTTTTTCAAAATTAGGCCCTATGTTCCCACATTTCACTTGCATCAGAATTTATCCCCATTTCTCCCAATTTGGTATCAGTATCCTCAACCTTTTAACCAGCAGCAGTTGACTACAGTTACTCTGAATCTTCCCTTTAAATGTGGTTTAAAACAAAACAAAACAAAAAAAAAGACTTGATTTAGAGTTTAATTTGGAGAAAAAAAAATCTTAGAAATAAGCAATTTACCTTTTTGTTGTCTTCATTTAATGATCTCTGTGCAGCACTTAGGAAACTGCTCTGTTTGTAAATTGTACTATATAAATAAAGTGGATTTGGAATTGGATTTGAAATAAGAAAAATCTTAGAAATAAGGGAACATAGGGCTGACCCCTGAGAATGGACATTGCTACATGCTTTTTTCACAGTTTTATTTATACCTACCATCCCAACCAGGGTGAATCCCAGTTTTTAATTTTGAAAATCTGGTGACCTTAATTAATTTCCTAACTCCTATGTGTTTCGTGCACATTCTACCATGTTGGTCTTATTTGACAAATCGCTGAAGATGTCATGATTTTCACACGCTGGCTGTTTTCGCCTCTTTGCCCTCTTGTTTCTTTTCATTCTTGGCTGCGAATGTTTATCTAGCCCCCGCGTCATGCTGTTTGACTGACACTGTAACTCTGTAGCTGTAGACCCAGAACGCTAGGACGCTAAAAACAAGCTAACAATGGCATATTTCTTGTATTCAGCCTAAGGGGACCTGCGTTGTAAATTCTCACGCTTTGCTTAGTTGACACAAAATGGAGGGCCATTTGAGAGCGTTGTCTGGTTGCTTTGCGTTATGTTTTATCATGAAAACATAGGAAGGCAAAATGCAAAAGAGCAGGAAAAAAGAAAAAAAGAGGGAGAGAGAGAGGGAGCAAAAATGTTGAAATTCGACTCAAGTTCAAGAAATTCCTGATTCCACCCACATGCTCCGAACATCCCGCTGCTGAAACTAAAAACTCGGACAATTTCAGACTTCAAAAAGCAGAGAAGGAACATAAGAATTAGACGAATGATTGTGGAAAACAGATTAACAAACCAAAATCATTGCAAGTCATAAAAGCCCTCTCGCTGCTGACGAATCCCTTTTGGCCCAAATTATTTACCGCTTTATCAATTTTGCGCTGCTTTTCTCACAAGCCAGGTCCTTCCCATTTCTGTCAACCACTTCAGTTTTTACCATAAACAATGGCTAAGAGCTGTACTTAAAAGCAGGTTGAGGAGCAGAGGAGACTAATGGTGTGCTGAAAGATGGTAGTTTTCAACAGTCTCTTCTTCGGCCAAAAGTGAAGCTTCAAGAGTTCCATGTTTCGTGGGTTGTAATGAGTCCTCCATTGTCAAATTTATCATGCACCAAGTTGTTTCTTCTGCTGTTGTTTTTGTAATGGTGGTTTTAAATGTGCCGTTAGCATTTGTTATAGATGACGTGAGTTAAATCAGTGTTATGTTTACAGTAATGCTTTTGCTTAAAGGTCCTATATCATGAAAAAAAATTCTTGAAAGATTTAAGCCATGTTGGAATCAAAAACATACCTGGAGTTGTGTTTTGTTTGAGTAATCCTTTATTATAAGTCTGTCCACATATCTAAACTCAAAATGCTCTGTTCCACCTTGTGATGTCATGAAGCTGGTGTTTACATTTTACATTTAGTTTAGTAGAGATTGGCAGTTCCAGGGCTGAAATTATCCAAATGATTCTATTGAAGTGAAGGTGATATAGTTTACACAGTGGAGCACTTCCTGTATCACTACATGACATCACAAGGTGTTTGAGAGAAGAACTAAATATGCAAGGTTTGTGTGCTAAACATGTAACCTGAATAAAACAAAACAAAACTCCAGATTTGTTCTTTGATGAAACAACAACATTATAACATAGATCAGAAAATAGCATAACATGAGTCCTTTAAATGATACACATCCATGTTTTGAAATTTCTTTGCTGATATCACTCAAGTAGATAGACTAAAATAATTCTTTTATAATTATATTTACCAAATGGGACTGTATCCAAATAGAGAATGTTGTTTTTTTTTTTTTTTTTTTGCACACAACGTTTATTTAAAAGATACACTTGTAACATTTCTGGTGAAGAGACCAGTGGCATTAAACTTATTTATCTCCATGGAGACAAGTATGTGATGCCACCCGGCCGAGTTATAAGTCAGAACTATGAAGGGATGAGCCTTCTCACTGTAATAATCCTTTCTTTTGTTTGTTTTATGTTTTTATAGCAATGAAAACTGTCAAATTGGAATTAAAGCAAGCCAGATATGATTAAAGCCATACTGTGGGGCACTGCAGAAGAAGAAAAGATTAAGTAGAGCTGAGAGGTCAAAACAAAAGGAGATAAATTATGCAGAATCTGAATTTGTAATTTCAGTATAAAAATTATACAGAGACAAAACACTGTACTCAAGTCCATTTTATGAGCAGCGTAACAAAAAAGTACAATAAATAGTTTGAAATATGGTATGCCAAGTCTTTAAAAACAACCCCCACCCACCCCACCCATACAATCTCTAATAATACAGATACACATGTTTTTCATTTTTATAGCAATTTTTTTAAAGCTGTTATTATGTCATCAGATTTATAATTATTAACCAGGCTTAAAACTAGTAGGTGCAATTTACAATGTCATTACAAAGTGTTATGGAAAGTTCACACAGCGTCATTTGCATAAAATTAGTGTTAACTTTGGGCCATTGTTGTTTCTTCAGAAATCTCTGTCTCGAAGCGTTCCCTGTCCCCAACACCACTTTATAAAGCCATCTATTGACAGAGATAATTACAGATAATAACTTAATTATGGGGCTGGAATGGTAAACCGCTAAACCCATAACCCCGCCCTCTTCATTCAGCCCTGCATTTCACCTCCCCTCCTTGTTATGCTAACCTTTTGACTCCTCGCACCTGTATTTGGCATAAAAGCGCCGGCATGCAGAGGTGGAAGCAAGTATCTGTACTTTCTCCACTACATCTTTGAACTGGACTGAAAAGTAAAACGTATTCTTCATGTGATTTTAAGAGTTATTTTGACCATGTTTGTGTTTCAGTAAACAAAAATGAATACACAAAATTCATAAGGAAACTAAGAAATGTTTTTGTTTAGTCACCATTGACCAAAATCTGTATAATTTTTTAATCAATACTTTTAACACTTTAACAATTTAATCACATTTTCACCAAATCTGTATGAATACTTTAACTTTTTACTCTTACTTACGTACATTTTCAAACGGGTACTTATTTCCTTTGTGATACTTTTACTTGAGTAACTTTCTGCCTCTGTATCTGTACTTTTACGTAAAGGTGCATTGTGTAACTTTTCTGCTGGAGGGTCCATCAAATGCTTTTCTTCATGGAGATGTTATTGTTTTGTCTGGGATGTTTCACAGTATGGCATTAAATGTTTTTATTTTCATGGAGATCAAACTTGACCAAGTTACAGGTCAGATCTGTGGAGAGGTAACTCCACTCACAGTCAGAATGCCTGGTTTTCTAAAAAATTTAGCTGTAAAACCACCTGTAATTTAATATTGTAAAGTGGAGCTGTTCTATGTCATACTAGGGAACAAAAACCTCAACCAAAAAGTTACACAGTGCACCTTTAAGTAACAAAACTGAGCACTTCATCCGCCATTGCCGACCAGCAGCAGCTGTGGTTTACCGTTGTCAAGTCTTCGTCATTTTGTTTCTCTAATCTGCTGTTCACCTTTGGCTGACACTGGCTCATTTGACTTGCTTTGTTGCCAAATTTCAAGGCCTCATCAAAACAATACGGTGCGCCCACACACCTGCTTTTGTATTCTTGCTCAATAACATATCTCTACTACTTGACAGTTTTTTGATTTATAGCCCACGTGAATTATAATGTCCCTGTTAGGAAACTGAAAGTTTGTTTCATAATGACAAATTAGGTCAGTTCGGAGAGTTTTTGAGGTGAACCACAATTTGTTAAGTGTGTGTTTTCTTATTGACATGTTATGCAATTTAAGAAACAGATGCAAAATGGATGTGTATAATTTGTGTTTATTCAAGCCCCTCAGCATTTTCTACAAAAGTCACAGTATCAATTAAAGTACTGTAATTTAGGTTAGACTAGTAATTGCTCATAGTTAATATCACTGGATTACTTTTTTTTTTTTGCTAAAATAATCTGAATATTCTTATCTAGTTTTGCAATTTTGGTGAATTTTATCATTTTACCTCCTGATTGGGTGTAACATACATAGAGGTATGTTACCTATAGCAACCAAAATGTTAAAAAGGGCCAAAACTTGTCTAAATTACATAATAGTTATGATTAGAGATATGAAAATAAATTATGGCACCTTTATTTAGTTAAATCACAATTTAAACTGCCAGAAAAACACATTCCTTGTGTGTAAATTGTCCATGCATTTTGGATGGATTTAATAACATAATATGTCATAGAGATATTTTACTCACTGTAACTTCCTGCAATTTACAACTTTTTTTTTACTTTTCTTCACAAACTGCCACTTAACTGATGTAAAATTCTGATAATTATATACCACAAGTACTGTCACATCAAAAATATATTAATCTGTCAAATGCACTTTAAGCCTATGCAGTTTTAATGAAGCAGTTTCATTATGGCCTAGTATATTATATATATTTTTATTTTTCCATTATAAAATTTGTGTAACCTGTTTTGTGTGCTTGTTTTTGTGTGAGTGAGTGTGTGCGCGCCAATCCGTTTTTACTGATAGTTAGATAGTTAAAGGTTGTATAGAGGATTTTTTTAAGGGAAGAGAAATACAGCGACAGTCCTTGTGCGCATTCAGAATTACTATTGAAGTGACCTGTCTAGAAGTAATTCAGCGACCGACGCGTCAGTTTTTAGACCCTTCGTCTGCTTCGGTCGTTCCATCGCTGGACGAGATCTCCAAGAATCACCTCAGTTTGGCTTTGCTCCTTTTCTCCTTCTCTTCTTCTTTCAGCGACCTCAAAAACAGACTTTCTTTTGCGGCGAACCGGTCGTGGATTCTCGTCCGCCGTCACAACAAACTTTGTGCGAAATGCGAGGAAGCGACAGTTAGAAAAAGCCTCTAAGAACTGCTGCGTAAACCACGTAATCCCCGCGCTCTGACGAGTCAGTTATACTAGGGAGTTTGATTGACAACCTAACAGCCAATAGAAAATGAGGGAGCCTCGTTTTCTATTGGCTGATGTTTATCTGGCCTCACTATGTCCACAGTTGATAGATTTTCATTCTTTTTTTTTTGGTCATCATAATTACAAAGCTGCTGCGTCTCTGTAATGGTATTTTAATCTTTCACTGACAGTTTGAAACAAAAAAAAATTCCTCCATACAACCTTTAACTCGATAGCTAAATAGTTTTTTTAGGTAGTTAGATAGTTTAGTTGCTAGAAACTTCTGCAAATACTCGACATTGTATGTTTTGTATTTTATTCCTCAGGTTCCGCTGAACACAGTGTTTGCTTTCAGGTAGCATGTCACCAATCAAGCAAAAAGATGTTACCATGAAATGAAATCTTATACAAACAACACTAAGTCAACATTAGCAGTGTCTGTGCTTATTTCACAGACTGGTACCAATCGTCAATATCAATGTCAATGTTCAATAAGGAAGTGTTTGGCTTTTTTAATACAGATAAGAATCATTTGGGGGTTTGATTGACAACAGCATATCTGCACCTGTCTATCTTTGAACCACCTCAATCAGTCGATTTAATACTTTTGAAAACAGTTTTGAGGAGACATTTCGGCGACGTTTTTGACAGAGCAGTGATATTATCAAGAGTAATGGCGTTTGATAATGATTTGAATGCAATACCGAGCTTCTCAAACCATAATTCATTACTTAATTGATACCATAACCACACCTAAATGAAAAGACAACTGTTGTGATAATATTGTGTGAGTGAACCAGGTCAAACCACACGCAGTAGTTTACAAACTCTAATGAAGCTACGGTTGATTGACAGTTACGACATTTTTTGCCCTTAAGATAGATCGACTTTAGGAACAAGCCCAGGCACATGCTTAAAGGGCCCATATTACACTATTTTCTGATCTATGTTATAATGGTGTTTCCTCCTCAAAAATATAATTGGAGTTGTGTTTTGTTTCATTCACACATGTTCAAACACACAATACCTGCATATTTAGGCTTTCCCAAACTGAAAACACTCTGTTCCACCTTATGATGTCATGTGTTAATACTAGAAATGCTCCACTCCATTCACTTTAATTAGAATAATCTAGAATTTCAGCCCTGGAATTGCCGCTTCCTACTGAATAAAAGGTAGGTGTTAACTGCCACTTCATGACATCACAAGGTGGAAAGAACATTTTGAGCTTTGCAGATGTAGACAGACTAATAATAAAGGATTACTTAAAAATGTGTGAATGAAACATGTTTTTGTTGAGGTAACATGACTAAAGCTCACAAAAGTAATTTTTGCATAATACAGGACCTTTAACAAGTCACCTTACTCTTAAACACGTTGGTTTATGTGTGATTTTAGTAATTATTTATTGTACATAATGTTAATATTTGTGTTTTTTGTTGCTAGGATTCATCGCGTGCTGTGTCACTTGGTCTGTGGATGGAGGAGATGATTTTCAATTTGGCTGACTCCAGACTCTTCTTCAATGACCTAGAGGTATATATATATATATATTTTTAAAAGCCTTTTAGGACCCTTACAACTACCTGTTTGTCTCCATGGAAATGTTATTGCTTTGCCTGGAATGTTCCTTAGTATGGCATCAAACTAATCTATTTGGCATTTATTCAATTACAGATTTAAAAACATAAAAGCATATATTTTCAGAATGTTTTGATTGTACAAAAATCTGCATCCATACTGTGAGCGTGCTTGCATCTCCACAAACCAGGCTCAGAAGTAGCCGAGATGAGTGTCTGTATCCATCTGCTTGTCGCCATGGGAATTTATTTGTGTTTATCTCTGCCACCACAAAAAAGTTACATAGTGTTGTTTTAAGTTTAGTGCCATAATAGAACTTTAACTCTAAAAAGCAATAACATCCATGAAGAGAAGCAGGTTATGGACCCTTATTCAGAAAAATTACATAGTGCACCTTTAACCAGACAGTTAATCACAAAATGATGTTAACAGCTGCTTGAGACTAATCCATGATTTCATTTCTACATTCTTTCACCTTGTTCTAACACAAAACGACACGCGAAAACAAAGTAAGACAAAGCCCACTCAGAGCAGCGATAATTATAGGGGGAGCGCAGCCAGACACGCCATTTTCAAAGCAGGTTTTATCCCCTCTTTTGTTGTCAGAGCTCAGTAAATCTTGGCCTCAGAGCTTTACTACCATAATGTCACTGCTGCCTTATGGTTCAGAGTATTAGCACAAAAAAACAGATCCGCACTGTAGTTCTTCTGAGCTCACAAATTTGTATTTTAATGACGCCACAATGTGAGGTTTCGGGGTCAAGCCCTTCTTCAGACGTGTCATTTTTTTTGTCTTTGGACCCAGCACGTAGTCTCAACTTTTATTGGATGTTCATGTCTCTGTCTTTCAGAGTTTTAGCACGCCACTGACTGTAACTGAAGATTATAGCTATATGAAACCTAGTATGTGATGTATTTATAACAAGATAAGTCAGATTATACAGAATTGGTTGATTGCACAATAACAGCCTTTTTCATATTCATAAAATGTTTACAGTCTTAAGTGCTGTTAAAGTATTTGTTTGTTGTAGACTGTTTTCTTCACTCAACAATTCTCAACAAAACACTTGAAGAAATTATTAATTTGTATATTTCATGTATGCTTTTGTAATCAAATTTCAGACTTAAATTCTTAAAGCACTGGCATGTCATTGTTTTACTGAGTATTTTTCTCAGGCTTTTAATTTAAATTAAATTGTGTGAGGTAAAAAATTTAAAATAATAAACATAAACTATAACTTTCCGATTACTAAAGCATTATTAGTTGTGCATCATAACTTCATAACTTTAAAGGTGCACTGTGTAACTTTTCTGGCAGAGGGTCTATCACCTGCTTGTTTCTATGGCAATGTTATTTCTCTGTCTGGAATGATCCACAGTATGACATTAAACAGCCCTACCTTACATTTATTCAATTACAGGTGATTTTATAGTTCAAAAATACTAGAAAGAAAGGTATTCTGGCTGTCAGGCGAGGATTGCCTCACTGCAGATCTGACATGTAACTTGGACTGGTTTGATGAGATCTGGTTTTCATGAAGATAGACAGGTTTAATGCCATACTGTGAAAAATTCCAAACAAAACAATAACAGGAGAAAAGCATTTGACAGACTTTCCACCAGAAAAGTTACACAATGCACCTTTAAGTATCAAACATGAATGCATTGTAAACCGCTCTATTTCAAAAATACCTTGTTTTAAAATACATTTGCTGCTTCATTCCATCACTAGCACACATATTAACCAGTTCAGCAACCATGTAATTTCTGATCCAGTATTGGGGATTGACCCAGTGGGGTGATTTACACACGGGAGACCAGAGCAGCCTTTGGGAATAGAGAGAAATGCACTGACAGCACCAGGGGGATGAGGTAGTGTCTCTGTCTGCATAAGAAACCTGATCACTGAGCCTGTCTGTCTGGGGTAACCGCATCACAACAATGACAATGTTGTGTATTGTGTGTGAAGTATTATCAATAGTGAAAGGAAACAAAACTGCTATGACAGCTACACTAAATAATTAGCAGGTTGTGGCTGGTCTGAAGGAAAGGTATTTATCTGACGGTATTTTGCGAATTAGTTAGGTGTAATGTTTACTACATCGTTCAGATTTATATTTTTATTTGAAAATTGTTTTTTTCCCAACACATTTTGCTGTTAGATTTGTGATACTTTTTTTTCATCATTATACAAAAACGAGAGCAAAAATTAAACAGGCAAATAAACAAAAAAACTCTTCCACACCCCACTCTTCTTGATTTGTGATATATTTTTGAATAAAGAATAATTTAAGAAACATGAATTATCAACCACTAAACTAATACACATTTTAGGGCGTGTTAGTTGAGGCCTTAACTGCAGGGTTAATAGGTTGTACACATAGACCGTATATATGAGTTGACATGAGTGGACAGGAAGTTCGCCAGGAGGCTCTTCCAGCTCCTTCTGACTCTGACTCCAATGGACTTACATTAGGATCTTGTGGCTCCTCTCTCTGTAACTGCTGTAGTGAGCCTCGTCATTTTGGTCTTAAAATGTTTGTATTAATCTGCTCTAAATGATCCTGACTTCTTTTTTTTTTTTTATCGCTATTTTGTCCATAAAAAAATCCTATTCATAACATAGAACCTGGCTCCAGATTCGCTCCTGTAACTGTGAGCATCTTGAGCCTCATTTGAGCGACGCTGAACGCTGTGGGTGACCTCACACTCGCTTAGTCCACTCACACTCGCTTAATCCACTTCTTTTACACAGTCTATGGTTTTACATAATAGGACCTCATTGAGGCATATTTTAGCACATTTTATTGTGACCATAACATTTTGTAACAGTGATAATAGTATATGGCAGAACTATTACAACATGCTATCCATACTCCATTAGAGTAATCATTCATTTTAGTGTAAATTGTAGATTTTCTTTAAAAAAAACTGTATGATAAATGTTTCCGCATCTTGTAAGAACATTGTCATTTGTACTTGCTTGGTCTGTCAAGATGCAAAAACCCAAGAGCAGATACCACAAAATCACAAAACCACACAAACTATTAACACTTATTCTAAAAGTGCATTATTATAATATAGAAAAAATAAGTAAGTAAACAAATACAGTGAATAAATAGCAGAATTAAACACTTTAGTACCTACTTTGCTTCTGTAATGAATCAGAGTTATTAATTTGACCTTTTTTGACTGAAATTTCAAAATATAACCCAATATTTCCAAGTAGTGCATTTTTTTTTTTTTTTACAGATGATGTATTGAACAATAAATCAATAGAGTAATTATTGTGACAGGCCTAGTCCTTGCATACTTTCTCCACACAATACAGTCATTCAGTTAAACTTTGACTACCAAATATTTGGCTTCCTCCTTCCTCATCTTTATTTAGGATTTTGATCCCTATCCTGCTGCGTTCTCTTTCAACTTTTTCTTCTTTTTTTAGTGCACTTGCCTGGACTTTGTGAAATAAATCTCTTTACAAATTCGTTTTGCTTTTTCTTTATTTTACCAGGAATGTGACCAAGTTCACATCGATGACGTGGCTTCAGACGACAATGGACAAGACTTAAGGTAATTTTCTTTTCAAAGTTTTTTTTTTTTTTTAAACCCAACTTCTCCTATGTCTCGTGAACCAGACATGCCCTCTCGGAGTTGTAAAGAAAAAGGGAGAGATGAGATGCGCAGTGGTTTAACTTCTCTGGTTCTGTTCAAGCTTGTATGTACTTTTATTGTACTTCCACAAGCGGATAGTATGTCCAAGCATTAGCCACCCCTCTCAATTCCCATCAAAATGTCTCTTTATCACTCTCCCTCAGTCCAGACAGTTTACAGCACAAATCTAACCAAGCATTCCCAACTATTTTTAAAGGATAGAAACCAGACGTAACTTTTTATATCGTATTTATTTGGTTGAGTTATTATACGCTTTCCCTTTTCAGTGGTCATATGGTTTTATATTCACACAGACTACAGCATTAGGATTTATTGACAAGTCATCATTCACAGCTTCTCAGAATATGAATTTTATTACGGCCTGACATGTTTGTGGTGGCACCAATCATTTTTAAATATCGGATAATGTTACGGTTTACAGCCGTGTCTGGTCTAGCAGCGTTAGCTTGACTTGCGCTCATAGATATTACAAAAGTTTTGCTCAAATTCGGCGCAGATTTGATTTTATAGAATTCATTATATCAGTAGTTTTTGTTTTGTAATTACGTGATCCACAATTTTGAATTTTCTCATAGTTTTCTTATCGCACTTACGGTAATTTTATTAGTTAGATATTATTGAAGTAAGACTACCATTATTTCAAAACAATATTACTCAAGTAAAAGTACACAGTAGTGGTCCAATATATTACTCAGATAAAAATCATTGTAAGAGCAACTGTCTGGACACAACATCTGATTTAATGTTACACAAAGCAATGTTAATTTGAAAGAACAGACCAAAAAATGGAAAAATAATAACAAATAATCACAAGTTTTACTCAAATAAGAGTACTGTTACATTAAAATCATTTCTCAAATAGTAGTGAAAGTATGGTGGTGGAAAAATACTCAAAGTACTATTATACAAAAACAGTGTCAGTAACTGTCTAGGAAGTTTTTTGTTTTGTTTTTTTTTTTTTCAGTAATATAAGTGTGTTGAAACATATTATAATAAAAACTTACCTATATGTTTTTCTCTCCCTCTTGTAGCACTTATAACTTTGGTTCGGATGGCTTCCAGACCCCAGCGGGGGCTGGCTCCCTCTGCCTGGGGTCGGGGGTGCATGGGGGTGTGGACTGGATGAGGAAACTGGCCTTCAGGTACCGTCGGGTCAAGGAGATCTACAACACTTACAAGAATAATGTGGGAGGTAAGATGCAAATTTATGTTACGCAGCATTTAATCTTAATCTACATTCAACACTGGATGGCATGTTGATTCTAACATAAATTCTTATTTACTATTATAGCATAATTCAACATTAAAACATAGTATTGTATTCACATTCACATTTGTTTTTTTTAAGGACATGAAGGACAGAAAAAGTGCAAAATATCTGAACAATATTATGCAGTGTTTCCCAACCATTATTTTCTGGGGACCCATATTTTAAAAGTCACAAACCTTCACGACCCAAGACAATAGACATTATTCATATTATTCAACAGTAACTGAACCAGCAATAAAAGGATCCATAAGTCGCTTATTTGGACATTAAATGTAGCCTATTTCTTTTTCTTTTCAACATTCAATTGAACCAGCAATATGGGAACAAAATAGTCAATAAAATAATTACAAAAAGATTAGAAATTATACAAAAAATGTCTTAACATTTTAACTTAATTGCAGGTCATGACAAGGGGACCCCAAAAAATCTTTTGACCGATATAACGTATATATAACATATAATTTAACATAACATGAACTGAAGAAGCAGCTTGGAAACATATTCAATCAAAAAAATGTATGTCGAGTTGACAGAATTGATTTTTTTCCTTTGCTGTTATAGCTCTGCTAATGAAAACTACTTTAATGGGAACAAAATGGTTAATGGCTCAATAAATGTAAAAAGGTAGCTTTAGACATAAAGCATTAAGTGAGAAAAACTATCAGAAATATAATTAAACACTTTATGCTTTTTAGTAATAGTTAAAAGACCCATATTATGCTACTTTCTGATCTTTTTAAAAAAAACTTGAGTTGTGTTTTGTTTCATTCACACATGTTTAACACACAAACTCTGCATATTTAGGCTGAGCTCTTCTCTTAAACAGAAAACACACTGTTCCACCTTATGATGTCATGTGGTGATACAGAAAGTGCTCCACTTAAACTCCATACAACTTCAGTCAAATTATTTGGATAATTCCAGTCCTGGAATTGCCAATCTTTGATGAATTAAAGATAAAGGCAGATGTTAATCTGAAAACTATCACTTCATGACATCACAATGTGGAACAGAGCATTTGGAGTTTGGAGATGTAGACAGACTAATAATAAAAGATTACTCAAACATGTGTGACTGAAACAAAACACAACTCCGGATGTGTTTGTGAGAAGGTCACAACAGTATGACATGTCTTAAAGCTCACAACTGTCAAGTTTCTGTAGTACAGGGCCTTTAACAATGAAAATATGACCCTTAACCTCAGGTGTTACCTAAAATTATGCCTTGCTGAATTCAAAGTCTAGACAAAAACCCATTTCCAATGTCACAATGCCCCAGATATTTATTTTTCCCTTTAAATTCAAATTCAATGTGATGTAAAATTGGACTTAGCTCAAATATATAAAACAGATATGAGCACAAATACAGATGTTGCTCTATGTCTTAAACAGATGCCACAGTCACAGTTTGTAGTAAATATATTACATTTTAGGGCCGTATTGTTTTCTCCTATTGAGTTTTGGTCTTTGTGTTTGGCAGGTTTACTGGGCAGCCCAAAGAGAGAGGAGTGGCTTCAGTTGAGGAGAGAGATGGAGGTGCTCACAGACCTATGGCTCACACAAGCACTCAAAGCTCTGGCTCTTATCAACTCCAGGTAACTGTTTTTAGAAGTGATGTAACAGTAACTGAAATATCGTGGTATCATATTGTCAAAAGTCTAACAATAATATCTTGGGCCATCACCATATCATTGTTATGATATTATTATGGTGCAACAATAGCTAAAAAGCAGAGAGGACTACATAGACCATGATCCTTTGCTGTTTCAGTGCAGACTACATGAAGAAATAACTGTCATTAAGCATTTTTAGCTCTTCATTCTTTCAATTATGTCAGAATTAAAGGTTTTTCAAGACATTTTAAAAGGAAAAAGTAGAATATTCACAATTTGGTTAGACCCCCAGAATGTCATTACATCCCTAGTTTTTAGCATTGAAAAGTATCTATAAAATGTACAGAATACTATTTTTATTATTATAAATGAAAATCAACATTATAACAACTTAAATTATAAAAATTTAATATGACAATATAAGTTGCATACATGTAAGGGCTGTGATTTATTTGTATTAATTAGTGGATTAGTCAAATAATTTTGCTATTGTACGTTGAGCTTTTTTTATTCAAAGTTGAAATATGGTTACTGAAGGCTTCTATATAGTGTATACTTGAATAAATAATAATGAATGAAGTTTTTTTTTTAATGTAGCAGTTATAAAAGCTTTGCCATGCGTTTTAGATTGTGTATAATCTAAAATATATGACAGTTATTTTAAAGGTTGTTTAGCTGACTTTTGACAACTTTGTCTCGATTATTCAGATGAATTGTTTCAGACCTTAATTTGCCATCTAAATATTTTTTGTCAACCAATACTGCCCATCTGGTGTCAAAGCAGTCTTTTGTAAACATGAGGGAACATGAAGTTGCTAAAATAATAGATAAAGTATTTTCTAACCAAAATAAATGTTATATTTTAGACAAATGTGCTCAGCAAGGAGGAGGGCCAAAATAACTATTGCTTGAATATAAAAAGAAAGAAAAGAAACAGTTAAAAATGTAACCTTTAACTTTGTAGGAATCATTCATGTTATTCTTTTTCTTATTTGTATATTAATATGTATTTTATGCTTTGTTTCAGGACGAATTGTGTCAATGTTTTGGTGACCACCACACAACTCATCCCAGCCCTGTCTAAAGTCTTACTGTACGGCGTGGGGTCTGTGTTTCCCATTGAGAATATATATAGTGCCACTAAAACAGGTAATTATATCATTTGTATAGCATTTTTTGATATATTTTAAAGGTCCTACATTACACAAAATGTACTGTAATGTATTCTTGTAAGCTTTAAGCCATGTTATAATGTTATCTTCTTAAAAACATACCTGGAGTTGTGTTTTGCTTCATTCATGCATGTTTGAGTAACACTTTATTTTTCACTTTATTATTAGTCTGTCTACGTCTCCAAAGCTCAAAATGCTCTGTTTTACCTCATATTGTGGTAGTTTTCAAGTTAATAACACTTTAGTTCAGTAGAGATGGGCAATTCCAGGGCTGAAATTATCCAAATGATTCTAGTGAAAGTGTATGGAGTTTAAAAACACAGTGGAGCACCTCCTGTATTACCACATGACATCACAAGGTGGAACAAAGTGTTTTTAGTTTGAGAGAAGAACTCAGCCTGCATTGTTTGTGTTTTAAACATGTGTGAATGAACTCCAGGTATGTTTTTGAGGAGAAACATAATATGGCCACTTTAAATCATAACAAATTGTACCATCATTTTGCCTTTTATTATTATTATTGTAAATTTGTAATACGCTTATTTATAAAATCAATTGACATACTTTCTATTCTATTTTCGCAGGTAAAGAGAGTTGTTTTGAGCGCATATCTCAGCGGTTTGGGCGGAGGGCGGTGTACATTGTCATTGGAGACGGAGCGGAGGAGGAAACCGTGGCCAAAAAGGTACATCTCAATCTTGTGTTTTTGACAGCTGGAGAATTGACCACGGCGAATCAGTTAACCTTGTACAATCCTTTCGATCTGCTTTGGTGAAATAGTCTATGGAGCTTTGGACAATCGCATTATCAGCACACGCTATATCGTATTTTATGTGGTATTATGTGTGGAGACTCTGCTGGCATAAGTTTCACATCTGTGCTTTGTTCCTCGCAGTGTTTTTGTTTTTTTTTTTTGGTTTTTTTTACTTTCCAAAATGATTCTTGAAATGTCAATTGGTTTGAATGAGATTAGCAAAATAGTATCAGTTATAACTATTGCATGTGGCAGTGTTGAAAACCAGTGAAAAACAAGTTTATGGGTGTAGGTTTTTGAATAAAACATTTAAGAATGCTTTTAAGCTGCTCAAGTGAAACATTTAGGTTTTTTTACTTTCCAAAATGATTCTGAAAAATGTGAATTCATTTGAATAAAATGAGCAAAATAGCATAATTTATATGGCAGTATTGAAAAACAATTAAAAAGAAGTGTATCTGAGTATTTTATGTATATGAATATTAATATAAATTATACTTTTAAGCATACTTTTACTTAAGGTACTTGAGTAAAACATTTTGGTCTATAAAAGTTAATTTTTTTTTTTTTTTATGTCTTGCATTTTTATGATTTGACTGTCAAATTTCATTACATCACATTATGTTCTACTCAGTACTTCAGTTGTTTTCACCAATTACGTATGTGTAATTATTTATTACTGAATACTATCTTTAACTACTGCTTGATCAATATTAAACAGATCAAAAAAGTACTTTTACTAAAGGTACTGTTGTACTGAAAAAATGAATTTCCTTTGGGATAAATAAGTAGTATTTATCTATCTGTCTTAAGTCAAATCTAGACTTTAAAATTTTCTACCCTTTTGTTGTAGGTAATTGAATCCATATTATATTCTAATACTAGCTTTCTAAATATTTTCTCCTCTCCTTTTCAGAAAAACATGCCTTTCTGGAGAGTGTCCTGCCGCGCTGATCTGGAGGCACTGAGCCATGCACTAGAGCTGGACTACCTCTAGAGGGCGCCACATGATCACACACTAAAGATATTCAGCTTCTGTGTGCAGCTAGTGGATGGGAAGTTGCCACTACAGACTTACTTCAGTTACAAGACTTGATACAAACCAAAGGGACCGAAAATGGACCAGTTTTGGATGCCATCGCAACATCATCTGAAATTTGAAGCACAAAAGTTGGATCAAAACTACAAAGGACCAGAGCTTCAGAAATGAACTTAAAATTTTAATGATATTTTTCAGTTTTCATCTTTTTTTTCTTCCTTTTTTTTGTACATAACAGATTGATGCACTGAATACAACAACACCCTTTTAACCTGCAGATAAAAAGCCATTTGGCAAAAAATTACACACATTTTACCAAACCATAAACTAAATCTTGAATACAATTTACTGCATGATAACTGTGATTTGATTTATCATAATTGCGTTAACCCTTTGACTATTTAAAACATTAACAAAATTAACTAAAACGTCATGATAGACATACAGTAGCCACTATAAAGTCCCTATAGTTAGAGGCTATTCAAATAGTCTGTTTTTATATAAGAATGTGATTTATTTATTGTTGAGTTTGCGGCATTTCTTAAGGACCCAAAACATGCTCTTTAAAATGTCTCCAAAATGCTGTGTATTGGCTGGGGCTGGAATATGTGGGTTGTATGTTGTTTTGTTTTGTTTTTCTTTGCTTTGTGTAATATTTCTTGTGGAGGATCCCTGCTTCTTTCTATGGATATGTCATTGCTTTGTCTGGAATGTTCCACAATATGGCATTAAACAGCTCTACTTAACATTTAATCAATTACAGGTGGTTTTATAGCTCAAAAATACCTAGAAAAACACTCATTTTGACTGTGAATGGGGTCGCCTCTCCACAGATCTGACCTGTAACTTGGTAGGGTTTGATATCCATGAAGATAGAAAGGTTTAAAACATTCCAGACAAAGTAATAACTCCATGGAGAAAAGCATTTGATGGACACTTCACCAGGAAAGTTACACAATGCACCTTTGATTTTCTTCTGTCATTTTCCTAATCTCCTGTTTTGTAAAATAGACTGTTATGAGAGTGCATGTGCTGAGTCCACTTCAGTCAGATTAGTAATGATATGTATATAATGCTTTATTGTTGATTTATTTTTAGATTAATACAAATAAATTAAGTGCTTTGTGGGGAAAAACGTGTGTCATTTGTGTGTTGTCAAAATCAGTGTTTTCCAAGCAGGCGTATGCAAGCAATGACAAGAGGGTATTTGGAATCATCTCTAATTTAAAAAGAAAATGAATATAATATTTGAATATAAAATGATCACTATGTAGGGCTGCAGTCTTTTAGTTGATTAACTGGATAATGGAGTCTTAAGCCGGACATACATTGTGTGATTTTTGGTCCAATTTTGCACTTTTGCAACTGTTTTTGGGATTGGGCTGAGTTTTGGCTTAATCGTGTCATGCTTTATGTAGTAGACAAGGGGTAACGAGAACCTATTAGTACCTCATGACCAGCTCCAGGTCAGCAATCATAGGTTGCAAGAATATCAAACCTGTTTGAAGTCCAGTTGAAGTGAAGGGTTTGGCACTGTTGAAGTAGATCGAATAGTGTGAGAACATGAATCGTGAGCTGTGAACTTTTAAATCCTGCCATTTGGTCGTACAGTTTGAGCTGGGGCTGAGTGAAACGATCAAAAATATGACACAGTGTACCCCTAGCATTAGACGACCATGTTTATTATAGTGGTCTAAATATATTTTATTGATTAAAATTATTTATATGCACAACAACAGAAATGAAAGTTTATGAATCATGAGTTTAATCTGCCCTTTGCATACAAATACACTGTGTCCTTTAGCAACTCCAGAATGATATATTTGTATTTTTTTAAGCAGATAAGGCACTGAAGAAATTATCTTAATACAGGCAACCATTTTTTAGTTTTATGATGATTTCCAGTTTGGGTCAAATATATTGTCAGATCACAGATACTGAAATACCATGTTATAATGCAGTAGTGATACTAGATTTATTTAGTCATTTTGCAGCACTACAAAATAAAACAAAACAAAACATAGACTACACCCCCACTGATCATGACCGAAAGAGCTTAGGCTAAAGTAAAAAGTACTTGTAAAGCCAAACCCTATTAAACAATGACAGAATTCCAAGAAAAACACAGTGTATGAACAGCAAGTTTGTATTGTATTGTATAAGAGCAGAGGTGGGGACTTGCAAATCGTGACTTAAACTTGAGTCAGACTTGAGTGAGACTTGATAAAATGGACTAAGACTTGGGACTTGACTTGGACTTGAGAAGATTTTTGATGGAGTATTTGCCACGTCCCCTTTTTAGTTGACTAATCGATCAGCAGGACATGCCTTTAGTTAACCAAGAATTTCTTTAGTCGACTAAAGCTCTAGTTTAATTTACATCCTCACAAATGTTTTATAGGATGATTTTGGACATGGTCAAAATTACAAGAAAATTAAATAATGATACTGACAATATCTAGGTAAACAGATACCTGTACATTAAACCTATACAAATTCACCATTAGATTGGATAGTGCTACAAAAGAGATACTCAAAACAGAAAGTTTTAGTACTGTAAGTGTAGTTTAGTGTAAGTACTGAGAGATGGGTCAAATGTAAAGAACAAACTTCCCTCCAGAGACAATAAATAGTACCTTAACCTTAACTGGTCTAAAGACTTATGTACTGTTACTGTTCCTGTAATTATCTCTTTTTGTCTAATAGCGCTCCCTCCTGGATAAAAGATGCAAAAGAAACAAGAAAAGTGGATAGAGTAACCATAGACATAAACATATTAATCAACACTGTTTTATTTAAAGCACTAAATAAAAATTTTAAAAAAAGCAAATTCAAGTATTGGTTATAAGGTAGCACCTCATTGTACATATATTAAACACAAAAATACACAAATAAATATATAAATAAATATATTCACATTACTTGAGAATGGTATGGAAGAAGTTTTGTAAATAAAAATTAAACTATATACATACAAATGTAAAATGCTTGCATTATATACAATAAATGCATACAAAGCTGAAGTGAAAGTAACAAGGATTATCCGCTTTTAACAGACACCATCTTGAATCCACGCACGGTGCTTCTAACATCTGCAAGCATGAGGTTAGCGTGCAACATCTTAGATCCAACCATCCGAGGAATAAAGGAGATGGCCTGTTGGACTTTTCCACCAGCTTTCAGTGGAGGCATCCTGTGGAGAAAATGAAAAGAAATGTTAAATAATGCTTTAGTATATTTTTATACTGTTAAGTTTTTAAATACTCTGAATTATATAGGTAGGATTGTGAAAAGTATCAAAACCATATGTCAAGTACATGATACTAAAACTAATATTGAAAGTACATTCTAATTTTAGTATTATATTGACCATTCCTGAACGATTTTAGAGTCACTTTGAGCTTTATTAGAGTAATTATAAGGACATGTGGTAACAAATTACTAACTTAACCTCGTTCTGTATTTTCCATGTTCTAATGTCTTGAACATTGGTATCAGCCAGTCCTTTTTATTCATTTGGATTTGCATATTCTCATGTGATTATGCCACACACATACTTATCCAAAAATAAAATTAGCTGCCACACAATGTCCAATGAACAAGTATCGTCAAATATGTAACAATGTGAACTGTCTGCATTCTTTAATATGGGAGTCTCCTGTCTGGCACTCCTTGGTTTAATATGTCTCATGATTAAAAAGAACATGTGAGTCATTTAGGTGGTACTTTAGACTGAAGTGTTTTTTGGTTCTAACCTGTAGGTGACTTTGTCCTGGATGAGACCTGCCCCAGCCACGATCAGAACTCCACTGACGGGATGAGAGAAGGGGTTTGTGAAAGTTATTGTGGCTATCTGTTCTTTGTGCACCATCACGGAGTTTTCATTTGCGATCTGAAAGAGAAAAGATAAGATTGTTAGTTACCATAACAATATTATTTTACAATTTTATCTTATTTTACAATGGAAGATAAAAAATAACATGGTCAGGATCTTACATTTAATTAAATAAAACTCCTTTAAACATGACTCTTGTCTATGCACTTCAGTGGGATAACCTGTAGAGGGCGCCCTTTATATATATACACTTGAAATCATGCATAATTCACCCAAAAGAACAAATGTAAATTGTACAGAATTTTTGAGCATATGGTTGTTAACCCTAACCCTAAGTATACAGTGTTTATTTAGAATCCACTTGACCGAATCATGTGTAACTTTTAATTAAAAATATAAATTAATACAAAACTAAACCTTTGTAAGTCTTCTCTATTTGAAAAAATAAAATAAAAGTACATACAAATGAACTGAAGTATCATAGCTTTAAATAAATACCTTGATATGAAGTTGTGGGCTGGCGATGTTGAACTCCTCTGTGGCCAGGGCCTGCTCCAGCGTGGTCATGTCCTCCAAAACCACAGCCAGGTTTATCAGGTCGTCTCCTACCACATCTTCATACTGCAGCGGGAGGATCTGCTGCTGAATGATTTTAACTGTGGAGAGACAAGAGAAGAAATTAATAAAAGTCCATAATACTCTATGTCAACTCAACAACTTCAACAATATACTATTTTATACTATTGTAATCTTATAATATAAATTGTGATTTTTTTCTATATTAGACTTACATCAAAACAAATGTCAGTACAGAAAGTAAAGCTACAGTATTGTACAATTTCATATAAAATGTTTTGGTAGCATCGTAAGATATATTTTCTATAAATTTGTGATATTAGGAAACAAAAAAAAACTTAATTGTGATTTTATAATGTATTTTGTTTTTGTTTGCTAAAAATATTCATATCACTACACAGACATATCAGTTGTTTTTAAGTGATATAAAATAGGCTTCAATCTGTTCAAATAACTTTTTCTATATGAACTATTACATTTTAGGTACTGATATACTTTGTATATGGACCAAATAATAATTGCATATAAAATACAATAAAACGACTACATGTAGGTATGAATAACAAAAAAGCTGTTCTAATATTATAAAATTAAAAAAAAAACTGAAATAAATCTTAAAATTATGTAAAATAGGCTTCAGTCTTTTCTACTGACTTTTCTATATAAATTAAAATACAGACTAAATAATAATTGCATATAAAAAATAATATAAGCCTATTAATAAATTGGGTGCATATTATCAAAGTTCATCACTACATGCAGGTCTGAACAACAACAAAGCAATTCTAACATTATAAATTAGAAGTAATCTTTGTATTTTCTTTACCTTCAGCAGGGCCCATCTGGACGATCCCGTGCGACTCCCAGAAGGTGTCAGAGGGGCTGTGGTTGTACTCTTTGGCCTGGGCGTTGAGGTGAATCTTCAGGCGTTTGACTTTGTTCTGCTGGTTGATGATCTTCACAGTGAAGCGGATGGGCTCTCCAGAAACTGCAGCTTTGTCTAGAGTCAAGAAGACCATGACTCCGTGTTGTGCAGATGAGGCTGGAAGAAAGAAAAAAATGTATTGTTACAGACATGTATGTGTACAAATGAAGCAGCATGATGTTTCCAGTAGAGGTGGACAGATTAGCCAAGTATTGATAATAATGTAAAAGTTGCTTTCCTAGTTCCAGTGAAGATTAAAGTATATTATTTCAAGATAACCATTTTACATTCTAATAATTTGATTGATTTAAGCACATAGAAAAAATAGTATAAAGGATGTTCAACTTTTTTTAACCAAAATATTGTAGATGTTATTTCATTTCATATTATCATTACTATATGCCTATAATAATACCATTCATAAATAAATATAATGTATGTTTGTAATACTTCTATTTATTCTGATTACACCAAAATGTACCTCCGAACAACAATACATGTTTTAAATCTTACGTCTTGAATCGACCAATAAAGCATTAGATCAATAAATGGAGGAAAACGAGTGTAGTTCCATATAAATTGAAATAATACTATTTGTAATGAGATGTAAAACAGTACAGAAAACAAGGGTAGAATAAATGAATGTGAATAAATGTGTGATTTTTTTACCTCTCCTCAGTGTAGACTCATCAGAGCTTCTTGAACTCATTGATGACAGAGTAGACATTGGACCTATGATGACAAAGATACAACAAATAAGCAAAAGCAGCATTTGCACAAATCAAAACAATTACTAATAACAAAATTGTGAACATACTTCTGACCACTTTATAGTCCCCGGTGATGTTCTGGATCCTGGGCAAGCCTACAGCCTTAGTGCAGATCATGGCTCCCACTTTCTCTGTGTCTCTATTCACTCTGACCACCTGGCCCTGGCTCACAATAATGGTATGGACATCTGCATTCACTTCGGCGTACACGAAAGGGACGTCGTAAATCAGGTCTATACGCCGTTCTCGGATAGCTCTGACAGGCGCGGGGCCACAGCAGAACACACCTGGTGATTGGACAGAAATATAAAGGTTTGTTATTTTAAGTGGGGTTTATGGTTTGATTGTCTCCATGAAGATCTTATTGCAGGTGGCGCCACAGACATTCATAATTATATGTTCATGGGTGGTGCCGCCAGGCCAAGTTATAATATTTTGCTTTCAATTCTTAATTGCTTTGGCAACAGCTCTGATTTCTCATAATTCTGATTGATACTGTGGAACATTTTAAGTAAAACAACAATATTCTCGTAGAAGTAAGCAGGTGACATACCTGGAGTTGTGTTTTGAAACAACTGAACAACTGAAAATGCTCTGTTCCACCTTGTGATGTCATGGGGTGGAAGTTTTCAAATTAACAGCCACCCTTTAACTTTTGTTTAGTAGAGTTTGGCAATTCCAGAGCTGAAATGAACCAAATAATTCTAGCATAGGTGTTTCACAAGGTGGAACAAAGTGTTTTTAGTCTGAGAGAAGAACTTAGTCTAAATATGCAGGGTTTGTGTGTTAAACATATTTGAATGAAACAAAACACAATATTGAGTATGTTTTTGATGAGAAAATAACATTATAACATAGATCAGAAAATTTAGTAATATGAGCCTTTTAATGAAACTCGACTGACAAGATGAGTGACTCTAACCTCCACTTCTCTCCTGCGGGGTTGGGTCAAGAACTTGCCACCCGTCCATTGCTGATCCCAGGTCAGGCCGGGACATCCAGCACTCCACCCACACATGGAAGTTCCTGCACAAAATAATAAATGAACACTTGGTTAAGATCATGAGCTCAAGGTACACAGATAATGTGATACTTCAGGTTTCTGATTTCAAGATAACAAGTACTGAGGAATAATATTACAAATGATTTTAAATGGGCTAAAGAATAATTTTGTTGCTGGGTCAGAAATATGAATTTCTCCACTTCTGCTTATTATTGTGATAGAAACAAAACAGTTAGATATACAGAAATTTGGGGGACAAAAACAAGAAGGCAAGAAGCCCCCTTAGCCTCCTCCTGTCAACTTCCCTGCCACTCACTCACCATATACTGTCTTTGCTGCCGTTGAGCTTCTGTCCAGTTTTGGTGTAGTACTCCTCTATCACCAGGTTACCGTTTGTGTCATGGGCTGAGTTATAGTTGGTGACAACACGACAGGGAATACCAAGCACCCTCATAACTGGAACACAATCACAAAGAAATATTTAGAATGGCATGTTGAGAATGGCATGTTAAGAATGACATGAAAAATACGATCAGACGAGCGTTTCTCTCATGGAAAGATGAATCATTGCGTACTGTATATTGTGGCATGATTTATGGACAGTGATAACATCTGTACATAACTGATTATATGTAGAGCGTTAAGAAATTTCAGCAGTCCGTTCCTTATTCTGTCGTAATTGTTTTTAGTTGCGAAATCACACAAAACATCTATTGACAAAGCATCACAAAAGAGTACATCTGACGGCTCTTTATGTTCAGATTTTGGTTTTGTGGATAATAGAAATGACTAAGTGCTGCAGAAGTGGAATAGTATTAGTTAGAATAGTATTAAAAATGCTTTCACACTAATAGTGCTATTGTCGCCACTACTTTTACTGCAATTTATTTGTTGTGTGCTTGTACAGCAATAACACTTCATACAGAAATGAATATTAATATTAAAAATTAAATTCTAAGTTTAAAAAGGTAAAAACCCTTAAGAAATTAATATAAGAATAAAGAAAGTATAAAGTATCAAGTTTTATTATTGCGAACTGATAGAAAACAAACAAAATTGCATTTCTCTGTTTTTTTATGTAACTGTATTGTACTTTGTTGTTTTGTTTATTCTCTTTATTTAATATTATGCAGTAGATGCACTCTTATTTTAGCTCTTTGTTACTATATTGTTTGGTAACGTGTGAGCTACTATGTCCAAATAATTCCCATTGTGGATCAATTATGTTTGTCTAAGTCTAAGTAACTCACTGTACTCACACTTCTTATTAGAAACCTTTGATAGTGGATTGTATTTTATCATTATTATTTTATATTTATATTATTGTATTTTGTTTTTACCTGTGCACATGACGGCTGCAAACACCCAGCACTGTCCGTATAGGACTGGGCTGAATCCGGACTGGGCCCACTGTCTCAGGATGTCTCCACTGCCGGTCCACGCAGACGGGTTCACTCCTTGTTTGAAGTCCCCAGACCAGTTCCCTTTGAGCACCCCTTTGTCATCCTCTGAGTTTATCTGCAATACACAAAATAAGTCAGTGTTATTATACTTTTTGTGCTCTTATCTAATGTAGCTTTTGTATTGTATTGATTTTATTTTATGACTGTATTTTATTTATTATTAAATTTTTGTTATGCATTGTAAGTGCAATGGCAAAATTTGCACTGTATCTGTATTTAAAATGTTTCCTCACTGAGTACCTGGACCATGTCTCTCATAAAACTATTATACTCGTAGGCTATGTCAGTGCAGGCCTTATTATATAATGCAAAAAATGAGTACTTGAATAAAAACGAAACAATTTTTGATGCTCGTCTTGATTTCAGCAGTGTCGTGAAAATTTTTGCTGTTTTACGTCAAGAATTTTGAGCTTTTATTTCAATTATATCTGCGTCAAGTAAGATTCTTTGGTCCAATTTTCATATTTTTTGTTCCTGGAAATTTGAAATTGAAAAATCAAGAAAGAAATCAGCAATAAAAAATAAATAAACTTGTTACATCACAGCCTACTCCAAGAAGCAAAGTCAAGCTATTAGCACTGATATGACTTTTTACAGTGCATTTACATGTATGGTCAGATCTTGTATAACACACCAGTCATGTCTTCTTGGAAATAATTATAGTATAGACAGTTCCCATAACCCTTATCAGTCTTGGCACATGTCACATCTTGAGCAAGCTGGAACATAGCGAACCACTGTTTTTAATGCATCTGCAATGACGTACTTCCACTTTAATCCTGATATTTGCATATGTGAGGGATGTGTTGTGACTGGTTTTATTTCATGCGGTTTTGTAATTGCTCTCACCATAGCAGACACAACACGGCTCAGGTACACAGGCTCATGACGATTCAGGTGGTCCACTTTCCGGTTTAACTGGTGCTGGGGGCTCACCTCCAGAAGGTTCAGACAGGCCTCTAAGACCCCAGACTCAAACTGTGAAAGAAAAAAAAAAAGGTTTGATAGATCAGCCGGATATTTGGACTTTTTAATGTATCAGATATCAGCCTTAAATCTCCAGCACAGGCAGATATCTTGTTTTGGGTAACCTGTAGGCTAGAAATACCCATAAACACTTTGGTGAAAATAAGTGCTGAAAACATGACTACATGGATCTCCTATGTGTTTGTGGTGGCAATTAAATTACATACTGTGGAAGAAAAAATATATAAATTAGCCCTACATCATCATCAAATCTAAATTGGCCCTACATATCAGCTCAAAGCAAAAAAGTAGCAGTTCCATGGAGACAAGTTGGTGACGGATGCTCCACCGGAAAGTTACCCTGTGCATCTTTAATTCAGTAATTTGAATCAATAATTTTTGGTTCACTAATCTATGTGGAATAGTGGATGTGGAGTAATAGGTGGAAACAGCCCTTTCAGATGTCAAGATTAACTACAGTTCTGTGAAGCATAGAATAAGAATAAACTAGCGCATCTACAGTACAGTACAGTAATCCTACCTGATCAAAAGACCATGGACGCGGCACCAGGTTCATGGCGGTCCCCATAAACAGCAGACCGGAGTCGTTCAGGACATACTCTTCTCTCTGGTCCTCAAACGGGATGAACACTGAATCCTCTGCAACATGCATATTACAATGGTTAATATTGGACTGCATTAAGAATAATTTCTTAAAACATTTATCTGTTCATTTTCTTATCATTGGCCAGTCTGTATAAAGCAAATATTGCTCTTGCATAGGTTTAAATGTAAACATATTTCTTACATCGTTACGTAAGTGTTGAAATCTAGCATTATGCAAGAATAGAAACTAGGGGTGGTACAAGATGCAAGACTGCATCCAAATGAATATGATTACATGATCAAAATGTTGACAGAAACCATAATAAATATAATGTTTACAAATAAATGGACAATTTTATTTCTTTGTTGTTGAATATTTAGATAACTATTTTTTATTAATTATTTTCAGTGAGCAGTTATTATACAGTCAAATATTATAACCACAATGGTGGCCATACAAGATACAAAAAAGCTCAGATCAGATTTTGCACCATCCCAATTAAACCCAAGTAACAAAGTATGTAAAAAAATAATAATAATAAAACATCCTGTATTATGCACTGACCTTTGCACCAGGGGTTACAGAGGAGGGTAAATTTGCCCAGCGTGCACAGGCTCTGTCCTTCTTTAGTGAAAGCACACACCACAAAGCGGTACCGTCCAACTGGAGCAGAAGCAGGAGAGCAGATGTACAGAGAGGGCTCCAGGGGGTTCAGGGACGGGTCCATGAAGGCTGTCCACCGAGACGGCGAGCGCAGTGGGCTGTGGCTCACTGTCATTACAGCGTATAGCCGACCTGGAGGAGTACAGAACACAGTGTTATAAAACCATTTAATCATCTGTGCTACTGAAAAATGATAAAATCCAAAATGCTCATAGTTTTTGTATAAGTAGTTCATCAGTGTTAAAGATGTGGGCCGCTGTGTGTGGGAAAGAAAAATCAGCATGTGCTTTTATAATGTTTTAATACAGTCAAATGAAGGCTTTGTCTTGGCTTCTGTTTTCCCTGCTATTATGTGCTTTTAAGTTGCCAGTGAATCACCACATTAAATGTGTATTTATATAACCCATCTTCAAATCAATGCACTACTAAGCAGAGTTAAATATATTATATAGACTATTATTATATATTTTAAATACAGTTAAAACATTGTGTAAAAATGTGTAAAAATCAAAAAAATCTAATCAAATCAAAATCAAAACATTTTCTTTCCTTGCACTTTTTAAATTGTTCTTGAGTAACATTTGTGTGTCAGAGTAGTCTGGGGGTATATGCAAAAAATGTATTATGCAAATATAACTGATAAGAAATTGTAAACAAAATACATATTTTTTGAATAATGAAAAGACCTCAAAGTTTCAAACCCATGGATAATCTATTGTAAATATTACAAACAGCTGAATCTTACTTCTTTGGCCACAATATCCACTCATAATAACAGAAAACCCAAAATACTATAACATAAATTCAATAATTGTCAAGCACCATTACCTAGCATGATCTTGATCTTGAGCAGGTCCGTACTGGGGTTGAATGGTCTTCCATTTAACAACAGGCTGAACTTGAATGGGGCACCTCTCCGCACCACCAACTCGTTGGAGCTCCTGAATCCATCAGTCTTGTGCTGGAATAGGTTCTCCGTCAACTCCAAATTAATACCTTGTATGTGAAATTCTGCAAAAGATAGTCACCAGTTAGTATATTGAAATCCAATTCTAGTTTAATATTCACACAGACAATCCTTACCTCCCATGTCTCTTCAGTGCTGATTCGAACTTCTCTTCTGGCGCCCATGCAGTTGTTTTATAAAGAAATCTTAGGCCCCACCCTCTGAAAACATCCCTAGGACAAATCAAGACAAAAGAGTCATGTTTTAACTGTTACCTTGGTTCACAGTTCATTCAACACACAAACTCTGGCCACTCCCCCAAATGATTTATGTCAGAGACGAAGTATTTTTGCAATGAATAATCAGACTCACCTACTGCATCGAAAGAGTACGATGTGGATGTTGACGTGAGATGTTTGGGCGTGATGCCACTTCAAAGGGAAAGAGCATCTTGTGATAACGTAAACTGGATTAGAGCCAGAGAATACAATGAAACGTGGTTTTGTTGTTCAAAAGTGGGATCTACTGTGGCATTTGGATGCAATGAACCTTGAATCCGGTTCTGAGTGTACCAGTCTAGAAATATGTGAACGTCTTCAAGCACAGGAAAGACAAATAAATAAATACGTACATCTCAAGTCATAAATTGTCAGATAAATACATTTTATTTTATCAAATTAATAGAAGCGGTAGAGCATTTCACTGGGTCACAAATCTTTAAAATCACAGTATAGGTGCTGTGCAAGAGTACAAATTTCTAACTAACCAAATTTCCAAAGACAATACATTAGGAAAAAATAGGTTGGGTTCACATTATACATTAGTTTTGACAAATCCAGCAATAAATAAATAAATGTGACTGTGATGGTATTCAAGAGGGACATGTTTAACAGCACAAACCAGCTCACTTGTTGGAGTTCCAACTAAATAATTTCTTTCAGATTGTGTTAAAATAAAGCTCAGATTAAAGAGTGGTGTAGTGGGAATGTTTTAAAATGGGGGTGGGCGATTCGTGACTGAATCAGGAGGACTAAACCAGGACTAAACCAGGACCAAACCAGGACTACACCAGGATCACACTTGGTCCAAACTAAGACCAAACTAGGATCAACTGGGGAGAGAGAGAGAGAGAGAGAGCGAGCGAGAGAGAGAGAGAACCTCGAGCCTGTGGAGCAGAGCGTCCTCAAAGTGATATTAGGCGATGGCTGCGCTTAGCCCTATGGAACTCTGCACCGGTCCTTTCACCTGTGGTCACCCAGCGGTCTACATAGGCGCACCCCCGGACCCGTCCTGTCAGTCAGTCCTAGCCCAATCCCAGCCCAGTCCCTGTCCCCTCATGTGGCAGGTCACTGTAGGACAGTAGTGCAGATGTCATGAGCTTGTGCAGGTTGTTTTCACCATTGCCAGTAGCTCTGGTTTAACAACTAATTTGTAGGCTGTTATATATTTGTTGTTTACATTATATTTGTTCTTTTTTTATATCTCACGTCGGGAGAAGTGGGTGGACGGCATACCCCCGTGTACCACGCCCACTACACCCCTGGATTAAAGTTTAACAAGCCTCAGACAGAGCATACCTAGTTAGCATCACATCCCCAAGGAATGACATCAGCTGCAAAGCGTCAGTATGGTAAAGGTTGTGAAACATTCCTGGCTAATGATTTTCTGGTGGTTATTGTACACCTCTAATGTGTAACTTCAGTAATCCATGTGAATGTAATAGTAGGAAAGAGGTTAAACTATATTTCAACACAAAGTATATAGATTAGATTAAACAACATTGCATCTACAGTACAGTAAATCAACCCCACTGGTTGTGAATGGTTGGTGGTTGGCCCACATGGATAATCCAGCCTAATAACTGAATTTTATGTAGTTCTTAAACTTATACTTACACTTAAACAAACTTTATTGGTCCACAAGGGAAATTACTTGGACACAGTAGCTCAAATCACTTTATATTAAAACAATAAAGAGGAAAAATAAATAAATAATAAATAAATAAATAAATATAATAAATAAATAAATATATATATATATTTCTCCCACATAAAAGGGGGGGATGAAACATCCAATCTCCTTGAGTCCATCAAGGACAAGGCCCCGGCAGATGAGGTGCTCAGAGAATGTCTCAGACAGTGGGGTCCAGAGGAAGAGGTGCTGGAGGGACCATCATGGCAGGACAAACCCCTACATGGGGCGTACCACCGGAGCATAACTGAAGTGGCTGATATCAAGAAATCCTACCAATGGCTTGAGAGGGCTGGTCTGAAGGACAGCACAGAGGCACTGATCCTGGCTGCTCAGGAGCAGGCCCTGGGCACTCGAGCAATAGAGGCCCAGATCTACCACACCAGACAAGACCCACGGTGTAGACTGTGCAAAGAGGCTCCTGAGACAGTCCAGCACATAACTGCGGGGTGTAAGATGCTGGCAGGGAAAGCATACATGGAGCGACATAACCAAGTGGCGGGCATAGTGTACAGAAACATCTGTGCAGAGTTCGGGCTGGAGACCCCAGGATCAAGGTGGGAAACACCTCCAAAGGTTGTGGAGAATGACCGAGCCAAGATCCTGTGGGACTTCCAGATACAGACTGACAGAATGGTGATGGCGAACCAACCAGACATAGTGGTGGTGGATAAGAAACAGAGCAGAGCCGTGGTGGTTGACATCGCAATACCAAGCGATGGTAATATCAGGAAAAAGGAACACGAGAAGCTAGAGAAATACCAGGGGCTCAAGGAAGAGCTGGAGAGAGCCTGGAAAGTAAAGGCATCAGTGGTGCCTGTGGTGATCGGAGCACTCGGGGCTGTAACCCCCAAACTGGAAGAGTGGCTTCAACAGATACCGGGAAAAACAATGGACATCTCAGTCCAGAAAAGTGCAGTACTGGGAACAGCAAAGATACTGCGCAGAACTCTCAAGCTCCCAGGCCTCTGGTAGAGGACCCGAGCTGAATGAGGGTGAGAGAGACCAACCACCGTGGAAGGTGAGAAACACATTATATATTATATATATATATATATATATATATAATATATATATATATATATATATATATATATATATATATATATATATATATATATATATATATATATATATATATATATATATATATATATATATATATAGATATAGATAGATAGATAGATAGATAGATAGATATAACTAAATAAGTAGCAATAAAAAACAGCAAGAGTCTGGTGTCAAATAAGACATAACTTATATAAATGTATGTACAAGTAAGTAAAAAAAAACAACAACAAAGATTTGTAATATAAATACAGTATATCACAGTTACATACAAGAGGTCATAATATTGATTAAATAAGTCAATGTTGTGCCTGGACATTTTGCATTCACAGTCTAATATCAAATCACATTGGTTTAGGACAAGAAAGAATTCTATGGTGGAATTTGGTGTTCAGATTTGTTGACCTGGTTTACAGTTAATATCTCTGTAATTACTGGGCCTATCCTCATCAAACAAAACAAAAACTTGCACAGAGTTCAATGTCCTCTTTGTCGGCATATACTGTATAAACAAGTCTTTATTCAAAATGGCTTGTGAAAGTGGTGCCTTTATTCAGATTCTAGGCGTGATAGTTGTCAGATGACAGGACTTTAAACCATAATATTAATACAGCATGTGGAACCAATCCCAAACCAGTAATGACAAGGTTTATTTCTGGATCTTGTGTTTTGTTATTTATTTCCTGAACCTAAATGCATCGTATTGGTGTCCATAGTAAACATTAATCCTGACTAAAACCTGAATATGAATACTGAATATGTTTCTCTGTTTTCACTTTGTGCACAAGCAAATGGCTGAGCTGTTTTGAGAAAGATGAAGCTCTGTAGTTTTGGGCTCTGTTTGATCTACTCTCATTTTAAGTGGGAACGAGTGGTGCACAGAGGAAAACCAGATTTCAAATAAGGGTAAAATATTTTTTGTAAATATAAGGACAGGTATAACTTAGTCAAACTTTATTGATCCATAAGAGAAATAGTTTGGACACAGTAGCACGCACATCGCAATATATTATAATAACATAGAACAAAAATATAAATGTAATAATAAATTAAAAATAAGTAGCAAAAATAGCATGAGACTGGTGTCAATTAGGCATAATTATATAAATGTATCTGTACAAGTAAAAATAAAATATAAAAATATAATAGTCATACAAATATATCTCAGCTATATACAAGAGGCACAAGGAGAAAAAGTTCAAGCATATCTCACTAAAAACAAATTTAGGGACTTAGGTAATTAGGTAAAAAAAAAGTAGATTTTAATTAATTTAACTTAATATAATTAGAGAATTATTATTATTATTATTTTTTATTTATTTTATTTGTGGGTTTGGAGTACAAACTGATCAAGAAGTGGAAAGTTATTTGACAACAGCAGCACTTCCGCCTTCATCAGAGGCGCGGTCAGTCTGATAGATCTGATAGATCTGTCAATCTAACCACACCAAAAATAACAGCTGATAAGACACACGTCACAGCAGTCATGAGCCTCTGACCAAGGCGGAAATGCTGCCACTGAAATAGGACAGGTAAATCACCTATTTAGCTTTTTACAAAGCTGTCTTTTTAGAAGAAAACACAAAGTTTACCTATAACAAGAAGACAAAATACATTTTCTAAACATGATCAAGATGATCGACCTCTTGTATATAACTGTAATGTTATACACTGCATTTAATTTGTATGTTCAGAATGATGAAAAATTAGGATTGTTGCAATAGAGATGAACAATTTAAAATAAAGTAGTATATCTTTTCAGTGGGAAAAGTCCTCAGAATGTTGCATGTAGCAGGAAATTGACATGAATAGTTTAAAGGGACTATACTGTATAACACTATTATATGATCAGTTATAATGTTGTTTCTTCATCAAAAACATACCTGGAGTTGCAAATCCTGCATATTTAGGCTGAGTTCTTCTCTCAAACAGAACACTTGTTCCACCTTGTGATGTCTTGTGTAATACTTAAAGTGCTTCACTGTGTTTTAAAAATCCATACACCTTCATTAGAATCATTTCGATGATTTCAGCCCTGGGAATGCTAATTTCTACTGAACTTAGCTGCTAACTGAAGGTAGCTGCTAACATAAAAACTACAACTACATGATATCACAGGGTGGAACAGAGCATTTTGAACTTTGGAGATGTAGACAGACTAATAATAAAGAGTTATTTAAACATGAGTGGATGAAACAAAACACAACTCCATGTCTGTTTTTGAGGAGGTAACAACATTCTAATATGTCTTAAAGCTCACAAGAGTCAATTTAGTGTAATATAGGACCTTTAAAAGGAGTTGGAGTAAAGGTCAGCATTCTGTGTAGATTGTGATGCTCAGTGTGGATTATTAAATTCTATTAATAATACAAATGTTTCAAATATCCAGTGGGTTGTGGAAAAAAAAAAAAACAAAAAAAAAAAAAAACAAACAAGAGTGATACTGCTGTGACAGACTTTCTCAAATCTTGTAGTGAGTGGACTAATGGACACATCTGTTGCAGTTCTTATGTAATAGTTGATACACCCATCTGATTCATATTAGAAAAGCAGTTTGAACACGCAAGTCTTTTTATTTACTGTTTACGTAATTAAATTTCAAATAGAACTAAATTTCACTGGAAAAGGTCATCATTGAATGCACATCCTCTTGACCAGGAGTGTTCAGACTGTTCTGTTAAATCTGTTAAAACTGTTAATGCAAGAACAATAACTGAATAAATGTAAGGTAGAACTGTTTAATGTCATACTGTGGGACATTCCAGGCAGAGCAGTGGCATCTCCATAGAAACAAGCAAGTGACGGACCCCCAACCAAAAAGTTACACTGTGCACCTTTAAGTTAGCTTTTTAAGTTTACTTGTATATAATGTATTATCTTGTTAAATATTTATGAATTATTGTATTTTTGCAATAAATAACACCCAAAATGAATAAATGCCAGATGTGTATTTTAATGTTGTACTATGGAACATTATGGGCAAAGCAATAACATCTCCATGAGGACAAGTAGGTAGCTGACCATCCACCAGAAAAGCTGCGCTGTGCATCTTTAATCAATCAGTTTGAAATTAAATTCCCCATAAAATTCCCTATAAAAGCCATGTAGACATGTTTACTAAATACAAGCCTCTGTTGCCGTGGGCTTGTTACACCATGAGTACACCTTTCCCTGGAAAGAGTGTGGGCGAATGAAACTGGCAACCCCAATTTGGTTGAGACATGCCCATAAGTGAAAATAGCAGTGTTACGTAAATCAATAGGAAACACCAGGACACTCATAGTTGTATTATGTCAGGAATGAATAGCGCAAGAGCTGAGCATTTCTGACGAGTGAATATATAGGATAAAAGTCATATGTAAAAAAAAAAAAAAAGTCATCTGTAAGTGTCTGGAGTGTCTAAACTAAATCGTAAAAAAACAAAGTTGATTCTCTGCCAAAAGATATAGTTAGATAAAGATTGTACCTTCCTGGTGTTGATTGCTTACGTAGGCTGACGAAAATCTAGTACCTCCTAGTACCAAACACAAACATAATTTAGTACACACTGTGAAATCTAAATATAATTACTAGTTCAGTGTGCACTTATTGACTCCACTGGCATATGTAAGTATATATAACCACAATGTATGTTTTATATATCAGATTAAATGTACTTTTTCTATAATAAGCAATGTATTAGTAAACACAGAGCACATAATCTGTTTATTATTAATAGATATGAAAATTGCTTTTTCATTTCAAATAAAATTAATTAAAACCTTATCATTGTTCTTCCTTCTCTGACATTTTAACTGCCTATAGCTTTGTGCTCTATTGTATATTATATTATATTATATTGCATTTCTTTCTATATTGTCATTTATACAAACTACATATACTAAACTATACATTTGAATAGTTTTTTCCCCTTCCAAAGCAAATGAAACTAAGAAAAAAATTACCGCATTCCTCTCTTTTTGTTTATAGACAAAAAAAAGATGTAACAGCCCCAAGGATAAACAAACACTCCTTGAAATCTTAAACTGGTTTCAAATAAAAAGAATGACGAATACTTATATTATATAATACATAGGGAAGATCTTAAGTTTTGTTTTTTGTTTTTTTTAATTAAGCAAATTTTCGTGATTCAAAATGTAATGTAATTTTCAGTAAATATGGCTTTAAAATATGACAAAAATCTATGTTGGTAATATTATCAACATAAAACTGCCACAGAAAAACAGTTTTGAATATCTATGTACAATTTTTCATATGCTTGTGGTCTATCAAACTATAAATCAGAAATTATCTCCAGACAGTTACTCATACAATTACTCTTACTTGAGTAATATCTTGCCAAACTTTACTAAAACCACTATTTTGTCTTTCTGTGATTTTATTGAAGTCTTACTTGAGCACAGTTTATGGCTCCTATACCCTCCTCTGGCAATTTTGAATCTGAAAACTACAGAATTAAATTGTATAAACAAATAAAATAACTAAAACTAAATCAATATAAAATAATAACTGGTGTTGCTCTTTCTTACCACTGATCTGCACTGCCCATGTCTGCATTGTCTGCAAATATTTTCTAATTATTTGGGATTAGATGCCAAAACTGATGATTAGGCACTTGAAACAAAACAAACTTGTCTGGGCAAAAGAAATGAACAGAAATTATTACATAAGATTTCTCAATTTCAGTGCTAGGCTTTTTGACATTAGTTATCAGGTGAGTTAGTCAGGGATTGTCAGTTAATTTATTTATTTTTTATCATTAATTAACCAAACAAATGTATTCCATTAAGATAACACTTTATAATAAACATAATTATAAATAATTATATATGCGAAACATAAAACAATAAAAAAAAGAAAAATCATAATAGAAAAACTAATTATGTGTACACAGCAGCTTATTTTTAATTTACGCTTTAAAGGCGCACTACGTAACATTTTTTGGGGGGGTTTGTCACCTGCTTGTTTCTATGGAGATGTCATTGCTTTGTCTGAAATGTTCCACAGTATGACATTAAACACCTTTACCTTACATTTATTCAATTACAGGTGTTTTTATTAACTCCAAAAAAAAAACAAGAAAAAAAAATTCTGACTGTGAGTGGGGGTGCTGCTCCACAGATCTAACCTGTAACTTGGTCTGGTTTGGCCTCCATGAAGATAGAAAGGTTTAATGCCATACTGTGAAACATTCCAGATAAAACAATAACATGTCCCTGAAGAAAAAACATTTGACAAACCCAAAGAAGTTACACAATGCACCTTTAAATATAACTCACATCATTTTTAAAGATATAAATTACTTTCAGGAGCTTAACATAAGATTATTTGCCATATTTTATTTTTCACCCATTATTAAAATTAAAAAGCACAGTATATTAACTACATTGCACTAAAATATATTACATAAAGTGCAATTGGTTTGTGTTGACAATAGTAAATCAAATGCACACAACAAAATAATGTAATAACCAATAGCAAAACTATGATTACTATAAAAAATACAACACTAAATGAGGCAGAAGCAAGGCAGAAAAGCTCACTGCCAGCGCTGTAGGTAGTTGGTCCACACGGGATAAAACTTCTTCTTAAGAAGTAGTCCTGGGTTTATTAAAAATTAAAAAGTCTGAGATGTCGTGCCACGTGTTGCTGTCGTGGTAGAGGTAGTTCATGGATGACTGTAGTGAGGGCTGGAGCGTGTGTGGGTGATACTCAAACAGCCAGAGGACGATGCCCCAGACCAGAGTGGCAAACAGGGGGAAGGGGTCGTGCTTGGGCTGGGGTATAACTCCCTTCTCCACAGCCAGACGCGACAATGCAAACAGGATACGAGACAGAAGGTACATGTTGATCTGAAGAGGAGAGAAACAGAGAAAATGTCTTTGTACTAATGTTGCAAAAAAAAAGCTAAATCATGATATTCAGCTTACTGTTTATAGAATTGATTATTGTATGTGTATCGATAGTTTTGACAACCCTAATGGCAATAGTAAACCCTATGGACAGTTTTTTGCAAAAGATATAATGTAAAATAGATTCATTTAGATTACAGCAGTGGTGTAACAAACAGAGTATCCCCAGCATTGACTACCCCAAATTTAAGACTTTTTAAAGACTTAAATATGGGGCTTAAATGAAAATTAAGACCAACATTGCACCTATTATGTGGGCAAAAAACACCAGGTCCAAATCTAATAATGACCATTACTCACTACTTTAAATAACAAAAAATACTTTTATTATAAAATCTCATTCAGAACTCATTTATAGTAGTATGCATTCGCTTGTAAAATTGCCAAAAAATTATTTATAACATTCTAACAAGACAAACTAAATATTGTTTGCGCATACTCCAAATTAGACATTTTTGTTGTTGTCGTTGTTGTTGTTTTTTGTTTTTCCTCCCTCCATTTAACAATGCACTACAGCCCAGTTGAGCATACAAAAAAAAAATAGGCTAATGAAATTTAAGACCTTTGTGGAAAAAAATAAGTCTTGGACAACATAATTTAAGACTTTTTAAGGATTTAATTTAGGAACATGAAATTTAAGACCTTTCTAAGACCCCGTTGCTACCCTCAACAAAGTTAAAGTGTGGTAGTAGTAGCAAATTTATTTTTTTTCTTTACGTCAGTACATTTTACAGTGAGTACTTTTTCATAGTGTTCATAGTATAGATTATATTATGTCATAAAGTCATCATAAACCTACCTGGGTTTCATAATAATCCATTAATATGTTCTAATCTTTACTACCGCCTCTCTGGGAGCTGAAAGCACTTAGTCATTTATAACCTCACCTATTGTTCAATACATTGCTTTATTCTGACAGAGGCCAGCTCACACCACAGTCAGTCTCAGACACACGCATACACACATGTACACACACACGTACACACACATCACATTCAAACTGCAGCAAGAATGTTGAAGTGTCTTGCCCAAGGACCACACCATTGCTGGGACCACACCTGCCGGCTTTCTGGTTGTGGGCGGATCTCGGGTTGTGAGCAAATGATTCAGTGTTACTGGGTGAATTAATTCTATTGAACAAGTTTTGATTGTGTACCTGACTATTGATGTTGTTATTGTCTCCAAAAACTAGCCACCCTCCAATGCAGGCAGCAAGAAACGCATGGGACTGTAGAGACTTGCCCTGCATCTTCTCCTGCAGAGCTTTCAACCCTTTGTACGTGAACACAAAGTATGCCAAGTTCCTAGAATGGGTGTACGTGGCCTTTAAAATGGCTTTGAGCTTATCCTTCAAACTGCAATAAAGTAAAACGACAGGATTAGAAAATAGGTGAGAGGTTAAGTGTGCAAAAGTTGTGAATGGATGCACTTGCCTGCCACTTCTGAACAGAAATGTCATAACCAAAGCGTGTGGTGCCCTGATTTTAGCTCCGTATCTGAAAAATAAAACAATGTGAAGTCAATTTCCACACATATACACAAAATTATGTCTGGATTCACTTATGACCTTTTATTAATAAGTTACACGCTCAGTTAAACCCAGGTTAAACATCCACTGCGAAAACCTGCAATGAATGAGTGACATACTTACAAATACAATCAAAGTTAACTCACACAGCGCCATTTCTGAAACCTTTCATAACAGCTAGAGCTGCTCTGTGCTGTTCTTGCTGCAGAAAGTTGTTGATTGTAAAAAGAGCAGTTCTGAACATCTCCGAGCCTGCCATGGTCAACTTGAGGGACACAAACACCCGTTGCACAAATCCGTCCGTGTGCAACATAGAAATTCCGCCGTGGTGCTGCTGCTATCGAGGTATTCAGTTCCGTTATCAAAACTTAATGTGTTGCTGGGTTTCAGATGACAGTGTATACTACAGGTTCACAGTCATATTTAATGGGGAGCAGCTAAGGTTAATATAATTGGAATGCAGATTTTTGTTGTAATACAGTGAGTTTTGGGGTCTTGTCACTGATAAAAATGATCAGGTTCAACATTTAGGAAAAGTTCAATGTAATCAATAGGAAGCACTGGCTCCTACTCCCCATCTGGGAGTATGACTGTAGCATTTTTACATTCAATAATCACAATACAATATAATAACTACCTATAATTTTATACTGCAAATGTAATTATTAAAAATATATATAGAGGTCCAGACGGGAGAAAACTTCTTCCCAAGAAGTAGTCCTAGGTTTATTAAAAATTAAAAATGGTGAATGCTGTCATGGCAAAGGTAGTTTATGGATGACTGCAGAGAGGGCTGGAGGGTGCGTGGGTGATACTCGAACAGCCAGAGGACAATGCCCCAGACCAGAGTGGCAAACAGGGGGAAAGTGTCATGCTTAGGCTGGGGTATAACTCCTTTCTCCACAGCCAGATGGGACAATGCAAACAAAACCCCAAAAAATTCAATAATCACAATGCAATATATAATAACTACCAATGACATAATGTTGCAAATGTAATTATTAAAAAAAACATTATAATAAATTATAATAAGATTATTATAACTCTAACATTTTAGAGATATCAAAACATTTCAATTGCTTTAAAAAAGAACTGAGACAATCAAGGAATTATGAGAGTTTTTTATTTATCCGAGGCAGATTATCCCACGGTTTGTTGTCAAGCACACAATATTCATGTGAAACGATTACATGAAGCTCAAGTAGTTGTAATTTTAAGAAGTCTTAAATTATACAAACACACACCAATAAAGTCATTACTTGAGTGTTTATAAGAGACTTGGTATTTAAAATGCTCTAGCCTTGTAGTGATGACAGATAACTGCATATGTGATTTAAATTTGTAAGTAGTTTGTTTTGGAGTTATCCTTTGGTAATCGTTTCTGCCTGATAACAAGGAATGACCACCTAAATAAACATACACATAATGTACTACTACCCTATAAAACTAGGGCCCAGTTTGCAAAATTTTTGATTTTCTGTTCTCTAAATTTAATGGCCCCACTGCATATACTGCATCTATTATACTTTGGTCTATATAACATTTACAAGTTTTGTCATGTATCACAGTTAACAGCAAGGACTCACTAATCTCATTATTGGTCAACAACTTATCAAGGGGCTACCGTTCAGAGGGACATCACCCACTTCATTGGTAAAACCCCCCAAAAGTTTTAAATTATGTTGTTACGGCAGACAAAAAGGCATTTCACCCGAAACAACAACCCAAAATTTGCATAATTAATACGCAGAAATAAATCTCTAGCTAACTCCATCCAAGTCTTAGAAAATGATCGGACGAACCTTGAATGGCTCAGAATTGGCAAAAGTGTTTTCTATAAAAACTATTGCACATAAAAATACAACCTCTTTTAAAAACAAGCCGGCCCCCACAGCTCTCATGTGCAAACTAGTCTGAAAAAAAAATCATTAAAAAGATACAAGTCAAAGTAAGTTCACATTACATTGATTAGATGCAACACGACTTCTTGCTAGTCCATTGACATTAATTACACTAAAACAAAATAAAACCCTAATCTGAGACGCTCCACCCATGTGCCTTCATCTTTCTTTTAGATATGCCAAAAGTACAAATGCAATGATTTCCTCTAAACTACAGTTACGTACAGTGCATAGGGCCTTTTGGAGGCAGTTAAGACAATTTCTATAGCAAAAAACACAGGAGGAACCCTTTCCGAAACAGCAGACAGCAGACATGACCGGGCACGTACGAAGAAGTTTCTAGTTTGATTCTTGCGTGAGTTGATGTGTTTAGCTAGTGAGTAAACTGGATGACTTCTATACACGTTAAAAGCAGAAAGAATAAGTAGAAGTAAAAGTTTATTAAAAACAACTTGGTGTAGCCCTAGACCAGTCCCAGCTGCAGACGTGGTGTGTATAATGGAAATCCTGCTTGACTTGGGGTGTTATTCCTGTCCAAATCCTTCGGTTTCTTCGATTGCAAACATCAGCTTCTCTTTCAGCTGCTCATAACTCTTGTATGGAGGCAGGTCCAGACGATTAAAACTACAGAGAATATAAACATGTTAGTTTACAGTGTTGAATTGTTCCATGATTGAAAAACGACAGGGCTTGATTTTTTTGTTCACTTGTCTCCATGCCTAATTAATTTCAACACTTCCATTCAATTAGGATTTGAACTAGCAACAGTTAATGTAATTTCAATGGTTCTATCATTGTAATAAAACAAACACAAATCTGTATGCAGTAACGGGAAGAATACTTTGAAAATGTATTTAGTTACAGAATACGGAATATCTGTATGTATTTTGTAACATATTCTGATACATGGTCCAGTCAGAGTACTGTTTTCTGAATACTTAGAATATTTTTACATTAAGTTGCATCATATTATAGTGTAAAAAACTTGACATAGTAATTATTTTTGTTGCATGAATTTATGTCCGTTTAGAGACTGAAAACTACACATGAACAGATTGCAAGAGCTGGTTTCTTTTTTCTCACTAATACTATGCAGTTCAAAGTCAGAATTGCATGAAGTAGCGCCATGTACTTAATTTAGGAATGTAACTGTATTCTGAATACTGTCAAATGAAAAGCTGTACCACAAAATTCTAAATACATATTCTTGTTACATGTAATTAGTTACTTCCCAACACTGCCTGGAAGCAATATAGTTATAATTGACAGGGACCATATCTACAAGAAACAATATGGCTTGCATTAATTATAGAATACATAAAAATGGCTTCAGTACCACAAATATTTTGCGGTACTGAAGCCAAATATTAATGCTATATAGTATAATCTTTCAGTACAAGTCTGAATTCTTAATGGCTCTACACACATTTGCAAACAACAAACCTTGTATCACTATTTCAGCACTATTTGAACACTCACACTATTTCATTATCCACAGTCACTTTTCTCACACTCTTACATAAAACATAAATAGATGAGATTAAGACAAGTCTTATGAATAAATGAATCAGAAGTGACTCAAGGGGTTAGGTCAATATGATGCTCTCTGTCCACACACAAAGCTTTAACTGTCTGTATAAAGACATATTTGAACGTACCATGTGTGACTTCGTGGAAGCCAGTTTTCTTTGCCCACTTTTTCAATGCAGAACTTCTGGGGTCCATTGCTCCCTGTAGACAAAAAAAAAAATCAAAACAGTAAATGTAGACGTGTGTTGCATCATTTTGTGTACGTGCATCACTAATTCAGTGGTTGGGAGATACACACCCATGAGATCTGCAAATCCACCGACCGGGAGACGGCATGTTCCAGTGACAAACTGCAAAAGCCTCATTCTTTTCTCATTGTCCATTTCCTTTGCAAACTGTAAAAACATGGTTAAAAAACTTCAGAACAGGTTCTTACACAAAATTGACAAACATATTATCTAAATTAACATGAATTTTAATGCAAGTAGTGCCTGTGGTTGCAGTTGGTAGAATACATGTTTTGTTTTTTGTCTTTTTTTAATTTAAATGTGGAAGATTTTGGGATACAGCAAAAATGAATCATTGTGGATATTCTTTTACAATATGTTCCAAACATCACATTTGCAATAAAAAACAGTATTCATTTAAAATAGTCTAACTGTCTCTATCTTTGACATCAGATATTCCTACTTATATAGAAATGCATGCATATTTCAAAGCAGGGGACCAGACTTTATTTCTGTAAATGAGAAAATTTACAGAAAGCGATTTGTGCTGAGAGAGACTGACTGTGAGACTGTGTGATACTTGAACCTCTGCTTCACTTCTAAAAAAAGGTCTTTGAAAGTTGTGCACACAGCTGTAAAGTCATGCATGTGAATAATAGTGATGTGCCAGGGTGTTTGAGAAAGCTACAAAAAAGTTTAAAAGGTGCATTGTGTTGCTTTTCTGGCGGAGGGTCAATCAAATACTTTTAACAGTGGAAATGTTATTGCTTTGTCTGGAATGTTTCACAGTATGGTATTAAGGCTTTCTTTCTTCATGAAGACCAAACAAGACCAAGTTACAGATCAGATCTGTGGAGAGGCAACCTCACTCTCAGTCAATTAGGCATTTTTGAGCTGTAAAATCACCTGTAATTGTAAAATAAATATAAGGTACAGCTGTTTAATGTCATAATGTGGAACATTTTAGGCAGAGCAATGGCATATCCACAGAAACAAGCAGGTGAAAGAACCCCCAACCAAAAAGTTAAATAGTGCAACTTTAAAAATGGATTTCCATTTTAACATAATATCCCAACAGACACTTTTCATCCTAATTCAGAGTCCCTTATCTCCCTTATTTTTATGGGCTGTTGTACTCACTTGCCAGAACCACATGATCTGCTTGCTGTTTCTAGTGTAATGCCTGTAAATAGTATTTCTTTGCCAATCCATGAGGTCGATCTCCTGCATGCCACACAGCATCACCTGCAAACATTAAAACAGGTTGGAACTGCTACAAAAATAAAACATGTTTATACTAGAACAGTATTCCTCGTGCTTTCAAAGCTTACAGACACAACCAGCCCTGGCCAGTGTAAAATAAGTTACTTCATTGTACCTCTAATTCCTTGGCATCAAAATACTGCAGATACTGTTGAGGCAAGACTTCATTGAAGCCCTCGAAGAAGGCCTGGGTTTGTTCCTCCACGCCCCGGGATAATCTCCACTCTGCAACTAATCTGTAAACATAATAAACGCACAATAACTAAATGAGACGTAGTGTTTCATGTGTAGGTTTATATGAAACTTTTACGTCCTGAGAAAATTATGATTAGACTGTACCTCTAATAACATCTCCTAGGACTACAATAATGTGGACCTCATCTAGATTCATTGGCTTTTAACACTCAGTAATGCAGTGACTCTTTGCACACTTTGTTTTATTTTATTGTTTAAAAAGGTGCACTGTGCAACTTAAAAGTAAATTACGCAACTTAGAGCAAATTACGTTTCAGCAAAAAGTCTTCAAAGGCTGTAATTTGGAAATGGGAGAAGCTTTTGGACATCGGCCATCTGCGTGTGCTTTGCATTTTTTTCACTTGTTGTTTCTTGCATTTGCGCCTCTGCAGGAACTTCGGTGTGTGTTTTCTGTTTTATTTGATGACATTAAATGTATCTATCGAGCATTTATTCATTACGAGGGTTTCTATTGCTTAAAAACACAATCCTTCTTTCTGTGAATAGGGACGACTCTCCACAGATCTGACCTAGAGAGAGATAGATAATCTCTACCCTGAAACATTCTTGACAAAGCATTAGCATATCCATGGAGACAAGTAGGTGTCGGACCCTCCATCAGAAAAATTTCGTAAGGCAGCTTTAATATTTTTGCATGTTTTTCTACTGTGCCGATCTTATTGGGAAGCACTTTGGTCACCTTGTGTGTTGTCAAGGGCTCTATAAATAAAGACTGATTGATTTATTTGCTGTATAGAGCTAAAATTGTTCAGATAGCATTTTGACTTTAATGCATAATTTTAGATCAAATGAGTTACTAGTATAGGTTAGACACTGAGCCATACCAAAACTATTGTTGTATGTTGATTTTGTACCAATGTAGATACTGATACTGCATCAACAAATTCAAAAGCACTGATTTGAGATCTATGCAAAAGTGATGATCTTAATAAGCCATTTCGTAAACACATCACGCACTTACAAACAGAAACTATAAACATACATTAATAAGACAGAATTCTGGCAAGACAGGACATGAGATTGGGTCTACGAGATAGGACTTGTGACAAAAAGAGAAACTAATAATGAAGAGAGCAGTTCCTTTCACAATTTTAGTTTCCCACATTTTAATTGATTTAATTGTTGATTTTCTTGATCTACAGCTTCCAAAGAAGTGTGACTCATTATTAACCCTTTATTGTCCAAGTCAAATGTAAAAAAAACAAAAAAGTCACAAGATAAATTTCCTCATGTGTGAGTGTGTGTCATCTGATCCCATGGTTGATGGTTCAAATCTCTGAGTCTTGAAGGTGGAAAAGCGCTCTATTAAAATATAACAATTTTTTTGTACACACAAAGTTTTGGTCATTTTATCATCTCTTGATTATTTGGCCCAAGCCTTCGTCCGATCCCTGCCATGCACATATACGGAACAGTACCTGATGTATTCCTCCTTGTTTTCTTCTGTTACAAGGATATTCCCTCCGTCAGGCTTCAGCTCATGAGTCGTGATTTCCCCTAAGATCTCTTTGTCCACAGAGAAGAACATCTCCAGACCACACTCCTCAATGTTGTTATCCCTATTGGACCAAGTAGTAAAAAACAGTTATTTAAGTTAAAAGGTACACTATGTAACTTTTTGGTTGGAGGCACGTCACCTGCTTATTTATACGAATATCATTGCTCTTCCTGGAATATACCACAGTATATTCAATTACAGGTAGTTTTATAGTTCAATAACTAGAAAAAGTGGCATTCTGACTGTGAGCGGGGGTGCCTCTCCACAGATCTGACCTGTAACTTGATCTGGTTTGGTCTCCATGAAAATAAATAAGTTTTAAAACCATACTGTGAAACATTCCAGCTAAAGCAATAACATTTTGATTGATTGATTGATAGCATTTATATAGCACCTTTCAAGATACCCAAAGCGCTTTACAGTTCATTATTCAGTCACTCCACACTCAGTGGTGGTAAACTACTACTGTAGCCACAGCTACCCTGGGGCAGACTGACGGAAGTGAGGCTGCCAATCTGCGCCATCGGCCCCTCCGACCACCACCATCACTCACGCTCACACCACTTTCATACTAGGCAATGTGGGTGAAGTGTCTTGCCTAAGGACACCACAACAGTTTTTTGCCACTGGCATCCCACTGTGGCACCTGGAATTCCTAACGATCTCCCATCCAAGTACTACCCAGGCCCAGCCTGCTTAGCTTCTGAGATCTGACGGGATCAGGCTTTTACAAGCCGGTATGGCCATTCATGGAGAAAAGCATTTGGCAAACCTTCCTCCAGAAAGGTTACACAATGCAGGTTTAACAAAACAGACTTATTGTAAATAAACATGTATTAGTTTGTAAATTTAATCATGCAATACACAAATAACTAAATCATAAAAATCTAAACAAATGGTAAAATATGAATGCCATACTTTGTAGTTATATTGATGCAAATTACAAGATATCATGAGTTGGAAATATTGGACAGCACTAAGACTTACTTGATCCAGATGAGTGAATTATAAAACTCAGGATCGATTGACTCCAGATCATTGAGCCCCAGAGGTTTGTTCAGGATACGTTTATAGAAAGGCAGTGAGAAACCGGTGTCAATAAATTTCCCATGAAATAAGGCCTAGAGGAAACACAAGAGAATGCAGTGATCATTATGGAAATATAGTTCATCATCACTGCATGTTTAGCAACATTAAAAAAAATCGATTGACAAGATAAGACACAAAATACAACTTAATTGCTTTGTAAGAATACCGTATCGATATTACACCATGGTAGAAAACTTATAATTTAGCCCTCTTTACACCACTGTGCACATTTTAAAAAGGTGAAATATGTAACTTTTCTGATGGAAGGCCTGACACCTGCTTGTTTCCATGGAGATGTTGTCGCTCTGCCCAAGATGTTCCACAGTAGCATTAAACATATCCATTTTGCATTTATATAATAACAAGTCTTGCTCAAAAATATCTTGAAAAACTTGCATTTTTACTGCATGTCTTTCTAAACTGATACATTTAATGGGTCTAAGCAAAGTAATAGCTTCTATATGGTAACATAGTTTCATCAGAAAGGTTACACAGTGCACCTTTAAAACTGTGTGCACCTTTAAAACTTGCTTTAACGGTTCCTTTGCCACTTGTTTCAAATTATTGCATCAGCATTGACATTTTCTGGATTGCGAATAGTTTTTCCACTAGTTATTTTATTATCTACGTACGAGATATACTGGTTACTCATTATAATGGGGACCGTTACCATAGCGATAAAGCGCCCGATGAACTTGAAGTACTTGAGGTGATCTGGGTTGATGTAGGAGGCAGGGTTTATCTGTAGGCAGTAGTTGTCTTTGCCAGCGTACTCGAATAAACAGTACATGGGATTCAGAACCTCGTGAGACAGTAGAAAGAACCATTCCCTAGAAAGTAAACATTGTACTTAGAGAAAGCAGCATTTCTGGTTTTGAGAGAACAGTTATTTTAGAGAGAAAGAATCAGAACAAAAGATACATGTTCTGGCGTCAGCATGGTGTCAAAATAGTACACAAACACACCTTATGATTCACAATTAAATACAACACATAATTATTTATTATACAGATTGTACCTGGCCACTCCCCCATAGTCCAAACCCTCTTCTCCAGGGAAAATGATCCACAGCCTTCGCCTTAGGTCTTGAGGGTGGAAGCTCATGATCTTTAAAACAAAACAACGTCAGTGAAAGGTGTATTTTACTAGTTAAAATATATGAAAATCCATGTAATTACCTGTTGAAATGAATCTTCAAATAATGTTTTACGGGTAACGGTGATCTTTATGTGCTGTGGCATTGATAATTGCTGTAAAGAAAAGAGGAATATTGATATTTTATATGAAATGATAAAAACTATATGTATGTATGATTTTGGTCAACTACAGTAAGCACTTACCTGACACCAAAACCTGAAATACTGCACTTTGGCTTTGAAATCCCTGACATAAGTTATCTGTGGTCCATTTTCTCTGTTAAAATAAAAATAAACTAATGTCAAATTAAGTAAATAATAACTGTTTATACAATCACATATCACACATTTTTCATATTATAATTTTAGTATTTAGTCATAATGTGATCCTTTTATAAAATACACCTACAGTGATGATTTTCCAGTGCGTGGGTCTATGTAGGTGGTGGTCCGTCGATTGTGGTCGACAAAGTAAGGAATCCCTTCGACAGTGAACCTCATCTCCCATCCCTCTGGCAAAGGCTTGTCATTCAGCAGTCTGAGCAACACAACGGCGCCACATAGTGGACATAAGACTAAACTGCACCCACACTGTTCATTTGTTTAAAAATAGTGAAAACAGTTGCATAGATATTCACCCTTGTGTCCTGGGATCTTCCCATTGTGTTGACCGAGTTGTGTGATGAACAAAATACACTCTACCATTGGAGTCCGTTCGCTTCTCTGAAAAAACAAAAACAAACAAAATGTTTTTATTCAGTACAATTTTTTTTTTTTTTTTTTACCATAAATAGAACTATTTTGTGCATAGTTACCCCAGCCGTGTGGTAAAGGTCCAAGGGGATCAAACTCTTGTTTGGTAGCTGCCGCGGCAATCTGATCCTGGAACTAAATAAAAAAATTGTAATTGTTGAAGTAAGAAAGATAATTCTAAAGCATGGATTTTAAAACAGTCCTCGGTTACCCCGTAGATGAACCTCTGGTTGAACTGCTGCATGGCTCCCTGCAGTTGACTGCGCTGGTGCTGCCACTCCTCATAGTTTCTGACTGATTCCACAGTGGGCCTCTGCCACGTGGTTGTGCGGGTGATGTGGTCCACATAGTACACTCTGCCCATGGGGTCCACTCTGCGCTCCCACCTGCAGGTTTAACATTGACAACAAGATTACGCTGGAGACACTGGTGTAATTGGTCTGAGCAGTCATGAAAAGTGTAACATTGATGAAGCATCTAATTAATGTTTGTACCCTGAAGGCAAAGGCTCCGGTCTGTCCCATGTGGTCCTTTTCTCTATGTGATCCACGTAGTAAACACGGCCATTTTGATCCATTCTCTGCTCCCACCTGTGAACACCATCCAAAACGAGAAAACAAGCTCAGTCAAGTAAACATTACTCACTTAAATGTCACTGATATGTTAAAATTAAGATGTTTAATTTTCATCCTATAGGCAATATAATGGCTGCAAAGTATAATTTCTAAACCATATTAACAGCTTTACTGCCTATGTAAATTCAAATTTGAAAACAAGGACTACAGCATGTCAGATGCTTGGATGCAAATATTTTCCTTTTTTTTTTTTTTTTTTAACATTTTCTTCTACTACTATTTTATTATACTATCTATTTTATATATCATGAAATGTTATGAATGCATAAAATGCCAAGGAGATTAAGAGATCAGCAGATCAAGCTAGCAAGCAGAGGACTTTGCTTTCCTATTTGTAACGAAATAGCTATGTGAATCCTACATGTATCACAGATTAAGAAAATATAATTGGAGAATGAAGCAGTAGAAGAGTGAGCCTGCTGCTGATTTTACTTTTATTCCATTGGCATTTCATTTTAGACAACCAAGAAGCCCAAATCAAGCTAAATAACTAAAGGACTTATTTACTTAAAGGTTAAATGTGTAACTTTTCTGGTAGAAGGTCCACCTCTTATTTGTCTCATGAAAATATTATAGCTCTGTCCAGAATGTCATTGACATTTAAGTCATCTATCTCTTGCATTTATAAAATTGCAGGTGTTTTTATTGCTCAGAAATACTTTGAAAAGCAAGAATATGTACTGTGACAAAGCTTCCTCTCCACAGATCTGACTTGTAACTTGGCCTGGTGGTGTCACATACATGTCTTTAAGAAGACAGATAGATAGGTTAATCCCATACTGTAGAACACCTTGGTGAAAACAAGCAGATGGCGAACCCTCCACCAGAAAACTTTTTTCTCCTTTAATCTTTCACTTAAAACACATAAAGGCATATTTCTTTGTCCAGCTCTCGACTAGTATCAAGAAGAAAATGTTTACCCTGGAGGCAAAGGCCCGTTGTTGACCGGGGCTCTGGGGGCGCTGGTGGCAGAGGAGGCTGCAGCAGAGGGCCCTGGTTTGGGGTTCGGGGCTGTGGGCTGTGCAGAAGCTGCTCCAGCTCCTGCTCTGGCCACTGCTCCGGCTCCTGCTCCAGCTCCTGCTCCTGCCTCATCCTGCTGATCTGAGGCCTGGGACGAGCCATCAGACACAGGGGCCTCACTCAACTCACTGGGGGAGGAGCTGCTGGAGGAGGCTGAAAAACATGAAGCAAGGGAAAAAAGAAGAAATTAAAGAAGACATACTGTGCTATATAATTATAATCTATGACATCCTTGGATCATTATATTATAATTTCCACATTTTAAATAGCAATATTAATGTAAAATTACTTAATATTAATAAAACAACTTAATATGTGTCCGGAGTGACGGCCACAGAAGCGTCTGTCCTTGATGATGTTATATTGGTTGTTGTTGTGGTTTGGTGGTTACAATCTGACAGACCGGCTCAGAGTCACACTGACACCACACATGAGGAGCGCAGCAGCTTCAAAATCACATACAAAGACACAAGGACAACTTATGCCTCCCCAAATCAGAGCCAAAACTGGGCGAATTCCGTGCGACAACCGTAGTTTAGCAAGGATTCACATGGCTCAGAGGGATGTAGTCAATGCGGGGGCCACTCGTTGTCTAGTAGTGTTTTTCATCAATACTATTGGGGGCCACGATAGCTAAAATCCTAAAATTCTCTCTCCTTAGTCTAAAAACAACCTGGACTAAACTGACATAACCAAATTAGACCTTGTTACTCATTGTATCAGCATTGACTTTTTAAAGGAGACGAAATTGGTAAAAAAAGAAAACAAAACCAAAAAAAACAACACAGCTTTAAGATTAAATATACACAGAAAGTGACATTTATACTCCACAAACTGAACGAGATAGTAATAACTGATAGTAAATTAAATACATTTGTGCCACCATAATCTTAACAAAATACATGGGAAACACCGTATAGTAGTTCCAAACAAAGTCTAAACCAAAGGAGGCCAGAAATGTAGACTAAATCCAGTTACAGTCCACCACTGTTACAGTATGTGGTTGAAACGGAACTCAAGTGGAGCATGTTGGCTTCTCTTATGACTAATAAGTTATAGCTACTAAATGTCAGAAATGATGAGTCAGGAAGATGTGTCTGGAAAGTGACTGGTGATTAACTACATGTGTGAATTTTCTGAGTCCAGTGAGAAAACATCAGTGACAGACATCTCAGTATATTAAAGAGCCCACATAACGCTATATTCTGATCTATGTAATAACATTGTTTCCTCATCAAAAACATACGTGAAGTTATGTTTTGTTTCATTCACACATGTTTAATACACAAACCCTGTATATTTAGTTCTTCTCTCAAACAGAAAACATTCCAACTTGTGATGTCATGCGGTAATACAGGAAGTGCTCCACTGTGTTTTTAAACTCCATACGTCTTCAATAGAATAATTTCAGCTCTGTAATTGCAAATCTATTAAACAAACCTCACCTTGTTCTGTACACATTTAGAAAAAAAACTTAAATAATGCTGAAACAGTAGTTAAAGACATGTGGAAATTGCTAACCCTAACACTTTGTGTAGGATAGAGGAAAAAATTGTGGGTGCATATTAGTAACAATGTGGCATTCGTGGGTACCTGCCTGCCTTAAGGAACAAAATCAGGTTGCCATGACATAAATCCTTTATTATTAGATAAACAACATTATTTAAAGTTCAGATATTGTTTAAAATAGGTTATGGTTTATGGTAGGATAAGAAAGTAGTAACTATGGTCTTCAGAAAATTAAAGTAAATTTAATGCCCCCAAAAGACAAGTAAATCCAACTATTTGTGTGTGTGTGTGTGTTTATTTATTTTTTATTCATGTATTTATTTTGGGAAAGTAAAAGATGGAATGGAACATGTTACATTAGTGAATTCATAGTATAAATAACAAAAAGGGAAAAAAATGCCCAAAAAGGAGTGGGAAAAAGAAAATGTATTTTTTTGTGTGCGCGCAGGTGTATGTGAAGAAAAAAAGTATTCAGCAACTGGGACTAAAGTGTATAGTGCCGTAAATTCAAAATAAATAAATAAATACAAATGTATTTATTTGGACACACCGTCCCATTTCAATGTTTTTTCCCCTTATTGTTTCCCAATTATTTACTACATAATTCCATATATCTTGCTTTCTGTATTTGCGTATTGCTTTTACTACTTTCTACATTTTATATACTTACAGAAGACATCAATTATATGAAGCAAAATATATGGAATATATAGAAAAAACAAAACAAAAAACACCTTGAATAAGATGTGGTGTCCAAACTTTTACCTGGCTGTGTATATCAAAATAGTAAAAAGCCTAATGCTGACTGTAGCTCACATGGGAAAGCCTAAAGAACACTACTCATCTCTCCACCTCCATTACTTGATGATGTTGTTTATAATTCTTACATGGGGAGGCTCCAGGTCTGGATGCGGCAGGAGCAGATGTCCGTGCTGGTCTTGCAGGTCGCGAGGAGTTGGAGGTCCTTGGAGAGCCAGACGGAGAACCGGGGCCATTTACAGTGCTGCTCTTTGGGACTATCACCCATTCATCTGAGCCACTGGACGGAGAAGAATCTCTGCTTGATCTGAAGACAAGAACAATGTATTTAACATAGATAGGAAAAGATGAAGTCAAATAAACAAAAAGGGCATACGGCTAGATGAGATACCTGTTGCTTGATTTTCCATTTTGCTTAGCGGTTCCGTTTAAGACAGACACTGGCATGATGAAAAAAAAAAAATTGAATAAAATAGTTAACACACTTATAAAACTTTCTGCAATTAAACGTGCACTGTGCCCCTCTCCATGGAGATAGTAATACTCTCTAGTTATTATAAGAAAGGATCCAAATAAATTTTAATCTGATATGCTAAACATTTTTGAAGGATAAAAAAGGAAACATGTGGCGGCAAATCCCGGAACAGAAACTGAAATAACAGAACTAATGTGAGCCCAAACAAACTTCCTTGTGATTTTACTTTTTTATTAAAAGAAAACAAGAAACAAGATCTTACCATTTTTGCTACTTATTTAGAATGTGTTATGTTATATATTATGTTGCATTATTATATTTTTGTTCTTTGTTATTATATTTATTGTGATGTATGAATTACTGTGTCCAAATAATTTCACTTGTGGATCAATAAAGTTTGTCTAAGTCTAAGATACCCCTGTAAAATGACTCCCCATTACTCAATGTCAATATTACACTTCAAAGCAGAGCAGAAGATATCAGGATATTTCCACACCTGGCTGTTTCTCAGCGTTGGTGAGTGTTTCCGTGTCCACCTGCAGCCCGTCCAGACACACAGACAGGTCTCCCACAGCCTCCTGAGGGTCTCTGTCTGAGGTCAGCTGAAGAGTCTGCACTACTTCACACACTGAAAAGAAATAATTAATTTGTACGTTCCATATCTAACAAGAATTTTGTAATTTTGCTACAGAGATAAAATGCGATAAATAATAATACTGAAACTACTTTATGCCACTGACTCAGTAACATTAATACAAGATAATCCCTGTAAACACTTTTTAAATAGACAGTATTACTAAAGCAGAATGAGCCAATAATTAGCCATAGAAGTTATTTAATCAACCCTCAAGATCAAAAATAACAAAAATCTCCACACTTTCATAAAGAAATTGTACAAACAATAAATATTGAGAGGCAAAATATATTGTTCCAGTTTTTATATATTAAACGATAAGTTAATATAGTAATTATTTTAACAGGTCTAGTGATAGTACAAAAATTTTTAGCTCATCCAATAAGTGAACTATTTAATCTTTAAGTAGTAGTCCATTACTTTTTTCAGATTTATGTTAAGATTGTTTTAGACTATGAAAGGGAATTACTGGGAATATGGATTATATTACCATTATTCTTGACTTTAAAAAAACAGCAAACATATAATTACAATTTGTGATGAAATGTGAAATAACACATGCTCAAGAGACTGTGGCACCAATATGAAACACAGACCAGATTTCCAAATCACATGTTACGCACATGCTAATTAAAGGGGGCATTGTAGTGGGCCCTAAACACCCTCAAAGGGAATTCCACAAGCTTAGGCAGCAGCACTGTATTGACAACATTAGCGTATAGTAAAATAAACAATGATGAGAAGAAAACTCTGAAAAAGTATTTAATTTGTTTAGTTGGTCTACATTTTCCCCTCACTAATTGGAAAAGGAAAAATCAAGACCTGAAGAGCTGTATTTTCTATTGTTCTCACTAGTTAAGTGCTGCTTGAATCTTAAATTGCATGATCAAATTCTGTATGTATTTCTTTGACTCTACCAAATGAAAACGTAACTGTACCAGATACAGCTACTCAAAAATGATATTCAGAATATGTATTCTTGGTACATGTATTAAATTACTTCCTAACACTTTACAAACAATATTTTAGTTGATTAATGTTTTATGAATATGTAATTTATTTGTCCAAAAAATGTAAAGGTGTGAACTCACGTTTCAGGTCATTTGCTCTAAGTGCCTCGTTAATAAAAAGTGATGCCGTTCCCAAAAGGATGTCTGACTTTAGAGTCTGATGGCTCCAAACACGAAACGTGAGCTTGCTGACTGGGGTCACAATTCTGCAGAAAATGTAAATACCATAATTTAAAAGCTGAAACTCTGGGAAGATAAATGGCAAAGTTAAAAGTATTAGAGTATTATTTAAACATACTGTAATGTGCAGGCAACTATGCTTTTTGAGTTCATAAATTATAATAAATTATTGATTCAGTGTTTAACATGCACATAAGACAGATGATGAATATTCGTGAAATCTACCTAAAGATGATAAAAAGAACGTAGAGGGGGGCTGCAGATGTGACTACGGCAACCATAGGAAATTAAAATAAAAAAAAATTTTAAAAAAAAGAGTGAAAAAAAATCAAAACTTTTAAATTTGCACTTACACTGTCAAGGATTGTTTCCATTTGGGAGTATGTGTGTTCGTGCACTTCTCTGTCCTCTTTGACTGTCCATCCACTGTTACTTCAACATATGGACTGGGACCAAACCAGTTCTTTTTGTTTTCTTTTAATTTGGCTGAAATCACTAGAAAAAAATATAATGTCACACATTATATTTATATTTATACTTGAATACATAACACAATATTACAAACAGTATTTTACCCGTGACTTGTAATTGGGCCTTCATGGTTCCTCCATAACATTAACTGCTCTGTCACAGAAACAACCTGTACACACACAGTGACATCACATGTTAAAAAGGCACACATCAGTTAACCTACTTAGAGAGAGATTAAGCTATTGGCTATATCTTCTTGTATAAATCTTTGTGCTGTACTACAGTTAAAATGTATTTGCAATATGTTATTAAGAACATAATACTAATGATAATAATATGAAGCACAATTTAAAGGACCTCTATTATGCTATTTTCTGATCTATGTTAAAATTTTGTTTCTGCATCAAAAATATACCTGGAGATGTGTTTTGTTTCATTCACATGTTTAAAAACACAAACCCTGCATTTCTTTTGTCAGACAGATAATAAAGGAAAACTCAAACATATGCGAATGAAACAAAGCATACCTCCAGATATGTTTTTAAGGAGGTTACAACATTATAACATAAGTTAAAGCTCAGAAGAGTCACTTATGCCTAATATAGGACCTTTAATCTTAAATATAAACAATTGTGAAAGCATTCTCTGAAATAATGCATGCTGCCTTTTACTTCTCATATTACTGCTTCAGTCGGCTAATTGGGCCACTCTCTAAAGAAGCACTCTGAAGAATTCTTATAGTCACTAGACATTGAAAAAAAAAAGAAGCCAATATTAGAGAGTAGTTATTTTAAAATGGATTCTAGATAATGTGGCACACCCAGTAAATAATGGTACAAAACTTAGTTTGGTACATACTAATATACTTTCAATAAAGGCTGTGCAATTGATCAGTTTTAAATGAGATCAAGGATCTGTCTATCCTGCCAGTCGTCTGTGAGTTAAAAGATGTGGTTTTGAGTTCAGACTTTGGAGGAAGACATTTGGGTAGTTTTTTTGGGTGAAATGGTAATGATTAAAAGCATGTCTTGTTTATGTTCAGTAAATTATTGTTGAAGGACCTTTTGATAAATTTTTCATGATACAGTTTTTGTCCTATCACACACTCTACTTTCAATATGTACAGTGGAAGTATGTAATAATGGAAAACCTTATGTGAAACAATAGTCATTACAGAGTCAAAAATAGATAAAGGCTATAGGCCGTGGCTATAATAAGCCACAGAGCCTATTCCATAACACCACAATCCCTGCATTGGCCTAGTAATGCTATTGCTCTCTGACACGAACACTTGTAATTATTAACAACCACAGATGTTTTACAATTATATTTTAGGATATGTTTTGTTAATATTACATAAAGGCCTGGATGTAAGAGCTTTGTGGTGGACAAATATATAAGCAATGTTTTTCATTTTAACTGTAAATTTAGTGATGTTTTCTTTTAAAATTATTATTATTGCCTTTTTTTTTTTTTTCAAACTTCCCAACGCTTTTATGATATTTTTTCGTATTTGCAAGCCATATCAGTCCTCAAATTATCCAATAAACAAGGTAATAAGGACGTTTATTTATTAAGTATTGATGGGAACAGGGTGTTTTGTTGTGCCCCAGGACAGATCAGTGACGCCTGCAGACACAATGGAACAAAAGTGTCTGAGCTTTTCAATTCTTTATAATCGTGCTAGATTACATAACGTTACAAACAGATAAGTACGTCAACAGTGGACTAACTTGGCTCTCTAGGTTTATCAGCGACCCTAAGATAATCATGTAACGATATCGGGCGACAAAATGGTGCTAACAGCTAATAGCTAATCCGGGTTCTACCTAATACCTCGGGATCGGAATCATGATTGTTATAAGTAAGTGCCCACACGGTCATACCTGGTTGATAATCGGCCAAAGTTTAAGGCTGAACGTCGGGGTTGTGGAAATAGTTGAGCATGATGTTGACAGGTAGCCGCTGTCACCAGATCAGCACCAACTTCCGCTACAGAGCGAGCACAAGACTGGCGCTTCCGGTACACGTATTTTCACAATAAAATTGTCTTTTTTTTTTTTCAAACTTCCCAACGCTTTTATGATATTTTTTCGTATTTGCAAGCCATATTTTCACAATAAAATTGTGAAAATAAGGGGACCAGTCTTTAACAGTCTGGACCGTGTTTTCTCATAAATAGCTTTCACAAAGTTGTATTTTGATTTATTTATGCATGTTTAAGTAATCGTGTACTGTCCTGAAAAAAAAAAAAAAAAAAAAAATAACTATAAACTATAAAATAAATAAAAAAAATTAAAAAAATAGACTCCAGGACAAGTGTTTAATTTTAAAATATTATGTTACATTTTTCAACAATAAAACATAAAAGAAAAAGTAAACAGACCCGTTTCTTTCAAGCCGTTTTAGATTAATATTGTGGTATTAATATTGCTCTTTTGATTTATTTATGCATGTTTAAGTACGTAATCTGTCCTGAAAAAAAAAAATAAAAAAATAAAAATAAATAAATAAATAAAATCTGTAAAATCTGGCGAAGTTTCACTGAGGTCATTCTTGTCAAAAGTCAGCGGATTCATTCCTTTTTAGCCATTTTAGATTAATATTGTTTATTTATTTATGTATTGCTCATGCTATTATTTTGTTGGCATCAATTTAAAGAGAATAACAACAGCAACAACAACAACAAAAATCTGATAATTAACATAAATACATATTCCAATCATTATTTGCCTTGTCTTTGCTGCACGAACAAACGGAACAGGAAGAAGATAAATCTTATACACCCTGCTCTTTTTTTTTTTTTTTTTTTTTCATTGCGGTATTAATATTGCTTTCTTAACTCAAGGTTATGCATTTTATTCTTTTTTAAATAAATGAATAAATAAATAAATGATCACTTCTGAATGTAATGTAGTACACAACGAAGTCCAGAAGATGGCGCTCCTGTCACGAGTGAGCGACACCCGGCACACGCCCATAGATGACGCTAAGATCGCGTGACTCTGTCCATGGTCCCGAGCTTTTTTGGGCTGAATATCTGAAAGATCTTTGTTTTTCCAAGTGAAATGATCATCAGTCCCGTTTAAAGGTAACTGTAACTCACTTTTTATCAAATGAAGATGCTGTCTCGTTTACTGAAGGAGCACCAGGCGAAGCAAAACGAGCGGAAAGAGCTGCAAGGTACGTGACAAGAGCTAATGCTAACTACACTCTAAGCTAAAAACAAATCTCGTTTCTCCATTTAGTGTAGATTATGGCCTCTCAGATTCACTTGAGTGCGTATGTGTTTCTACGTAAAAGTCAAATAGACCTGCACTTTGTAGGGTAACCATCAAAATTTGTTGTAAAAGTGTTTGCATTGTATGTAGGGTGATCAGATGCCCCTTGTTTACCCGGGACAGTCCCAGTTTTGAGCTCTGTGTCCCCTGCCCCAGCATATTTACCCAAAACAAGCGATTTGTCCAATTTTTATACAAGAAATGTCGCAGGTGTCCCTATGTTTGACCAATATAAACTAAACGAGGTCTAAACCAAGACTAAACTAAGAATAAACCAGGACTACATCAGGTCTAAACCAGGACTATCACATTTTTTGATTAATCATATCGTTGCCAACAGTAAAGGGGAGCATAAATTATAATTTGTTTAGCTAAAATACGGAAAACCATTTTTGCAAATGACAATAAAGCATCAGAAGTCCCTCAGCTTATGACGCAAGCATCCACAATGTTACACGCTCTTTTCACAATTTTATTTATACCAACCATCCCAACCCAGGTGTGAAAGTCTGGTTACCCTAATTATATGTCATTTTTAACTTTCAAAATATATTGAATGCGATTGGTTCAGATGACGTCACTTCATTACCTACATTTAATACAGTTGTAGTGTAGCTAAAATCAACATTGTTAAAATTCAGATTTCTATTATAATATAGTGACAAGGTCTAGTCAGTAATAGAAACAATAAGGACTGAATGAATGTTCATTTTGAATATTTCTTATGAAACCACAATGTAATTATTATGGCAAATTTGCTCTTCCCCCTCATCTGAAAGTATGACATCTTTACATTCTGCATCTGTAAACGACCACAAAAATCTGCTGTATGTGACCCAACTATTTATATACAACATGTTTCTTGTTGCAGAAAAACGCAGACGTGAAGCCATAGCTGCAGCCACGTGCCTGACAGAAGCCCTTGTGGACCATCTGAATGTTGGGTAATCTCACTTGGTTTTTCTCTTTATCTTTATAAAGCAACAAGAGCAGCTTTCACACTGGATTCTATTTTACACAAACCACTTAACAGGAGGAAAATGGCTGATGTGTTAAAATATCTCATGAAGTTTTGAAAACCTGTGATGCAAGTATGAAAATCAGCTTATAGATTGTGTTAGAACAAAGATTAATCTGTGAAATGTGCCCATGACTGGAAAGATTTTGACTTGGTTTTCTAGTACAGCATACATGTCAAACAATAATACTAAATCTTGGCACAGGTGTTTACTACTCAAATAGAATTACGTTTAATCTTTAATAATGTTTAATAATGCTTATTATTTAATCATGTTCATTATTATTTTCTGATTAAATCCAGAGTGGCCCAGGCATATGTGAATCAACGCAAGTTGGACCATGAAGTTAAGACACTGCAAGTCCAAGCAAGCCAGTTTTCCAAGCAGACCGCCCAATGGATCAGTATGGTGGAGGGCTTTAACCAGGCCCTAAAGGTAGGTTAAGGTTAAAGTTAGCTTTATTGTCAATTTCTTCACATGTACTAAACATGCAAACGAATCAAAATTATGCTTCTCTCTATCCCATGCGCAGACAACAATTGGGAGAGCGAGATTTAAATGGCAAAATAGAAAATTTGTATGGTTTATTTTGTGTTCATTTATTTTTTAAAGATGTGGTATGTAACCTTTTTGGTGGGAGACCCACTACCTGCATGTTTCAATGGAGTTGTTATTGTGTTGCCTGAAACATTTCACAGTATGTCTTACATGTATTCAATTAAAGGGTATGACTACCTTCAAATACATGCATTTTTACTATGAGCCCTCTCACCCTTCCACAGATCTGACCTGTTACTTGTCCCAGAGTGTATCTTGCTTGCATCTGAGGAGTATCTGATTTTTACTCTTAGAAACATGAAAAACAGAACTAGGTTTACAGTACCTAGGTTTACTTAATGCAGTCCAGTCATCCTAATTATTCACTGTGATGAGTTTGTAAGATCTTTTTACAATAGTGATGTGACGGTAAAGCATGCTAACATGCACTTGCTTATCGGACAATACAATGCTTCCTAATTAGATGCAGCCAGTACACAGCAGACTTATTTTGATCTCAAGAGCTTCTTATACAATATATCTATGCTCAGGCAAGACAATTTCTGCTCAGATACATGGGGGGAAAAAATGAGGTACACAAACATTAAATATGTTTTATACCACATTGTATTGAACATTCCAGATAAATCTCCATGGAGACAAGAAGGTGGTGGACCCTACCAGAAAAATTACAGTAGCCCTTTCATTTTGATACAATAACTTTGCCACACAAATGCCACATTGCCCAAATGAACTATTCACTAATAAAAGTGAGTTCAGGTGACAGGGGCCTGCTTTTTGATGAGAAAATCAGATTAGATCATTGAAGGCTTGTCACTTGCGAGTCGGTCTGAGAGGATTTGACAGGTGCAGCAGTAATTGAATTTACACCATGACATCATCTTTGCTGGACTGGCAATGTTCAATGTTCAGTATTCAGTTAAGCAACTTGTAAAACATTTGTTAATATATTCCACACTATGGCATTAAATATGTCTATCTAGCATTTGTTTAATTACAAAAAAAACTTGAAAAACATGCAATCTTTGTGAGTAGGATCACCTCACAGATCTGACCTGCTTGTTTCCATGAAGAAGTTTAGTGCTATACTGTAAAACATTCCAAGCAAAGCAATAGCATCTCCAGGGAGACAAGCAAATGGCAAACTCTCTGCCAGAAAATGTTACTTACTGCACCTTGAAACACTTATATTACAAACTTACTTTAAAGGTGCACTATGTAAATTTTTGATTGGGGATCTGTCACCTGCTTGTTTCTATGGACATGTCTTTGCTCTGCCTGGAATATTCCACAGTATAACATTAAACAGCTCTAACTTACATTTATTCAATTATAGGTGATTTTATAACTCAAAAATACTTTGAAACGTAGTCATTCTGATCATGAACGGGTTCACCTCTACACATATCTGACCTGTAAATTGGTTTGGTCTCCATGAGGATAGTAAAAGGTAATACCATACCAATGACATCTCCAAGGAGAAAAGCATTTTGCCACTATCCGTCTTAATACTGACATACAAACATATAATAATTCTGTTTTTATTTTTTTGTCAGGAAATTGGTGATGTAGAGAACTGGGCTCGCAGTATTGAACTGGACATGAGAACCATCGCTACGGCCTTGGAGTATGTGCACAAAGGTCAGCTCCAAACAGCATCCACGTAGTGCCGGAAATAATAGACATTTCACTACCAAATCTACCAAGATAATATGAAGACAGTTGCTTCATTAGATCTGGATAATGGTACCATCGCTTGTCCTGAAATTTGGAAGAATTTGGGCTGAACTGGAGGACTGCATATGATATGGCTAATGTGTCTGTCAAGGCCAAATATTTAAAGTAATAAATTATAATGCCATGGTTTGTGCGTTAAAATAAAACGCACAAGTTAAATTATGATGATATCAGTCTAATGCTAATGTTATTTGTACAGCGCAATTTTTGTTTGTTTGTTTTTTTATCATGCTTGAACCGTTAAAATAAATGTTATACATATTGTCCCTCATTTGTGTATATTCAGCAGTACATTTTTATCTCAATAGTGAGTATGGTTGTCAAATACAGTAAGTCAATACCCAGGTACTAATTAAAACTAAAACTAGCATCTGTCATTAATACTGAAAAATGACATAAAAATAAACCACATAATGAATAATAAATTACTAATAAACTATTATTTTGTATTGAAAGTTCTTTGTATTTTAAAAAAAAAAAAATAATAATAATAATAATATAATTATTGTATCAAAATCTAAATTGAGTATCCAGTTATTTCCTTAGAGTTGCACATGTTAAATAGAAATGGTTGTATCAATATCGAAGTTTACCCTAAAAAAAGCAAAAATCAAACATGCATTGTAATGTACTGAAATCACAGATCAACAGGTACCCAATAGTAAATGGTAAAATCTGGCTCAGCTATTTATAAAATTATAGCCGATATGAAAGATTATGATAGTTTCTGGTCTTTGAGTGGAAAGTTTTGCAACACATTTTTATAATCAGACCAAGGAGCTGAAAATGTTGCCAAAAAGTGTGGTTTGTGTGGGGTTATGTCATTACACGTGGTAATGTAACACACATGCGCATATTTGTCAACCATGGGAACTAACAGAGAGGTGACGTGAGGTTAATGCGTTGTTTATTTTTCTCTACATTTTAAAATGGCAGATTGCAGCTGGACACGAACACATCATACACCATCAATATTAGAAGTATTTATGTCCAGGCAAAGGTAAACTTCAGCTATGCTGTAATCTAGTGGGACCATAAAACAACCCATTCATGTGCGATTGGCAGTGAAACTTCAGCTTTTTTTCTCTACGGACTTGCACAAACCCAGTGTTACGGATTGTGGATTACAGATCGCGGACTTGTCTTAAAGGATCAACCACAGGGATAAAGGTTCCTGGGCCCGGTCTCGTGGAGCTAAGACACAAGAGTCACCAGGAAGGGAAAGGTGTGGGAGTGCCAGCCAGCACCTCAAAACAAGGTAGGAGCAGATATTCTCTAATCACTCTATAAACCAGCATAGAGAATAGTATGTTTTAGGATTTAAGTTATCTTAAGTTTTTTTGCATTGAAAACATGTTTTTAAATATATGTGTTAAATACAGTTGTGGTGACTGGTGAACTTTAGAATGAGTCATTTTAGCCAAAACAGCCACATAATGAGTACCACTTGTAGCTTTTTTCTTTTTTATGTAAAAAGAACAAAGTTTACCCTACCTCATGCAGCAAACTCAATTTGTAGTAACTCTGGAGTTACTGCTACTACTATGATTACTATGATTACCACTACTACTACTTATACTACTGCTGCTGCTACTGCTACTGCTACTATTACTACTACTAGAATTACTACTACTGCTGCTGTTGCTGCTGCTACTACTAGTAGTACTACTACTAGAAAAACTACAACTATATAATTATTAACTAGTACAACTACTACTCTTGTAACTACCGGTGCTACAACCGCTTTTGCTGCTACTGCTACTACTACTAGAAGGACTATTGCAACTTCTATAACTACTGCTGTTGCTGCTACTACTACCACCACTACTACTACTACTACTGCTAGAATTATTACTGTAATTACTGCATTTGCTACTGCTAATGCTACTACTGCTACTAAACCTGCTTCTTCTACTACAACTAATATAATAATAGAATAAGAACTACAACTACTGCTACTGCTGCTACTACTACTGCGACTACTACTCTTGCAACTACTGCTGTTACAACTGCTTTTGCTGCTGCTGCTGCTACTACTACTACTACTGCTACTACTACACCAGCACTAACCAACTTAATGTTCTGATGAGAGACTCTAAGCAATCCACTTATTTGACAATTTAAAATATTACTGTTGTTTCAAAACAAAAATAATAAAAAAACAGCACATTATTTTTTTGTTATTATAATGCGTTTGCTTTTTATTCAATATGCCTGAAAAAATAATTGGTCTGAGCCCCGAGCACTTTAAGCAGCTTTGTCACAGGCATTAAATTTATACCTGAAAACAATGCAGCCTTCTCCCAGTTGACCCCCTCCTCCACAAATACCTCTCTCCCCACCGTAAGAGTATTAACCAAGGATTTCACATGTGCCAAATGCAGTTACGTATTACCACCACTATTTCGCTCATACTTGGTCATATTATGAAATCAAAAGTACCGTAGCAACCCAGTAAACCAGATTTTCTAGCTTGTCTTATCAGTATTTGCGCAATGTTGTTTATCCAACAGGTCTCCAAACTCCAGACAGTTTGAACTAACCGGGCAGTATGGACACACAGATAATTTATGATCTTTTGGGGTAAGTAAAAACAAAACATTTACTTTTTAATGCATTCGAAATCCATTAGTCTCAGAATGATGAATAGATTAGGACTGTTGCCATAGCGATTAACAATTTAAACTGCATATATCTTTTGAATGGGGAAAAAATGTTGCAGATAACAGGAAGCTGAGACCCACAGGTTATACTCAATCGTGAGTTTGATGATGTCATAATTTCAGGTAGGGGTCAGGGGTCAATTTAACTAAAATATCCAAAATTATTATCCACAAATATTGAACCTGATCATTATTTGTTAGGGATTAGGTCCACAAACCTGCCATATTAATCTTATAGTTTAGTTTAGTATAGTTTTCTTTAAGGTGACAACAGTCACATTTTTGAGGTTAAAATGATCCCACTTTCTTTCAGTTTTTTTTTTTTTCATTTGGACAGGAGATATGAACCATAAACTAGGTCAAACTATCTGAAATCTCACAGTTATACAGCAAATTCCACTTTAAAATTCTGACCTGTCCTCCAGCCCAGTCAGTCTCTTGTAATTCTGTTGTAATGTCAAATAAACCCAAACTACTGATACTTTGCAGCTGATCAACATTTCCTCGAGGTGTGAAACTAGCTGAAAAATCTACTTTGTTTGAAGCTTTCTTATTCAAATTAGACTTAATCTGATCTTTATTTTAACCTAATCTGTCCAGGGAAAGATGACATATTGGCTTGTCAAAGTCTGATTCTGTCAGATTTCAGAAGCTAAGCAGGGCTGGGCCTCGTAAGTTCGTGGATGGGAGACCACTGGAAAAATCAGGTGCCACAGGGGGGCGCCAGTCACCAAAACTTAGTCGTGTGCTTAAGCAAGGCACTTCACCCACATTGCCTAGTATGAAAGTGGTGTGTGTGTGATTGATGGAGGTGGATAGAGGAGCTGAGGGCACAGATTGGCAGCCTCGCTTTCATCAGTCTGTCCCAGGACAGTTGTTGCTACAATAGTAGTTTACCACCACCGAGCATGCATTGAATAAAGAATGCTCTGTGAAATGTCTGAGTGTCCAGAAAAGTGCTATATAAAACTGATGGATCTTTACAAGAGTCAGGCTTGTAATAGGTTAGGACTGTTGCCAATTAACAATTTAAACTGCATATGTCTTTTGAATGGTGAAAAAACATTGCAGACAACAGGAAGCTGAGACCCATAGGTTGTATTTGATTTGATCATGAGTTTGATGATGTCATAATTTCAGATGGAGGTGAGGGGTCAATATAAGGAAAATATTCCAAATTATTATCCACAAATGTTGAACCTCATCATTATTTATTAGGGACTGACTCCACAAACCTGCCATATTAATCTTATAGTTAAGTATAGTTTCCCCTGACAACAATCAGATTTTTGGGGTTAAAATTACTCCACTTTCTGAAGCTATTGTGAAAAAATAATTTCTGTTCTTGCAGTTTTTCTTTCATTTGGACAGGAGATATTAACCATAAACTAGGTCAAACAATCTGCAATCAATTGAACAGCAAATTCCACTTTAAAATTCTGACCTGTCCTCCAGCCCAGTATTGATCTATTGTGATTCTGTTGTAATGTCAAATAAACCCAAACTACTGACACTTTGCAGCAGCTCAACATTTCCTGGAGGTGTTAAACTAATTGAAAGCTCTACTTTGTTTGAAGCTTTCTTCAAATTAATTAGGTTTAATCTGATCTTTATTTTAACATAATCTGTCCAGGAAAAGCTGACATATTGGCTTGTCAAAGTCTGATCCTGTCAGAATTCAGAAGCTAAGTAGGGCTGGGCTTCATTAGTACTTGGATGGAAGACCACTAGGAAAATCAGATGCCACAGGGGGGCACCAGTTGCCTAAATTGTAATTGTGTCCTTAGGCAAGGCACTTCACCCACACTAGGCAATGTGGGTGAAGTGCCTTGAAAGTGGAGTGTGTGAGTGATGGAGGTGGTTGGAGGGGCCAAGGGCGCAGATTGGCAGCCTTGCTTCCATTAGTCTGCCACAGGACAGCTTTTGCTACAATAGTAGTTTACCACCACCAAGTGTGCAGTGAATGAAGAATACTCTGTGAAGTGTCTATGAGTGTCCCGAAAAGCGCAATAAAAAACTGATGCATCTTTATAAGAGTCAGGCTTGTAATAGGTTAGGACTGTTGCCATAGTGAATAACAATTTAAACTGCGTATGTCTTTTGAATGGGGAAAAAATGTTGCATATAAGAGGAAGCTGAGACCCATAGGTTGTATTTGATCATGAGTTTGATGATGTCATAATTTCAGATGGAGGTCAGGGGTCAATATAAGTCTATGGGAGATTTAATGTTTTTTGAAAATATCCATTATTATTCGTAAATTTTGAACCTTATAATTATCTGTTAGGGATTGGCTCCACAAACCTACCATACTAATCTTATAGTTTAGTATAGTTTCCTTTCAACTGATAACAATCACATTTTTGGAGGAAAAAATTACTCCACTTTCTGAAGCTATTGTGAAAAAAATAATTTCTGTTCTTGCAGTTTTTCTTTCATTTGGACAGGAGATATTAGCCATAAACTAGGTCAAACAATCTGCAATCTCACAATTAAACAGCAAATTCCACTTTAAAATTCTGACCTGTCCTCCAGCCAAGTTTTGCCCTATTGTGATTCGTCACTGTTATGATGTCAAATGAACCCAAACTACTGACACTTTGCAGCAGCTCAACATTTCCTGGAGGTGTGAAACTAACTGAAAGCACTACATTGTTTAAAGCTTTCTTATTCAAATTAGGCTAATAATTAGACAAATTAATAATAATAAGGTTTAATTTTATCTTTATTTTAACATAATCTGACCAGTAAAAGCTGACTTGTCAAAGCCTGATCCCGTCAGATTTCAGAAGCTAAGCAGGGCTGCCTCGTTAGTACTTGGATGGGAGACCACTGGAAAAATCAGGTGCCAAAGTGGGGCACCAGTCGCCAAAACTGTAGTTGTGTCCTTAGGCAAGGCACTTCACCCACAATGCTTAGTATGAAAATGGTGTGCAGTCGGAGGGGCTGAGGGTGAAGATTGGCAGCATCACGTCCGTCAGTCTGCCCCAGGGCAGCTGCGGCTACAATAGTAGCTTAGCACTACAGAGTGTGCAGTGAATGAATAATGCCCTGTAAAGTGTCTATGAGTGTCCAGAAAAGCGCTATATAAAACTGATGCACCTTTATTATTATATGTGTATATATATATATATATATATATATATATATATATATATATATATATATATATATATATATATGAAAAAATATATATGAAAATTATTATTATTTATTGAAAATCAAGCACCTAAACTGGACCATGAACGCTCATATTGATCACAGGCTCCTGAAAATGTTTTGTTTTGTATTTCTTCTTGAGTTTTCAGACTATCTTAAACCCTTTTTTGTCTGTGCTCTCTAATGTGTGCACCATGGAAACATTCCAGCAATAGAAATACATTACAGAACACCATCACAGTTTTTTACAGACCAATAATACTGGGTTCCTGGGTTTAGTTCCTGGGTTACTGATAGAAATTATCAGGGTCAACATTTATGAATTTACCTTTTAAATATTTTATGGCAACGTTACCAATGTTATGAAAAAAGTATTTGACGGACCCTCCACCAGAAAAGATACACACCTTTAAATAACAGCACTTTAGATAGAGCAGTGCTTTAATTTAGCTTCACACCCTAGGAATAATAATGACATCAGCTATCAGTAAACTAACATTATGTCAATTTTTTCTTTTTTTTTTCATAGGGAAAATGCTTGGTTGTACATCTCAGGCACATTTGCGGTCCTGTGGGTGCTGGTGTGGCTGTACAGAGACAGTGTTGAAGTGGATAACATCGGAGAGAAGTATGTTTTGTGACCGGCTGCGATTCGGGATTTGGAAACCTCCTCTGCAGGAAGTTGGATCGTAAAGGATTCTGTGTTCTGGCCGGATGTCTGACGGAGAAGGGCGCCGATGATCTGAAGAGGGTGTCAAGCTCCAAACTGAAAACTGTCTCGCTAAATGTGACAAGCCAGGACAGCATACAGAAAGCAATGGAGTGGACTAGGAAGGAAGTTGGAGATAAGGGTAAGAAAAGTAAAAATGCACTTTATAAATATACAATTTCTCTTTTCAAACACAATGAGGTAGAAAGAGCGACATCAGTGTACCGTTTGTGTAGATAGGTCTTCTTGATAGTATGTAACTGTAATGACAACCTCTTCTATGGAAATAAAAAGTTAAAACCATGATAAGTTGATGAAGATAAATAAACCTCCTGTGGGCCAAATAAGAATCATGTTTGTCAAGATGTTAGCCCACTCAGATGGATGTTTTTCTGCATTTGTAAGTGCAAAAAAACATCTATAATGAAAAAATCTTAATGTATAATGATTTTTTTTTTTTTAATCAAAAAGTTCTATACTGTAGCTATGTCTGCTTCTAAAGTACACACACACACATTGCATTCATACATAGGCAAGGTGGGTAAAGTGTCTTGCTCAAGGACAACAACATGCATTGGTTAGACATGGGAGTTGAATTGCCAACCACTGACATCTCTATTTTGTTTTATCCAATGACTGTAAACTTGCTGTTGCCTAAAAAGTAAAGGGTATGTATAATAAATAATAACAGAATCAGCTCTTGTTTTGCTGTGTTTTTCCATCTCTTCCAGGACTTTGGGGTATTGTCAACAACGCAGGCCGGGCGCTACCCATGGGTCCGTCTGAGTGGATGAAAATAGAGGACTTCCACAGCACGCTCAGAGTCAACATGGATGGAGTGATCGCCATGACGATGACCTTTCTGCCCCTCATCAAGAAAGCCCGAGGTCGAATCGTGAACGTGGCGTCAGTGCTGGGGCGGGTGGCTGCAAACGGAGGAGGATACTGTATCTCCAAGTTTGCGGTGGAGGCTTTCTCTGACTGTCTCAGGTTTGACTTGAGTGTTGGATTTATCAAACCAAGAAAAAAAAAAACATTTTTTTAAATTGCACTCAGCTTGTACTGCAGGATTCCATTCGATTTGATTTTGAGAGAGATATGGATCTGCTTGGTGAGGTTACTACAAAGCAATGGGGAGGCCACACAAAGTCTTTTCCAACTTTTCAAACACATTTTTCTGTTATTGTTTTTTAATATGGGGACCACTATAAGTTAAAGATATACTATGTAACTTTTCTCATGCACCACCTGATTGGCTCCACAAAGACTTTGGTTTCCCTGGAATTCCACAGTATGGTTAGAGACTTAGACTTAGACAAACTTTATTAATCCACAAGGGAAAATATTTGGACACACTAATTCACACATCACAATATAATATAATAACAAAGAGTAAAAAAATATAAATGGTAATAAGAATTTCAAAATAAGTGGCAAAAAATAGAGCCAAGTGTCAAATAAGACATAATTATATAAAAGTATATGTACAAGTCAAAATAGAAAAATAAGTAATAAAATCTCAGCTTTATACAAGAGGTCATAGGCAGACACTACAACAATGATATGATTGTGATTGTAATGATGGTTGTAAACCTATTTATTTCTGTGTCAAGAGAAGAGAGGAGAGACAACCCCGCTCAGTGTAAGAATGCATGTTTTTCAAGCCATTTTTATTTTTAGCTACAGAATATTTGTAATCTCTAAATGCATCGCACTTGCATGGTTCCATGGAAATAGAATGTTAAAGCCATACTTCAGAACATTCTTTGTTGAACATTCATTTTATGCCATTTATATATACAGTCTATGGCCATACTGTGAAAGATTATAGCCAAAGAAATACAATGTCCATGGTTACAAACAGGAAGATGACCTCCTTCACACATAACGAGACTCAAGTTTGTGGAAATGCAAGCCCGTTCAAAGTAAGGATGCATGTTTGTCTATGTTTTAAGTGCAATAAACAGCACCAAAATGAAAATGAATGTGCTTTTATTTTAGTCTATTTTTGACTAAAAAGTCATAGCAGTCCTGATTTTAAAGCATTTTTAAATCTCTCAATATTCTAATAAAAAAAAACTTGCCCTGAGTTTATCTAGCCTCCCTTTTGCTTTGTAGTAACCTCACCAAGCCACCATCTCTCAAAATTAACTTAATATCCTTTTATACACCAAGACTCTTGGCGCTCTGCCCTTTATTAAACTTTGCGCAAGCTTTCTTTTGTCATCCACTTCATTTCCTTGCCTCGCCTTGTGTTTTCAGGAGGGATATAAACTACTTTGGGGTGAATGTCTGCATCATTGAACCGGGGTTTTTCAAGACAGCCGTGACCAGTCTGGAGCCTATAGAGAGAGAGCTGCACCGCCTCTGGAACCAGCTCAGCCCAGAAGTACAAGCCAGCTACGGAGACAAGTATCTGGACAAGTGTGAGTACTGCAGTTAATACTATAAGTAACATTTTATAATAACTACACTTTAATTAGCCTAAATGAAGCACAGACACTTAAAGAGCCCATATTATGCTATTTCCTGATCCATGTTATATTGTTGTTTCCTCATCACATGGAGTTGTGTTTTGTGATGTCATGGGGTAATACAGGAAGTACTCCACTGTGTTTTAAAACTCCATACACCTTCACTAAAATCATTTGGATAATTTCAGTCCTGGAATTGACAATCTTTACTAAACTAAAGGTAAAATGTAGGGGTTCACGTGAAAACTACCAGTACATGACATCACAAGGTGGAACACAGCATTTTGAGCTTTGAGTGGGTATCTAATATGAGACATGGAAACTAGTAAATTTAGGGTGAAGAAACTATATCATAATTTAATATGTTTTTGGGTAAGTTAGTGTAAAATGCCCTCCTATCTTGTATGTATGAATACAAATATTGCACTGCTATTGAAGACAGTAAAAGGGCTGTAGCTACAAATACTTTGATCTCACCAAAAATATCACACGTCAGATAATTTCTAGTACATGTTACTTTTTTATTTTCCTGTATATGTGACCAGTGAGCTGCTTTGTTTCGCATGCATCACTGAAAAATAAACCAATCTGATTGCACGATCACAAATGGGCTTGAGGCACGACAGAGGGTGTGGGCAGGACTGATGTGAAACAGTATAAAAAATTCTGAGAGATATCATTCATTCACTTCCTACTTCTAAAAATACATTGAAGATACCATGCTGAAATAACATTTTCTGTTCATTTCTAGACATCCAAGTGCAGCGGCTGATCATGAACGCTGTGTGTGACTCTGACCTCTCCAAAGTTACCAACTGTATGGAGCACGCCATCTCCGCTGCCCATCCCAGGACCAGATACAGCGCCGGGTGGGATGCCAAACTGCTCTGGATTCCCCTCTCATACATGCCCTCGTTCGTGGTTGACCTGGGACTCAAACTGGTGCTGCCACGTCCTTCAAAAAGTGTCTAAGCCAAGATCAGATTTACAAGGTTTTGTGTTGTTTTGATTGCACACAGAAGTTAAAGGTGCACTATGTAACTTTTCTGGTTGGGGGTCCACCACTTCCATGTCTCACTGGAAATGTTTTTGCTTTGGCTTGAATATTCCACACTATAGTATTAAATTTATTTGCATACATATATTTTGTTACAGGTTTTTATTGTTCAAAATATTTGCTTTCTTACTGTAAGTGAACTCACCTTTCCACAGATCTAACCAGTGAACCTTTAAACTGTAGAATATGCAATATATACTTTTATGTGTATTTATGTCTGTACCATTGTACTGTGTAACCAATTGTTATGAATGTTACACCCTTCAGTGCCTTCTGCTGTCTGTTAATATAGAACAATGAAGAAATGTGAAATGCCTATGTAACTAACAAATTATGTCACTCTATTATTGCGTTATGCCAACATAATAAAACTGATAAAAATGGAAAGTCATTCCCCCAAACTGAACCAAAATCCATATTAACTAACAACACTAAACGAATAGCACTTTAGAGCCACTAGATGGAGCTATAATTCCCACTGTACATCTGAAGTAACCTTATCTTTATAAACAAGTTAGAGTTGTTAACTTCTCCAGACTTCTACTTTTTATAGATGTAGTAATTTATGAGCACTTTTCATGTAGTCAGTAATTCATGTGCAGAGTAATTGGGGACATATTTCAGTTCAACTAACTGTGCAACCATGTTCTAAATATAAAGTGTAATCTTAGGTTACAGGTCAAAGGCTTTGTTACTGCTGAAATATCTTTTAGGACTGAGAAACAGGTGTTAGTAAAAGGAAATGTTTTATTGCGTCATGGTAATGTGTCCCGCTGATTGGTTGCGGTACAAACTTTGACGCCGCACGTGTCCCCCCAATGTTATGGCCGTATGATCGACAGGTGCTTGTTGTCTTGTTTCTCTGTGTGTTCAAAGAGTTATTTCAGGCCTAGCTGCCTCGTTTTAAGGACGCTAGTAGCAGTTTGTGTCTACTTTCATACCTCACTATAAGGTAGGTTTTGACTTCGAAGCATTAATCTAAAAGAAAAAAAAGTTAAGAGCATCTGATGAGTTATCTTTACGCACAGATTACGCAAGGGATTCATATTTTTCTACGCTAGTTATGACACAGACAAGCATGAAAAGTATGTCTTCTAGGCTTTACTTAAATGCATTTAAAGTTTCCAAACGTGTACATTTGACTGTAGGTTCGGTCCTTGTGACCCCTGACTGGCTGCGGACTGAAATATTAGCCCACGTTTTTCGTCACTGACACAGTCGCCATGCACTGCCTGAGAGCCCTGCGCCTTACCCAAAGATCACAACTTATCTCCAGAAATGTGGAAGCCGCCAAAAAGATTTTCCTGGTTCATCCGCGGTGCTGTGAGAGCTCAATCTCAGATGGATTTCACCGACGATCCGCCACACACTTGGATCTTTTCAAACTGTGAGTGTTTATCAATGACTTTGCTGAGCCCAGCCACCAAATGCATCAAACCAGAGGTGCAGAAATAATACTCAAGAACGAGTATGAATAGGGTATTTTTTATTTGGTAAAAATACAGAATAAATATAGCATGTTATAGATTATGTGTTATGTTATAGAAAAGTATAGCAGGCTATAATAAAAAGCAGGCTGTACTGTTCGATGTTCAAAAAGTCTAAGTTCCACATAGCCAGTTATAATGTGGTGAAGTGCTTCAAGTTATTGTCCTAGGTTAGGCCTTGTTACCAGTACCAGTGCTGTATCTGACATACAATATGATCTATTGAACACAAGAGGCAACAATATATAATTAGATATATAATATATTGATTAATATAATTTTGTATTCTTTTAATTATTTTTCAAACAGAAATATCCCGTCAAGGTCCCAGAGCTCTGGAGTGGAAGACATGCTCTTTTACACCATCACAGGAGGAAAAGAGCAAATCCCCATAGCACAGTTTAATGCAGTAGGTAGATAAAACACAGGATATCCTTACTCTTGTGGTACATGCCACATATAGTATCAGAGAATTTGAATGATTGTTTTCCCCACTGTTTAGGCTCTGAAAAAGACTGGCCTGCTCCCTTCAGACCCCCGCCTCAGGGAGTGTATGGAGAAGCTACGCCAGGTTGTGCAGGAGTCAATCGGGGATGTCATGATGGACAGAGACCTCTTCCACAGGTGACATAAGGACAAATACTCATACACTAATGTGCATCTTTGGGAATTTCGGTTTAGGCTAGCGTATTTTCTATGATTGGAAATATTCTTACTCATTTTATTGTGGTGTAACCATGTAATAGTTTATTTATTATAGGGGGGGTTCAATATGGCCACTTACACTAAATAATTAACCAAAAGAGTTAACCAGATCCTAATGCAATGATTTTATATGTCACTTATTGTACTAAGACATCCATTGATTGTATGTAGTTGCTAGGCTGCACAATGGTCTGTGTTTTTAAATGACCTTTATAAATACTTTGCAACGGCGGTGTGATTTTGTTTTGTTTAGTTTTTTCCTGTGTGGGTATGAACTGAGCTATTTTAGTCTGACCTTCAGCAAGAATCTATTTTAATGAAAGATTTACCATCTTGATCTGCCCTATTGTTTCCACATTTATTTATAGAATTGTCAATAGAACCCTGTTTTGTATGCTTCTCTAACACAGATTTATATAGATACAATCTATTGTTTTCCAAAACTGGCAAATAAAATCATACTCACTTAATGAAATTAAACCAACAATTCATATTTTATTACCTTGATTGTGTGGGGTTTGTGTGTTAAACAGGTTTGAATGAAACAAAACACAACTAAAAGTATACTTGCGATAATGTAACAACGTTTTAACATAGATCAGAAAATTACATAATAAGGAGCCTTTCAAATAAATTACCACATTTCACTTTATGGTCATAGTCTATAGTGTCTATAGAATGAAAAAAACTCATTAAAAAAAAACAAAACACACAAATAATCACAATGAAATTATGATTATTTTACTCAATTTGTATTGTCATTCCTGTTTTCAAATTTTAACTAATACATTTTAAAACACATTTTTTGGAATTTATTTGAGCTATAATTTTAAAGTATTGTAGAGATCAAGGTCGTAAACAGCATTTTCGGAGCACTGCAATTACCCTAGATGTAAGACTTACATCTGTTATGTGGGAATACACAAAGCAAAACGTGTAGGCCCAGTAAAAGTTGCATTCTGCTCCTCTCCTGATAATGAACCTACGCCCACACACACTGTAACATTGTTCATTTTGACTTTGCGCTTGTCTCTTTGAGTTTTCAGGTGCATGGGCGGAAACATCGTCCTGCTGATACAAGCCTTCCGGAAAAAATTCATTATCCCAGAGTTTGATATTTTTGCGAAGCAGATAAATGAAATCTACGACACAGTGGAGAAGCAAACAGAAGGAAAAGTAAGCTTAACTATATAAAACAAATGCCACAACAAGCTTTCTGTTGTATTCATGGGTTTTGGTTGTCAGTTTATAGAGCTCAGGATTATAATGTAATTAAATTTTCAGTGAGACAAATGTTAAACCAGTTGAGATTTGAAGTTGCCTTCGTTCAAAAGTATTCTGACAGGGTGATAAAGTTACCCCTAGTACCAGCCACCTGTTAACTTGAAAACTACTGCTGTGTGAGATTATAATGTGGAACAGAGCATTTTGAGCCTTTGAGATGTAGCCAGAATAACAAGGGTTAAGGCAATAAAGGATTACTTAAACATGTGAATGAAACAAAACAAGTCAATGTATATTTTTGATGCAGTAACAACACTATAACATGGTTTAAATCTCCCTAGTCAATTTTACATAATATAGGACCTTTAAAATCTGTGAAAAGATCGAAAATTAGGCATACTTGTGTGTATACTTGTGTAAACACCATTCAAAGTTTATAATGTTTAGTTAGAAATCGTCAGTTATGTCAATGGTGCTCATTTTTCATAATTTCTAAACCCATAGATACTGGCTTGTTGTTTCTTTTTCATTTGTTACACTATCTTTACCAGTGCTGGTTTTGTTCTTTAGGTGGCAGACTACATCCCACAGTTGGCCAAGTTTAACCCCGAGCTGTGGGGCGTCTCTGTGTGTACAGTCGACGGTCAGAGGTACTGCAAATACATTTGGTCTCTTAGTATTACATCTGTCTCATGCAATAGAGGCCAATGTTAAATCTGTGTGAGAACTTTGGAAAAGGGTTGGTCTTTTGGGGCTTGCTCTTCAAATCCACCTTTAATATAATCCCACATGTTTAGTCTGTGAAGTTGGCTATAGTGAGACTTTTTCAACCTTTTGGCCGTAGCTACATTTTATTTAGTTTCAGCGCTACAAGCTTTTCAAATACTAGCTTTTTGAATTTTCACTTGAATTCTGCAGACAGTGCTGATAATGAGTTTGTAATGTCAGTATGTAGTAAATATGAAGAATATAAAGGAATCTAAGTCAGATTCATTGTATTAATTTTGAATATTAAATTGGTAGTATTTGATGGTGTCTAAGTCAATCATATTTTTTCATTTCACTATGGACTATAACTCCAGCTAGGGAGTCCTTCAGCTAGATACTCTTGACCAGCATTCTAACTCATTTTATTACAACGCCCATTTCTCTTGATAGATTACCTGAACAACACTGATCTCATTATGAACACAATAAAGCCTTCGCACTTGATTTGTTGAAGGCAATATAGTTTTGATTTGAGTTTTAGTTTAGATTTGATTTAGTCTCGTTCAAGTCCTGGTTTAGTCCTGATCTAAACCAGTTGTAGTTCTAGGTTTGGTCCCAACTTTGATATGTGTATGTACTGTGTGTGTGTGAACGCACCATCACAACACTACCACATCAACCAATTGTTGATCAGCTCTGACAATATTTTTAGCCCAATATGTTGGGTTGATTTTGATTATTTTCCCCAATTATGTAATTTAAATGTAGTATAAACTCCCCCTAAGCCCTTTTTCTCCAGAAACCTGTTAAGGATCTGTGTTGTCACATTTTTTGCAGCTATCTTTTTGTATTAAAGTGTAATAAATAATAAAACTTTGTGTATTTTTAGGCAGCAGATTTTGGCCTGTGTTGGAGAATTAAAGTCAATAGCGATATACTAAAAAGTCAAAGTATCAGCCCAATATATCAGCCAACCAGCCAAGATATATCTTTCTCTAATACATTTTGTTTATATATTTTCTATTTTAAAACACATATCTCTTTAATATATTGAGCATTACTTATTTTGACTCATTCCAGTTTGTTGCCCTCAGACACTCAGTGGGTGACACAAAGCAGCCGTTCTGTCTGCAGTCCTGTGTGAAGCCTCTGCAGTACGCCATAGCGGTGCACGAGGAGGGCACAGATGCAGTGCACAGATATGTGGGGATGGAGCCCAGCGGGGTCAAGTTTAACATGCTCTCACTCAACGATGAAGGTGACACGTGCTTTCTATAACACTGTAATTCATGTTTAATTGTCTATTGCTGAATTAAAAGTGAATGTCTTTTGTCATTCATACAAGTAGCATCTGACAAGTTCTTGAACACACTCCAAGATGGATTGAAATGAGTTTGTGAACTCACAAATATCAAGAGAATCCGTTTTGCTCTGCAAGGTTAATTAGCTCCTCCCTTCAGACAGATATTTAAGGCTGTAACTTTCAGAACCTTGTCAGAACATGGATGAGTGGCAAAATGTATTCACTATTCAAACTTTTGACAGAATTCAATTTGCAAAGTTACGGGCCTTAGATTAACTTCTTAGATTACAATTTGCACTTCAGTAATACCCAACCAATCCTTGAATAGCTCCAGTCATTACGATAAGCCTTCTTCCTGTTGTAAATTGTAAAATGTATCTTATCACGGGGTCTCTTTGTTTCAGATAAACCTCACAATCCCATGGTGAACGCTGGAGCTATAGTCGTCAGCTCCCTTATCAAGGTAAACATTACTGTACATCTACTGTAGCTGAGTCAGCAAATAAACATACCCTGTCCCTTTGCTACCTCTGAATTTTGTAAATATTGCAAAATGTTCAGCAAGCAATTCCATAGTTCATAGTTATTTCAAGCGCTTCTAATCAGTGGATGCCAGCTGATCTCAGAGTCTCAATTATAAAGCGTGTAAAAACTTTATGTATGGGACATTACACATTATGATCTATATAAAAAGACATCTTCACATAGAAATGACCTTTTACCTTTTGTTCACTAGAGAGTGGCAATTCCAGGGCTGAACTTACCCAAATGGAAGAACAGGAACAGAACTCAGCCTAAATATGCAGGATTTGTGTGTTAAACATGCATGATGAGGAAACAACATTATAACATATACCAGAAAATAGCGTAATATGGCTGTTTAATAATAATCCAAGCAAATAGTTCAGTAGTTCATGTTTGTGTGTAACATGTAAGACACCTCTACCTGGGAGTAATTCACCATAACCTCCTATCTCCCTCTCACTGTACACAGATAATGGGCTCTAAATTATGCAATCAGACATATTCATGACTCTGACTCTGTCTCTCTCTCTGTATGTGTGATTCATTATTGTACAATTGTTTGAAAGCAGCTATTACAATCAGCAGATTTGTATGCAAGCAAACTTCTTTCTCCTCTGTTCACAGCCCAGTGCGAATAAAGCAGAGAAGTTTGACTATGTAAGTACCGTGCAATGAGAAACCAAGTCGTGACCCTGTGTTGTTGACTTGTGAATAATACATCTGTCTTCTGTGTCCAAGGTTATGGAGTTTGTGAAGAAGATGACCGGGCAGGAGTATGTAGGCTTTAGTAATGCAACGTGAGTAGTCATTTATTTATTTCAATTGGCTTTCGTTCTGTATGTCTGGAGGTTGTCAAGGATGACTGGGTGAAGTCTCTTGCCCAAGGACACAATGACAGAATGCATCAGTTCACTACACAATTCAACATGGAGAGACTCAGACACATAGAGAAATATTAGTAGTTTTATTAAATATAGAGAAATATTAGTAGTTTTATTAAATGAGTTAGTTTTGGTGTTCAGACCATGGCAGGAGACATTGCGATGAAGGGCATGGCTGGTTAGATGATGTTTAGGAGATTCCTTCACCTCAGGGCCTGGACGAGCAGTGGTAGGGTGACCAGATGTCCCAAAAAATTCAGGACAGTCCCGAAATCTAAGCTGTTGTCCCGTATCCCAAATTTGGCCCTAAATGTCCCCAAAATTACACTCAAACATAATACTGAGTAATTATGTTCTGATGAACATTAAAAACTGCCCCTGACGGTTTCTAGATGCTCTGTTCGCAAGGCGTACATTCGCCTTGGTTGCCTCCAGAGAAGAGTGTCTGAGTGAAGGCATGGGCAGAAAGTACGCTGCAGCCGCCATGTTTGGAGCCGAGTGGAGAGCAGAAGGGAGATAGAGAGGTGCAGTTCAAGTGACGTGGGGTCAGGAGAGGCAGGTGAGGCAGTGCCACAACCAAGCTTTCCCCTACATAATATGGTTTAGGTTACTGCGTTAAGTCACTTGTCTTTAGTACAGATGTTTTGCGTTCAAGACCCTCATTTGTGATTTACATTTTTATTTTACATTTTGGGTGTAAACAAAACAATTTATTAAAACTCAATGTTTTTAATAGTTAATGTGATTTTTGTTTTGTTTGTAAAGAAAAGCAACATTTCTGAGCCTACACTTTGCTCCTCCGTACCCCACCACTGTCCCAAATTTCAGCCAATCTCATCTAGTCATCCTAAGCAGTGGGGAGGAGTATTTGGAGTGAGGCATAGGTAAGCTCTGGACAGGTGGTGAGGTAGACGAGAGTGAAGTTAGGTCTTCCAGGCTGAATTTATTCTAGATCCATTAGAATCTGTCTCACATGTATTCAAACAACATGCATGCTTACTTTGAGCACTGGCTCTCCATAGATCTAACCTGTAATTAAGTTTAAGTCCACATTCACTAGCAAGGACCACACTACAACAATGGAATACAATAAGATATTTATTGATGGTGGATAGATGCAATGGCTGGGCTGAGACTCAGGGTGGGGACTCCAATCCAAAATGGTCACCCAGCTGATTCAGATCCCTCCCTCCTTAAGATGATGTCTTCAGACAGAAGGATGGACGAGAGACATGGGATGGGAGGGAGGGGGTTGAGAGAGCTGACACAGGCAATGATTTCGGGATAATCTATATAAATGGGGCTTCTGGGTAACTGGGTTGGCTGGAGAGGAGGTTGAGGTCCAGATCCCAAATCTCAGTTAGGCAATAACATCTCATCTTATTAAAATAAAGGCAAAATATATCTCCTAATGACAATATTACCCTCTATTGTTTTATGTAATAAATTGTAGATGCCCAAGAGTTGAAGAGAAGAGGCACAGGAAAAGTTTATTTACCATCAGTACAGAACTTCTGTTCTCGGGAGTATTATACTACTGATGATAGCACAGCTTCCATGCAACTACTACATCACTGTATATTTAATAATTTTTTTAAATTTAAAATCACTCTTGTCTACTACCTAGATATAACTTTGTTGCCTTTCACTGCACAAAAAACTATGGGTTCAAATTCAATAATCATTTCAATGTAATTTGAAATGATAAGGTATGACTATATCTATACTTATTTATTGTGCAAGGTTTGGTCCAATTTTTGAGTAAATATTTAGTAGCTTAGTTAGTAAACACAATCACCCACTAACTGATCCCTCTGTATACTATTATACACATTACTGCTGTTGTGTTCTTTGGCAAGACACTGTTGTAATTATTTGCCTCCTTCCTTCCAACCCACTGGAATGCTATTGTCAACAGTATTATTTTCTTGTTTACTCTCATGCTAATTAGCACAGCCTTGACAACATCATTTTTACAGTATTTGCTCCTTTGTTCACTGGAGCATCCTCGCCTCACTGTTGTTTTGCATTATTTATGTTTGAGTATTGACCGCTCTGCCTCTGTCTCAGGTTCCAGTCAGAAAAAGAAACTGGTGACAGAAATTTCGCTATTGGATACTACATGAAAGAGAAGAAGGTCAGCAGTTAAGGAGCATTTCTGCTATGTACGCACAACAGTCATCTTTATTTCACGTGTAGTATTATCAGAACCTTTTGCTAATTGAACCACTGCAGCATTGTGTAAAGTATTCACAGGATTTAAATTTAATTGTCTTTACATAAATATATTGTTTTCTAGTACTTGTTTCTGCATAAATAGTTGATCGAACTCCTCTGCAGGTGTAGTCTTGTGAGGCCAGATTGTATCAGATAGAGATACGTAATAAATTTGAGACTAAAAGGGTTTTCTTTTAGTCGATTGATCGATTGTTATATTGTGATATGTCTTCATTCTACCAAGAACTTCTTTTGTCCAAATTTTGTTATATGGATCAATCAGAGTATTATATTCTGAAAATTTTCACATTGAGTTGGAAGTTATTATAGTTATTATGAAGTAAAAATCCATGACATAAGACCAAACTCTATTTATACTATTTAGAGATGGGGAAATTCTCCATGCACTGCAAGAACTCAGTTTTTTATTTTTCATCTGTCTCACTAAATCGCACGATCTAATGCTGACATCCATTCCTTTTCATTTTAGGAAAGTACATTTTGAATACCACCAAATGCAAGATAAACTGTACTGGAATACAGTTATATATTACCATAAATAATTATTTTGAATACATATTTTTGGTACCTGTGTTTAGTTTTACTTCCCAACACTGAAAATATTTAAGTTCATGCCCTTAACAAATCCCTTTCCTGATTTGACATCTTTTTGCTGAATCTGAGTTTCATTTTACAAGTCTGAGCTGATCTTGTTTTCTTTCCCCAGTGTTTTCCTCCTGGAGCAGATATGATCGATGCCCTAGACTTCTACTTCCAGGTAAAAGCATGTAAAAGGCTAACAAGAGGTCTATATCAATACCCATCAAAGTATAAAACCTCTGAAGTGGAGAATCTGCACTAAATCCTCAACAGTACTGCTGATCCTAATACAAAACTATAAAACAAAAATGTGCAGTTGATAATTTATACGGATAAAAGGGAGCACGATGTAAAAGTTTGGATTTTGATGCTACTTATTTAGCATAGTTCAGTATAAGTTTTAGCACAGGCTTTTTTTTTTATGAGGTTTGCATGTTCCCCCTGCGTCTGGGTTGGTTTTCTCTGGGCACTCCGATTTCCCCCATCAAAATCCTCAAGCTAAGACGGTCCTGACCAAGCCTAGCTCAATATCTGGATGCGGTACTGTGTTGCCCACTGCTCCTGATGAGATGCCCTAATGGCATTGAAGGATGGATTAAATGTTGATCCATTAACCCCCTCCTGGTGTTTGTTTTGCCATTTTGTCTGATAATAAATTCCTATTCCTAATATGGAGCCTGGCTCAAAATTTGCCCCTATAACTTCCAGCATTGTGAGCTCATCTGACTCGAGCCTAACGCTATGGGTGACGTCAGACTCCCTTAGTCCACTTCTTTATACAGTCTGTGACTCACACACAGTAGGGTAGGTCCTGACCCAACCTGTTTTGAGATGGGTTCAGGTTTTCCCAGAGGCATTGTATCAAACATCAGTTCAGAATCAGTTTATGAGAGCAGTAGTATCTTGACCTCAACCCTCAAGATAAGCAAAATGCTTTCCTTGAAAATCCACTCCAGGAAAAAAGGACATTCTTATCATCTGTACAGCTTCTCTGAACTGAAATATATGATTTTTTTTTTCTATATCATAAATCAACTCTAATATGGGTTCCAGTGATTATGCCATTGTTAATCACTTAAACCACATTGTCTTGTCTTAGCTCTGCTCTATTGAGGTGAACTGTGAATCAGGAAGCATCATGGCCGCTACTCTTGCCAATGGCGGGATCTGTCCAATCACAGGGGAGCGTGTACTGAGTGCAGAGGCCGTGAGAAACACCCTGAGCCTCATGTATTCCTGTGGGATGTACGACTTCTCCGGAGAAATGGCCTTCCATGTGAGTGCAGCTCCGAGGTCACCCTGACAATGAACTGAAAAAAATAAAAGTGAAAAATGATCTGTGGTGTTTCTCCCTTAGGTGGGCCTGCCTGCTAAATCTGGAGTGTCTGGTGCCATTCTTCTGGTGATTCCAAATGTGATGGGAGTGTTGTGTTGGTCTCCTCCCCTGGACAGGGTTGGGAACAGTGTCCGGGGAATACACTTCTGTCAGGTAAGGTGAATTTAAAGTGCTTATTGGCCATTTTCTGATCTATGTTGTAATGCTGTTTCCTCAGCAAAAACTTATCTGAAGATGTGTTTTGTTTCATTCACACATATTTAACAAACAAATCCTGCATATTTAGACTGAGTTCACTCTGTTCCACCTGTTCCACCTTGTGATGTCATGTGGAAGCGCTCCACTGTGTTTTTAAACTCCATACAACTTCACTAAACTCATTTGTATGATTTCAGCCCTGGAATTCCCAATCTCTTACTGAACTAAAGGTGAAAAGTTACTGTTAACTTGAAAACTACCACTTGATGACATCACAAGGTGGAACAGAGCATTTTGACCTTTGGAGTTGTAGGCACACTAATAATAAAGGGTTACTCAAACATGTGTGAATGAAACAAAACACAACTCCAAGTACGTTTTTGATGAGGTAACAGCATTGTAACACGGATTAACGCTCACTTTGTGTAATATAGGACCTTTAACCTAGTCCAGGAGCAATTACATTTAACGGCACTCTAAAATATGAACTGTTTATCTGAAAAAGAATACCATGCATTTTTTTGTCAAAGTCTAAACTACATGGTTAGCAGTTTTCATACATAATAAATAAACTATATTGTTGTTTACAGAATAATTATCCAGTTACTTGTAACGTTTGCAATTTGCAAATTAAGCTGTTATAATCACAATTTCTATTTTCTTTTAAAAATTGTGATTAATATTGCATGGCCTAAGCTCAGTCTAACTCTTTGTTCTTCTTCTTAGGAACTTGTATCACATTTTAACTTCCACAATTATGACAATCTGCGGCATTTTGTGAAGAAAGAGGACCCCCGCAGAACACAGGGAGATGACAGGGTTAGCTATTTGGCTCTAGCTATTAATGCATTTCTTTTATATTCTAAATGTAATCTCCCCTCTCTTTAACATTACAGAACAAATCCGTATTCGGTTTGATGTTTGCAGCTTACAGTGGAGATGTGTCAGCCTTGAGACGGTAGTGCTTTGATGTTGTCTATAATAGCATGTCTGTCTTTTATATTTCAATGCTTGTAATTACTTCTTAGGTTTGCATTGTCTTCTATGGATATGGACCAAAAAGACTACGACGCCAGAACAGCCCTTCACATCGCCGCAGCAGAAGGTAAATTTTAACATGAATAAGATTAACTTTATATTCAATAAAATAAAATGATATATATTTTTTATTTTATTTATTTGTTTGGTTAAAGGTGCACTATAACTTTTCAAATGTAGCGTCTGTGGAGGGTCTGCCACCTGCTTGTTTCCAGAACTTTGTCTGTAATGTTCCCTTGTATAGCATTAAACATGTACATCTCCATGAAGACAAGCATGTAACAGCACTGGGCCAAGTTAAAAGTCAAATCTATGGAAAGGCAAGACCACTCACAGTAAAATTTTGGTATTATTAAGGAATACAATTATTAAATGCATTTAAGACATAAATGGTTAAATGTATCTTTAAGTGCTTGTTTCTCACTATATGAAGATTTGCTACTTTAATGTATCTCACATAAAACTAAATGTACCTTAAAAATACATGGGACAACTTGCTCTTTAATAAATATTATTTTGTATTAAAGGCCACGTCCCCAATTTACCCCATTCAGTGCCAAAGGAGAAAGCTAATTTGCTCTTTTTATCAGATAATGGGGAACAGAGATTTTACAACAGGAAAAAGGGTTCAGTTTTAAATCTAGAAATGTGTTTGAGTGCAGATTTCTGTTGTAATACAGTGAGTTTGTGAGTTTATTGACAAATAGAAATGATTAACATTAACATTTGTCACTTTACCTTATGGATACTTCATTGCAAAACACAATACAGTCAATAGAAAAATTGGGAAATTTGGCTATGCCCCTTGAGCTGTGAGTATAAAGTTATCACATTCTACAATCTGAAAACCACAAATTGATCATGTGGTAGGCGGTCACGCTTTTTTTTATAGCACTTTTGCACTTTTAACTTACTTACTTACTTGCTCACTTTTAACTGTAGTGACACCATGCACGGATGTTCTGTGGTGAAGAGTTCAGCAGTTACCATAGTGGCACAATGGACACATTCGCAAACACTGTCAAAAAATATGTCCGATCATGGTTCTGTTGAGGTGTTTGATTTTCAACAAAAAGGTGAGAGTGACCAAGTGAAAAAACTCTCTGCAATTTTATGTGTGAGAGACTTGTCTAACAGCACAAATCCGCTGTTATAGTTTCAGCTAAATCAGCTCTTTCTGGTCAGATTGTGTCAAAATAAAGCACAGATTAAAGTCTGATTAAGCCTCAGACAGAGCAGAGCTTATAGTTAGCATCACAACCACAGGGAATGTTGATGACATGAGCTGCAAAGTATCAATAATGCGTTTAGACATACAGCTAACATAACACAAATCACATGCTATTCTGTCGATTATTTTTTGTTATTTATGTCACGCCACTTTTTTCGATTTAATACTTTTGTCAAACTGACAAATAGGAAGGCTGTTTATCTGCAAATGAGAAAGTGAAAATGATCTACCCCGGTGCTCACAGCTGTAATCAGTCGTAGACTCCAGTTCATTTGTTTTGGTGATAAATGCAGAGGCACACGCCGCGTTAAAGCAGCTGCTAATGATGCCTACACAATACCATATGCTCATTGTTTGTTCACTTTAAAAACTTTAGTCTCTGCAGTGTTGTTTGCCTCCTCTGCTACATCTTTTAAAAAGCCCTGCCAGCTACTCATTTGTTCAAAAGAGAAAACTGGGAGCAATAATTGTTTGTCTGAGATGATAAAAGCGGAGCAGTGCCGCCCCCAAATCCGATTCCGAGGAAGATTGTCTCGATATTAAGTTGTATTTTACTGCATAATGGATTTTCAGACAAATGAAATGCTTTTACAGGCATATTTTGTTAAGGGTATTGGATGCATTTGGGGAGAAGAGGTTTTCGATGTGCTTTTTTCATGCTTATTGTCTATAGAAATGATGTAGATTTTTACATTGTTTTTTTTTTCGTTTTTGCCAGGTCATATTGATGTTGTTCGGTTTCTTACGTACACCTGTAAAGTGGATCCTTTTACCAAAGACAGGTAAGCAATTTTGTCAGCAATTATGTGTTTAGAATAAATAACTTGGTTAATTTATATGACAAAAATAAAACAACTGAAGTCATTTCAGAACATGTTTGTAAAGGTCTAAACTACAGGATTAGCAGCTTTTATATTCTAAGTCCAAAAAAGTGCACTACATACATTGTCTCGGGGAGTATCTCCCACCTGTTTGTCTCCATGGAAATGCTATTGCTTTGCCTAGAATGTTCCACAGCATGGCATTAAACATATGGGAAGTGACAACCCCCTCCAAACCATTGAAGATCACACCAAGTCTGCTTAGATAAGCCAGCCTGGTTTATCTCCACAGTCCCAGTTCTGCAAAGGAATTTGCTTAGAAGCACATAGGTTACCCATTATGTAGGACACACAATAGTACTTTTCAACAGATAAGATTTCAGTGTTTAAGCTTCAACTCAATGTGTAACTTCATTAAACAATATTCAAACCACCCTTGATACAGCTTTCAACTCTGTAACTGGAAAGGTTTTGCTTTGTCTAGAATATTCCGTAGTATATCATTAAAGTTATCATTTACTTTGAAAAGCATGCATTCTTAGTGTGAGTGAGCTCGCCTCTCCACAGATGCCACCAAACCAAGTAACAAGTCACTTGTTACTTGGTTCGATGGCATCACTTGTCTCCTTTAAATAATATACATTTTAATGCCATATTGAGGAACAGTACTTTGAAAACAACAACATATCCATGGAGACAAATAAATGGCAGGCCCTTTCATCCAAAATTACGTAGTGCATCTTTAGATAAATAAATCCAGTCTTTCTGATTTCTGATTTGGTATCAATTGTTCAGCAATTGAACATCCTGGTACTTTGGGAGTGACCAGGATGCTTATGATTAAAAATGACAATGGTTTGAATGTTATGTGAGCAGCTAGATTGAGATGATTTTGCAGAGAGATGAAAAAATAAAACGTTGCTAAGAGACCAGACTACCAGACTGGAAATTTACATTCTCTGCATAAACCTCCATGTGTTGCCGTTGTATTGAAACAGGTGGGGGAACCAGCCAATCGATGACGCCATGCAGTTTGGACACGAGGGTGTAGTGGCTGTGTTAAAGGACTACCAGCAGGTCTGCAGCATGGACCCTGAGTCTCAGCATTCACACAAAATGGACGCCATCGAAGACATGGTATAAACATGGACTATAGGCCTATAATATTTAAAGGTCCCATTTAATGCCAAATTTACTTTAAGCCATGTTATAATGCATCTGAAGCAGTTTTTTGTTCCATTCACAAATATTTCAAGAATCATTATTAGTCTTTCTATATCTCCAAAGCTCAAAATGCTCTGTTCCTCCTTGTGATGTCATGAATATTTACCCTTTACCTTCATTTCAGTAGCAATTGGCAATTCCAGAGCTGAAATAATCCAAATGATTCTAGTGAAGGTGTATGGAGTTTAAAAACACAGCAGAGCACTTCCTGTATTACCACATAACATCACAAGGTGAAATGTTTTCAGGTTGAGAGAAGAACTCTAGTCTAAATATGCAGGATTTATGTGTTAAACATGCACGAATAAAACAAAACACAGCTCTGGGTATGTTTGTGATGAGGAAACAATAACACAGACCAGAAAATACAGTAATATGGGGTCTTTAACTGCCATTGTTAAGAAAAAATGAGATAGAGTAATCAGGCAATCCAATGTCTGATTTCTGGTGTATATTAATATGCATAAAAGACACCTGATCATCAAAAACATCTGGTGGTTTAGGTTAATCAAAGGATCTGTAGAGAAACTGTTGTATTTTGAAGACAAATTACAATGAATTTTAAAATTACTCTTTCTATCTTTAACTTGTTCTATTCCTTGTTTGTCTTCTCCACATTAGTTTTGCATAATTTTCCTCATCAAAACCTGCAGAGGTGTGAATAATCAGAAAGAAAGATTGATCACATCTGACGCAACTGTTTACATGTTATTTTGATAATCTGATAACTCCAGAAATCAGATAATGATTAGATTTTGGTGTATGTGTAAATGTAGCCAGTTTTAGTATCTTAATACAAATGATCACGTTCAATATTTGTGACATTTGTTGATATTTCTTATGAATGTATAATGTAATCAATAAGGAAAGCTGACTCTTGCCTCCTATCAATATGAAATTCACCTACGACAAAAGAAAAATAGACAAGCAATGGTTATCTGATGTATGACAGTATATAAAGGAGCTTGTCACTATTCAAATAATTCAATCAATCAAGCTTTATTTTATATAGACAATTAAAAAACAAACAGAAGACAAACATAACAGTAATTCAATAGAACTTATTTTTGTAGAGACCAAAATTACAACAGCAGGCGCCTGCAGGGCTTAACAAAGTTGTTGATTTAAAATGACAGTAGGTAACTTTGTGGGGGCGGAAAGTCAACTGCATGATTCCATAGAAATGGAAAGTTACAGACATACAGTCCCCATGGAGATAGGTGAGTTTTATGCCATACTGTGGAATATTATAGCCAAACATCTCCGTGGAAACAGATGAGAAGGCCCTCCTCCAGAGCAAGTAAGAGTCAGGTTTGTGGAGATGAAAGCCTGCTCAGATTAAGGACACATGTTTTTCTGTGCTTTTATTTTTGTATATTTTTTTCATAAAAAAGTTATCAACTGGGGCTTTAACCACTAAAAATGCAAAATTTATTACATGCAATTTTGAGATATTTCAATGATCAACCTTTTTATAGATTCAAATATATTTTAATGAACATCATGACGAATATACTGTAGTTTTAATTTCACAATGACATGTAATTAAAACAGTTTTTTTGTAACTTTGTATACAATAACTTGCTTTTATTTATATGTATATCATAAATATTTTCATCACTAAATTATGTATTCAGAAAGGTTCAAATATTCACTTAATGTACATTTGTAATAAAGTGAAAAAGAATAATCTGTAATAATGCAGTTATATATTCCCACTGTACATATTTCTTTCTAATAAACAGATTTGCATAAACACAAAATCTCCAGAGTAATTAATATGTAAAATTGATTCGAACCAGTCACTGTCTTTTGCCCAAACGTGATTAAAGAGTCACCCATCGCTTTGTTCTGGCTTTTATTACATTAGTCAGTGCTCCATGCTGCCAGTAATTAGTTATGAAATATTCAACAGTCTCTAAAAGGGAGATTGAGCGGCAGCAAGGCAAGAAGAGCTCGATATTGAATTAGTAGTAGAAGGCTTTATTTTTTATTCTGCTAAATGAATGACAAAGGCAACAAAGCCAATTAAACCAGAACTATTGGAGGTAATTATGATAATAGGTGGGATTTGCATGAAGAGCAGGGTAGAAAGGTTTTGTAGAAAGATTTCAGGGCAGTTCTCAAAGTGGCCACCAGGCGTCGCTGTGTTTCTGTCAGATAAAAGACACAGGGGAAGCATACTAAGCATTGACTGACATGTTGTGTAAACATGGGGGAAATATCAGGAAGCAATCAATAAAAATGAACTGATTTGCATTGGTGGAACGTAATGAAGTAATAGTAGTGAAATACTGTGCTTAAGTAAAAATTTGAGTGGATTCGTTTTACTTTTACTTCTCTACATTTGAGAGAAGCTGTTTGTACTTTCTACTCCGATGCATTTTTGAGCTCCACTGAAAAGTATAAGTGTTTTTTTATTATTATCTGAGAGCAACTGAAAAGGCTCTGGGTTTATTTTTAACACACTGATAGTTTGAGCAAACAAAAATATACAAATAAAAGAAAAAAAATCTATTCAACAACAACAATTGTTTCTGTTGATCAAAATTCAGCACAAATCTTTATCAAATTTTCATGAAAGGAGCCACCACCTTTGTATATTATCATAATAATTACATTCATTGTAACAGTAACTCTACTTAACTGATACTGCCATTGTGTCTCTGGGCAAGCCACTTTCATATAGGGTTGTTTATATTGGTATATCAATTATTAGTGTGAAATTGAATAGCTTTTTTAAACGCAGTTCAAATGAAATCAAGTTCAAAATCCTAATTGCGAGCAGAGGGAGTTCATAATAGTCAGCGTGGCCTTCATGTTTGTAATTTTTTATTTTTTTTTAGATCATTGCCTGTCTGTATTTATTGTTTCAAGGTGCAGGAGCCAAACTGAAAGAGGAAATTTTACGTGGTCTGATTGAAATTGCAAGAGTGGACTGCACACTGGCAAATCTGAAGCCTCGTTGCTTTATGAAGCTGTTGATAAATGTCACCAACTGGTTTCTTTTAAAGTTTCGAATAAAATGTGCTTTAAACGGTGCATTATGTAAGTTTTCTGGTGGAGGGTCTGCTACCGCCTTGTTTCCATGGAGATATTATTGCTTTGCCTGTTACGTTTCACAGGATAGCATTACATTTATCTATCTTGTGTTTATCCAATTACACATTTTTATTGCTGTGTGGGCTCGCCTCTTCACAAATCTAACCTGTAACTTGGCCTGTTGGCATTACCTGCTTGTCTTTGAGGAGGCAAGATTAATGCCATACTGTGGAACATTCCAGGTATCCCTCCAGAAAGGTTACATAAAGCTATAAATAATAATTGCAAGTCCATATTCCGTAAAATAGTGCAAGTAGTCAGATTAAATATTTTCTATGGAACTATCCAAAAAAATAAAAAGTGCCCAAAAATATGCATCTTATTATTATTATTATTCAGTGAAGTGTTTTACTCAAGGACACAATGACCAGTAGTGAGACTTTAATCTAAAAGCCCCCTGATAATGAGGCAAACATCTCTACCGACTGCTGCAAAAGTATGTTGTGTAATAAGAGTTCAATTTATGTTGTTGCCTTCCAGTTGACTTTTATACCACCGATGTGAAAACCCAAATCAAGGGAAAACATTTCGAAATTATCACTTTAAAAAAACAAACAATTCTCGTCATCACACAAGTGGCTCTTCACACGCCGCTGTTAAGGCTCAAACAAAACTGTGATATGTTTTGTAATTATTTTCAGAGGCCAGCGATAAAAACTGCTAATTCACTTTTTAGTCCACACAACAGACTAATCATGACTCAAAATTTCTGAGCACTCTTGCCATAGCACACGCCTATGAACTTTCAAATGTTAGCCAAAAGTCATTATTTGAAGTAATTAGCATATGAAATTGGATTTGAGAGATTAAGGCGTTATACTAATTAATCAGGAATGATTAATTGTTTGCTAAAAGTTCTGCAAGTGAATTATTTCTCATTATGTTATGGGCTTGACTCTCAAATAACCTTTACACCGGGACATTAGGGAAAATGCCAGCATCGGTCTTACAATAATGACTAATTAGCTTCATAATGGTACTGCGATATTTAAAATGACCCCGCAAAACATGGTCATATGTCAAAGATGGACAGGGAAGTCAAAGATTGTACACAACTAAGAGCGGTGTTACTTCAAAATAATAATATTATCATTAGAAGTATATAAGTAGTGGTCCAAGAAATTACTCAAGTAAGAGTAAAAATAAAAAAAAAGTATTTGGCAAAACTCTGACTCAAGTAACAGCAACAAAATGGATTCTTGTGAGCTTTAAGTCATGTTATAATGTTGTCACCTTATCAAAAACATACCGGAGTTGTGTTTTGTTTCATTCACACATGTTTAAGTAATCCTGGTTCATGTCTACATCTTTGTGGTTTCAGTTTGAGAAAAGGACATAAGATAAAAAATGCAGGGTTTGTGAGTTGAAACAATGTACAACTCAAGTTATGTTTTTTTTTTTTTTTTAAGAGAAACTGCCTGATTTATAATTAGGATGACAAAACATTAAATCATGCACAAAATCTGGTATTTTTAAAGGATACACCACAACAATTAGAAAAATATTTCAGTTTGCATTAAAAATGAATACACCCTTTTTGTCATCACTGAAGCCTTAACTAGTACAAGATGGACTAGAACTAGCTTTAAATATACTTTCTATGTTGCTATGTTTGTTTCTGTATTACTGCTGCTGAACTTTGAATTTCCTTCAGGATCAATAAAGTATATTTCTATCCATCTACTTAAAGGAAACATACATTGGGACTCTGCATTGAGAAATTACTTAAGCACTATTACTGATATAAAAGCCTTGTGTGGTAGAATAAAAGCATCGTGAAGAATAAATGTAGAAATGCGTCATAAAATGTCGTCTTCAGGGTCGTCTTTTCTGTCGGGCCATATAAAGAGTCAAATATCATTCTAAAAATATAGTCTACCACAGAATAGTAGCAAAAGCAGCTTTCAACCAAACTGACTAAAGGGGTGTATCATATCAAAATCCCTCGATACGATATTTTCACAATATACATCTCACATTTCAATATTTATTATTATTTTGTGGAAGCTTAAAACTGTGAATATGCTACTTTTCTTTTTAAGATGTTTTTAGACTTGGAAAAGCCTTTGGTACTGTTATAATGTGAAGAATTAAGATTTAAAAGTGCTTAATAACAGTTATTTGCACAGCATCATGGTCTATGTGGTTCCCTGTGTTTTTAGATATTGTTGCACCCCGGCAAGGCAAGTTTTCAAGAAATTCAAAGTACTTTACAGAATAAAAAAGACATTAAAATCACACAAAAAAAGACATTAAAATAACATATTTAAGCAAAGAGACTTATAATTCGATATACTTTGATGGCCTCTGACATTATTGTAAGACTTCTGACAATGCTAAATCTCGATATTTCGATTATTGTTACATCCCTAGTTTTAAGTGCCAACACATAACATAATTAGATCACCATGTTAACTTTTATTGTTTTGAAAATGCTACATTCACCAAAAAAGACATATTAACATGCTTTATATGTTTCCGAGTCTCTCCTTCCTTAAAAAAGTAACTGTTTACTTGAAAACTAACACAGCATGACATTCACAAGGTGGAACAGCACATTTTTGAGTTTGGGAGAAGTAGACAGAGTAATAATAAAGGATTACTCAAACATGTGTGAATGAAACAAATAAAAAAACACAACTCCAGGTCTGTTTTTGATGAGGAAACAATATTCTAACAAGGCTTAAAGCTCACAAGAGTCAATTTTGTGTAATATAAGACCTTTAAGTCAGCAGAAAAATGACACAAACGTAAACAATGGTTAAATATTCTAGTCAATAAAATGTACTGAATTACATAGTTACATTATACACGGTAAAATTCCCTCTTTTGTCCACACTTATCATGGGCAGATAAAATGTGTCTTAATGTTAGCTGCACAAACCAAGGTCAGCTGTCTTCACCACCTGCCCATTCATCCACTCTCCTTAAGATTTGTGGGCTTGGGTAGAGACACAGTGTAGAGTAAGTGTTAGTGGGGTCCCTTGGGTGCTGTGTATGTCATAGGTGGGTGCAGTATTAAGCAATGGTGGTCCTCTGATAGCAGCCGTTTCCATTTACAGCGAACCAAATGTTTTCAATCTCATACTTATCTCCAGTCAGGGTCATAACTCAGCTCAGACGTTGGAGACTGTTTTTACTGGATGCTTTGGGGGCTTTTGATTTATCTTACAGACAGATATTTCCCCATGATTTTTTATCCGTATCTCTGTGTGTTAGTGTGACTATTGTGTAAAACTGGTTTATCAGATTAATATTGTACAGCAACAGAAATCTAAGTAGACCCATTTGGACCCAGAGGGAATACGTGACTATAATTTTAGAATAATAATAATGATCTTGATATTTTAGATCATATAGCAGCAGGTTAATGAATACCTCTCCATATAGTTTTGATTTCTAGAATATTAAGCAAGATAAAGTGTACAAAAACTACTAGTGTGTAAAGGTTTGTGTCAGCAAGATAAAGGTGAATTGATTAAAGAGAACAGTGTAGGACCCAGAACTGACCCCTGAGGAACTCCATAAGTTTTTATTTTGTTTTTTTTTATTATTATTACATGGGACTTTTTTAAGATATGGAATATTTAAAGATATAAATATAGAGGATGTTAATTGTCAATACTGATGTCAGCTAGTCTGTCTGACAAACTGAATAGTTATCTGTATTTAATCACTGAATCTCCCACACATTCATTATTAGGTATAAATAATCATCACTATAGTCTTATACAATTACTTTTTTCCCTCTTCTCAGTGGAATTTTAGACTAATACCAGACTATAATATAATACCAGACTAATACACTAATACCAGACTAATCCAATACAACTTTCTGATCTTTAAAGGGATAGTTCGGATTTTTCGACATGAATCTGCATGGCATCCCCGTGAGCAGTGTCGTGCATCCACACTGACTTACCCCCGAAAGCGTCCGGTGAGCCGAGATACTGGCCGTGTTTGATGCTGACAAAAGTAGTTTGGCTGGGGACATTAAAATAAAGCTATGTGTTCAAAAGAGTGATATGTTTGCATGACAAAACCATCGTCACCTAAAAAGTCAGACCTCATAATCGCTTGGCAATATTTTCTCTCCATTCGTATCACTGCGCGCTGCTGGTTCACTTTGTTTACTGCTCGGAATGTTAGCGACAACATGTCTGATTACGACACCGACAATAAAGACATTGCCTTTACCACAAAGCCAAGGGGAGATCTTTATGAACCCGAATATACTGATGCCGAAATTCTCCAGATGGAGTTAGAACAGGCAGAGAGAGAGAGAGAGGAGGGACAGAGAAGTGGTACAAGTTGAAGCTGGAGCCACAGCTGGAGCCGTGAGAGACCGGGTGAGCGACAATCACCATCATGTCATTTACAAACTCGTATACAGCGAACATAGAGCCTACACTGTGACTGAAGCATGAACTACTCATAGAAACATGGAATCATCCGCTCGTCCACGTAGCTGCTACCAATAGTGTAAGTGACATTTACAATAGTAATAACAGTCTACTTATAAAGTTACGTTTTGTAGAAGCTTCACTGGTGATATGACACTGAGTGATTTGCTGCTGATTCTTGAGCCTGTCCGCTTGTAAATATAGTGGCACCTCTTGTTCTTACCTGGGTGCCTAAGGCAAGAAGCCAAAGTTGCCTCAGCGCAATGTCCGTGATAGGAAAACGGTGAAGAGAGTCTGCACCATTTTTTAGGTATATTCTTATGTATCTTATACAATCTTATATACTTATCGCTCTAGCTCTCACGTTAGCTCTCTCGCGTCGCGGCGGTCTGCGCTTGTAAACACTGCCGAACAACTGCAAAAAGTGATGGATCCGTGCGTGGCTGTCACCTGGTGGCAGCACGCAGTGATACGAACGGAGAGAAAATAGTGCCAAGCGATTATGAGGTCTGACTTTTTAGGCGACGATGGTTTTGTCATGCAAATATATCACTCTTTTAAACACATGTTGTTTTGAGAAGAAAAACGCTTTATTTTAATGTCCCCAGCCAACTTGCCGGACTACTTTTGTCAGCACCTAAAACGGCCAGTATCTCGGCTCACCGGACGCTGTCGGGGGTAAGTCAGTGTGGATGCATGACACTGCTCACGGGGATGCTATACAGATTCATGTCAAAAAATCCTAACTATCCCTTTAAATATACAGCAGAGTATTATGAAACAGATTGTACTTGTACAAATGGTTTTATTCAGAATTTGAGTTTGAGCCTGGTGAGTCTCCAGGGAAATGGCTCTTCTGATTAGCCCATAATCTGCAGAAAAACAGTAGAAAAAATGTTTACATTTTAAACTCAATGTTCTTTTCTTATATTTAGTAATATCCACAACAATAAATGCAACAACCGGTGATTTCTTTAAAATATTAGTAGTAGAAAAAAAATTTAAATAAAGACTATTGTGTCACTGGGCAAGTAATCAGCCAGGCCTTCTCCAGTCACTTTATGTGGCTGGTTGCAGAGATTGTCAGGCCCTCCACCAGAAATGTTACACAGTGATTTTTAATGAACATTACCACAAATGGGTCACCACTTATTTCTTTACTGTAGTATACTAAAGCATTTCATTTTTCAGAGATTTTCTCAGCTTGTGTTTGAAGAAAATTGTTCCACTGTCTAACAGCAACTATTACAGTGTAATTAATTTGATTGTTGAGCCATTCTGTGGCACACAAATCTGATGAGGGTTGTTCCAAACTGCTAAACCCTCTAGTTGATGATGTGTTAAAGATGTACGTCTTTACTTGTCTACATCCACGTAAGAGCACTTACTCCATTCATCCAGCTGATGTAGGCAGACACTCTGGTGAAGACTGTGGGCTTCTGGTATGTATTGCAGCCTAAGGAGGACACAAAGCTGGTCACTCCATGGACCACCCACTGGCCATTGACACTGCAGTTCAGAGGACCGCCAGAGTCACCCTAAAGAACCGAAACAACAGAAACACTTTTATGACTAAATCCATCATGTTAGTAATTCTAGAAAAACAGGGGCATATTCAGTTTTTTCAGTAGGGTGGCTCAAGGATGGCACCAGGGCTGGCCTATGAAAATGAACATTTGAAACATGCATTTCTTCTTCCATCTGTACCTGACATCCAGAGTCGTTGTAGCCTCCAGCACAGACCATGGTGTACTTGACAGTGCTGCCCCACCAGTTAGGGCTGGAGCAAGTATTGAAGTCCACCACAGGGAGGTAGGCCTGTTTCAGGTCAGAAGACAGAGAACCACCAGCTACACACAGGGGCAAATATTAAAGAGTGCTTTTTGTTACAATAATGCCTCCTATTGTATGAAGTGTCTTACTCTGAGTGCGTCCCCATCCGGTGATGTAGCAGGGGTTGTTGTTAGGCAGGACCTGTCCAGAAGGGGGCAGAATTCCCAGCTGCACGTTGTTGTTGAGGGCGACCTCAGAGGACAGACGCAGCAGGGCGATGTCATAACTTCAGGTAACATCACACATACACTTAGTTTATAAAGGGTTATAAGTTATATAAGGTGAAAGGTATATATGTCTCTATGTGTGAACAGAATCAAAGCACACTGACCCTCCAGCAACATTGTTGGAGTTCCAGTTAGGGTGGATGTGGACCTGGCTCACAGTCATATACTGCTCAGTGCCGTCGTTGTTGTAGATGTTGTGATCTCCGAGAACGACACGCCAGGTCCTGGCACTAAACACACACTACTGTTAAAATTGTATGTCTATACAAAGAATGCTTCAGTGTTTGGGAAATAGTACATTACCGGCAATAACAGCATTATGCTATTGTAAAAAATAACTGTACTTTATACTGATGATGTCTAGATTAGATTAACCTGTCTACAATTGTAGCATACATATATTATGTTTTTCATAGTTACGTGTCGACACAGTGGGCGGCGGTCATGACCCATCCTCTCCTGATCAGGGTGCCTCCACACGTGTGGTAGTAGCTGGAGCCACTCAGATACTGAAGAGAGATCTGGGAACCAACAAAAATCCTTAAAATAAAGTTTTAAAAAATGTGGTAGCTATAGTGGTAAAATTATACTGAGCATTCAAAAGAGTATTTTGTTTCAAAGATGTTGCAATATGTTTAAATTCAGAAAAAAATATTTAAATTCAGGAAATATCCAAACTGAAAATCCCCAAATGTTGCTCTTATAATTTTATTGTATTGCAGCTGTACCTGCCAGGGCCAAGAGTGGGGTCTGGCCACCTCTCCTCCAACCACCCTTCCCTCTGCAAAGTCTTCCAGATACGAGGGCTGGGGCTCGGACAGCACTGATGAAGGCAGGTAAACAGTTTAGCAACAGTTTTGGTTGTCTTGAAGTGCACACACAGTTGCATGGATTATCATGTTTCGGGTTGTAGTGGCATAAACATCATTGTTCTATGCTATATTTTCTTTGGTAATATCTAATAGAGCAGAATTTTGCCATGATGGTAAAGGCAAGAATAACTGGCATGCTAATATACACTTCTAATTAGATCCAGCAGTGCACTCCAGACATATTTTGATCTCACAAGCTGCTTTAAAGCTGCTTTAAGAATATACTGTACTGGGACAAGTTTGCACAAATACATGGGACCTACAAAAAATGTGAATATATTTTGTAGAAGTTTTACATTTTATAGAATGACAATGCATTTCTAATTAAATCTGCTATATAAAAATATCAAGGTAAGATTTGGATAAAGAGATTTTTGTAAACAAATAAAATCATTACTAGTCATTAAATAAATTGTCTCTGTTTCCTTACCAAGGGCTGCGAGTGTGGTAAACAGGACAAATCTGAGCATGTCTGTGGTCCGCTGAACTTTCCTCAGTCATAGCTGGTGCCTGGTCTCTTATATACAACCCTATGCACCAGTGTACTCTGTGTGTGTGTATGTGTGTGCATGTGTGTGTGTGTGTGTGTGTGTGTGTGTGTGTGCACCTAGGATCCACCTGTGGCTCTCTCACACTTATCACTGCTTTTTGAAAATACTGAGTCAAATAAGGTCTCTGTTTTTCCATTTGCTTCGATAAACTTGAAAGAAGATCTATGTGTCTTGTATAACCAATAATTATAATATTCTAGTTTTATTCTAGTCTTATGGAATAAATAATGTTCACACAAAATGCACTTTACACATTGTTCCAAACTTTATTCAGATGGAGTTTGACAGCGACAGAGATGTTTTGGTTTTTGTCCCATGACAATGTCTCTTCGGCTTAGCCCATAATCTGTAGAAAGAAGACAAAATGTGACATTATGTGATACTTCAGTTTTTCTTTTTCATAGGTAACTACCAATCATGACTTGTAGCTTTCTCTACAATATTATAATGATATTGACAATGAGAATATGTTATGTAATTTTTGTTACATTTGTCATCCATTTAGCTCTATCATTCTCAGACCCAGCTCACCTCACCTGTACTTCCTGTCTCACACCTATCCTGTGGCTTTATCCTTTCTGTAGTATACAACCAGCCTTCTCCTGGAGTGATCTCTATGAAGGAATTTTTCCGGTCTGTAGCCCTGCATAGCATGCTGCTGCAGTACTCCGCCTCAACCCTCCACAGACTCAAACACCACTGCCGCCTGCTCTGTCCAGACACTATTCGACAACTCGGATTTCTCTGCTACCCCTCGTCCTCCATATTGAGGCTCTGGACACACTTTTTTCTTCAACTTCTCATCTACCAAGGCAATCCCTTCCCTCTGGACACATAAAAGCATGCAAATCTGTCCAATCTCCATCCTCCTCCTCGCTCCTCCTCGCTGTCCCCACTACGAATGCACGTCACCTGAAACTTTTTCTTCTCAACACCCGTTCAAGTGCCTCATCCTCAATGATGGATATCATGGGCAATAACCTAGACTTTCTGTCTCACTGAAACTTGGCACAAGCCCTTGGACTACTTCTCTCTTAATCAGGCCACACCTCCTGGGTTTACTTACATTGAAAAATCCCTTGCTGATGGGAGGGGTGGTGGCACAGCAGTTATTTACAAAAAGGACAGTAAAATAATTTCCATTCATTCATTTGAAAACAAAACGCTAAATGACTTTCCGCAATCTCAAATCTATTGATCCATCTGCTGTTTATGCTCTTCTTACCACAAAATTGTCTGTTCCCCTTCTGCCTGATAACCCTTCAGAATTTGTCACTTATTACAACAACACACTCTCCTCTTGTCTTGATGAACTGGCCCCGTTAAAAACTCTTTCACACATACTGCCCTGTGGTACACACTTGAACTCCACAAAATGAAATCCTGTGAGCTCTAGCTTGAGAGACTGCACAAAAAATCTGGTTTAACTGTCCATCTCCAATGTTACACACAATACAACGATGCCCTCAATGCAGCCTGGTCAGACTATTACTCCACTGTTATTCACTCTGACTCCAATAACCCCAAATCCTTATTCTCCACAATGAACAAACTCCTGAAGCCCAGCGACAACACCTCTTCATCCTTCACAGTCACACTACCGGTCAAAAGTTTTAGAACACCCTAATTTTTTCCAGTTATTTATTGCAGTTCAAGTCGTGCAAGTCCAATGAAGAGCTTGAAATTGTACAAAGGTAAATACTGAATGGCCAGAGGTTAAAAAAAACGATAAAAGATAATAAAACAAAAGTCCAAGCTCTGCCAAAACTGCCTCGGGAAAAAAGAACAAGATAGTAAGCTTGAAAACATGAAGTGTCCAGCACAGTCTCCAGACTTAAACCCCAAGCTGGTTTTGGGGTGAACTGGACAGAAGAGTGAAAAGCCAAGCAACCTACAAGTGCCACATATTTATGGGAACTTCTGAACAGACTTGGGAAGAACTTTCTGAAGAATAGTTGATTTCTATTGTAAAAAGAATGCCACAAGTGTGTTCAGCTGTTATATCTGCCAAAGGTGGCTACTCTGATGAATCAAAAGTTTAGAATACATTTTGGTCAACAGTAAACAATAAACAGTAAAAAATTGGAAAAGTGTGGTGTTCTAAAACTTTTGACTAAATGCAATAGTTTCCTGTTCTTCTTTCAGTTCAAAATTGACACTATCTACAGTTCCCACAGTCTCCCTTAAGCCCACACAGCCCCTGCTTCTGACCCTTCTCCCCCTGACTCCACTCAGCAGCTCTCTTATTTCCCCCCATTTCTACTGCACATCTCACCAAACTCCTCTCAGGCATTAAAACTTTCTCCCTGGATTCAATCCTCTCCCCTCTCATCAAATCATGTCTCCCCACCATTTCTCCCTTAATCACAACAATCACCAACTCCTCTCTTGTCACTGGCTATCTTCTGCAGTCTCCCAAGCCTGCATCCATCACTTCAGTACTCAAAAAACCTGGTCTTGACAGTGACAGCTTAGCAAATTTCAGACCCATATTCAACCTTCCCTTCCTGTCCAAAATCCTCAAGTGCGTCATGGTTGCACAAATACCAAACCACCTAAATTCCAACAGTCTTTTCAAACCATTCCAGTCCAGTTTTCACCAAAAGCATAACACAGAAACAGCACTCCTCAAAGTAACTAATGATCTCCTCCTCTCCTCCAACTCTGGCCACCTCTCCATCCTCATCCTCCTGGACCCCACAGCAGCTTTTGACACCATCAGTCACTCCATCTTCCTCTCCCAGCTCAAGACCTCCAACAACATCTCCAGCTCTGCTTTGTCCTTGCTTCAGTCATACCTCACAACCTGACAACAATTCATCTGCATTAACAACTGCTCCTCTGCCATTGCTCCCTGTCATAAGGTGTACCCCATGGATTGGCGCTTGGTCCTCTCCTTTTTATCCTTTACATCCTCCCACTTGACAACATCATCCATTGTTATGGCCTCCATTTTTACTGCTATACCAATGACATACAGTTCTCCGGTTCTATTTTATCCATAAACTAAACAACCCAGTCCACCCTCACACACTGCCTAACTGATATAAAAACCTGGATGACACACAACTTTCTCAAACTGAACAGCAACAAAATAGACATCATAATCATCCAAAAAACCTCACCAAACCCACCTTTGACAACACTTCACTCACTCCATCCCTACTTATCCATAACCTTGGCATTGTCCTCGACCAAAACCTCTCATTTGAATCCCTCATTAAACAAGTAACCCAGACTGCATTCTTCCATCTCAAAAACATCACCCACCTCCGTCCATTTCTCACTTTCTCTGCTGTTGAAACCTTAATCTATGAATTTATCACCACCAGAATCGAGTCCTGCAATAGCATTCTCTGCTGCACATCCTCTCATTCAAAACTTTGGTGCCTGCCTCCTCACACAGACAGTCCCACAAAGACATCACCCCTGTCCTCCAGAATCTCCACCGTCTCCCATCTCTCAACGCATCCACTTCAAAGTCCTCCTCATCATGTTCAAAGCCCTTCACTATCAGGCCCCATCCGACCTCTCAGATCTTGCTACACCCCCATACTCCATCTTTCTCCCTCCGCTCCTCCAACGCCAACCTCCTGTCCCTCCACTGTAGAACAAAGCTGGGAACCTGGGGAGAAAGAGCCTTCTCCATCGTCACCCCGACACTCTGGAACTCACTACCTCAGCAAATTCGTGACTGTACTTTACTCTCCACTGTCAAGAAACAGTTCAAAACCCATCTATTTAGAACTGCTTTTAATGTCCAGCCTGCTTTCAAGTATGCCTATATTTTGTCCCAATATCTAATTTTTAAATATCTACTTTTTAAATTAATTTTTTTGTACAGTGTCTTTGCGTTGATTATTATTATTAAAACAGAGGGTTGAAAATTAAGGTTTTGAAATATGCATTCAGATTTGTTTCTTGTCACATCGTTTAATATGTTATATTTTCATTTTTTTATTTATTTTTTTAGACCAATAGCCCAGAGCACTGAGCTCTGCAAGAACGCTGTGTAAAAGTGCACTGTAAAATATCAAGTATGGAATGATGGGATACCACTAGGGGCTCAAGGGGGTATTAACTTTAGGAGAGGAACTGTACCTATTATTCACACCAAGTATCACATTTCAAACATGCATTTCTTCTTCCATCTCCTGACATCCAGAGTCGCTGCCGCCTCCAGCACAGACCATAGTGTCCTTGATGGTGCTGCCCCACCAGCCAGAGCTGGAGCAGGTTTTGTGGTCCACTGAAGGGAGGTAGGCCTGTTTGAGGTTGGCAGACAGAGAACCACCAGCTACACACAGGGGCAAATGTTAAACAAGGACTTTTGTCAGTATTCCTGACTACTGCATAAAATGTGTGTCTTACTCTGGGTGCGTCCCCATCCGGTGATGTAGCAGGGGTTGTTGTGAGGCAGGACCTGTCCAGAAGGGGACAGAACTCCCAGCTGCACATAGTTGTTGAGGGTGGCCTCAGAAGACAGAAGCAGCAGGGCGATGTCATAACGTCAGGTAACATCACAAAGATACTTGTGTTATACACAAAGAACAATACATTTATCTCATTCTGTGTGAACAGGACCAAATCACACTGACCCTCCAGCCACGTTGTTGGAGTTCCATCTGGGGTGAATGTGCACACGGCTCACGCTCATGTACTGCTCACGGCCTTCATTACTATTGATGTTGTGGTCTCCCAGAACAACACGCCAAGTCCTGGATCTAAACACACACAAGTTTTCTGTTCAATTACATGTTTATACAAATATGTCCACTGTAAACGGGCAATGAACTTCATTTCTTGATCACAATTTGTGCACAAAGGAAATCCAAGTGCCTACAGGATGAATAAAGTATTTTAAAAGTACATTACAAATGACAATGAAAATTTTGATAATACATAAATAATGTTGTGTATTAACTGGCATAACAGCAGCAAGAAAAGACTGAATAGAAGAGGTCCTAGGACTGACCCTTGAGGGATGCCATGTGTACAGACAATGTAAGACATGAGATTATTCCTTTTGTAACTGTCAACACAGTGGGCAGCGGTCATGACCCATCCTCTCCTGATCAGGGTGCCTCCACAGGTGTGGTAGAAGCTGGATCCACTCTTGTACTGAAGGGAGATCTGGAGGCCCAACAATCCCTGTTAGGCTATACTGCCATTGGTAACTTCAAAACAATAGTCTGGGTTGTTGCAATTGTAGTATTAATTAAAAAGCAGTTAATTAAAGTAGTTTTTAATGTACATTCCATACCTTCTATTGATTTAGGTGTGAATTACAAATTTGTGAACTTGTCATGTTTCACATACCTGCCAGGGCCAGGAGTTAGGCTTGGCCACTTCTCCTCCAACCACCCTCTCCTCCACACTGTCCTCCAGATACCTGTTCTCGGGCTCCAGCTTGGCCAGCACTGACAGAAGAGACAAGGAAACAAGTTAGTAAAAGTTTATGTTTTTGTTAACTAAAGTCAAGTTTCACACCACACACAGGGCTTATTATAAAACTATTACATCTCAATCCAAGATGTTCACTGCTCATAACATCCTAACTTGAATTTAAGATATATTTGGTAAAACTAAGGCAACTGGGCTGTTGTAAAGCAGAAAACATCAAGACATAATCCATGTTTTTTTCAGGGCATATAGTTTAGTCTCAGATAGAATGGGGACATTATTAGCTCTACTAGAAGGGGGAAAATGGGATAAGAAGTTGCATATATGTTTTATGAATTCTTTCCAAAAACACACAGAGTGTAGGCAGGTCTAAAATAAGTGCAAGGTGGTTTCATTTTTCCATTCGCAAGATGTACAGTTTGTCCATTGCCCTTCTAAGATGTAGAAGTTTGTAGAAGATTTCCCTTTGGTGATGAGATATTTGTGAGGTAATGTTCATACATTTTTCTGCACAAGTAGGGTTCTGTTTGGGAGGTGCACTTGTGGTGATAGTTGCTTGATGAAGCCAAGCAAGATGAAGCCAAAATGAAGCCAAGATGAAGATGAAGATGAAGCCAAGTATGTTCCTTTTGAAAAGTTTTTCAAAGTTTTGTGCACAGCATCTTCACTCATGTTCAAGCCGCCATCTTCGGGTGCCAGCACTGTCCTGCCGCTTCCCCAGTTTAGGCTCCTGGCTCCACTAATTGCCATCACTCTGTTGCAGCCAGTGAAATAGCGGCGGGGCAACCCCGTCATCATATCACTGAATACATTTCAGAACATCTAACAAACAAAATGTGAACTAAAATGTGTTAAATTAGTACTATTGAGATTGGAAAAATATTGGAATAAATTTATATTTTTGTTTGTTAAAATAAAATGGCAAATATTTGTAGGGACTATTTTGTCTTTCCCAAATATTGGTTGTGACATGTTCCCACCGTCCCTATGCAAACCTACACCACTTGTGTTTTTCTTTATTGTCGAGCTGAAGATTGGAAAACTCAGTCTGAGAACAGATTGAAGGCGGGAGTGAATTTGTATGGAATTAAAAAGAAACTGTCAAAACTGTCTTATGATACAAATAAAACAACCTCAAATCGATTATAAATAAATAATCTTACCGAGGGCTGCCAGCGTGGTGAACAGGACAAGCCTGATCATGTCTGTGGTCCGCTAAATTTTCCGCAGTAGTGTCTGGGGTCCCCTCTCTCTTATATACCACTGTGCTCTGTGGACAGTGTGGGACTACATATATGGCCCACCTGTTTCTCTCCCACACTTATCACTGTTACATGGTTCCAGGGAATGCTGAGCCAAATCACATGCATATGATATAATGTATTTATGTGTTATATACTTAATAATATTGGTTGTTTGCAGATGTTAGAATATGAGTCCTTCTTTTATTTGGTGCCACAATTCTTGTATTGGTATATGGCATTTTTAAATAGGGGGTATTTTACTTCCAAAAAGTAAGAGTATTTCACGAGTTTGCGGTCTTGTAAGGTCTCAAATGTAGTGATTTCGATAAAGATTTCTGATGAAAATATGAATATTTTTCCTAGCTGTTTTATTTAGTGTATTTATGTTTGCTCAAACTGTGGACATGCCTCAAACAATATTAAAAAAATACTTTTACTTTTCAATCCTGTTGAAAAATGCAGTGGAGTAAAAGCAAAATGTGTCTACTGTAAAACTGATTTTTACATTACTTTCCACCACTGTTGGGTAGTGACATTTGTTCAAAAAATAAGCATGCAGCACAGACATGCATTACTATTTCTGTATTCTCTGTAGATTCTATGTTCTCAACAAATGGCTTTGTCCTTTATATTTCCGATTTCTTCAGAATTTCATGACCAAAAGTGCACCAAAGACGTGCATTTTGAGAGTCTTCAGTGGTCCTTTATTAACAGAAGTGCATTAACTGAAATTTCTGCTCTTTTGGAAAGTGCTTGTTCTTTTCTTTCACTGAATTTACACAAAAAGAACAGAGAGTGATTAATGCAGAAATTGGGCCTTGTGGTGGAGCTAGACACATGAACAGTGCGTTTGTAGTTGAGGGTTCAGGTTGACAATGGCTTCTAGATAGGCTGAAATGTCTCAATAAAAACTATATATATATATCAATATATATAGTATATATATATATATATATATATATATGTATATATATATATATATATATATATATATATATATATATATATATATATATATATATATAAAGATGATAGCTTTTTAAACTTGGACCACTCTGGGACTCATTCACCAACTCACAAACCCAAAAGTCAGAGGTTCGATTCCCACTTGGACCACTGCTTCCATCATTCATTCATCAGCCTATTCAGCTATATAAGCCTTTTTCATGTTATTATATAGACTTGACTTGTGAGCTTTAAGCCATGAATGTTGTCATCTCCTGAAAAACATACCTGGAGTTGTGTTTTTTTTCATTCACACATGTTTGCATAATCCTTTACTATTAGTCTGTCTGCATCTCCAAATCTCAAAATGTTCTATTCCACCTTGTGATGTCATGTAGTGGTAGTTAAAGTTAAAGAGGAAGAGGTTTTGAAATTAAATGGGATTTTTTTTTTAAAGATATTGGATATTAACTGTCAGTACTGATGTCAGCTAGTCTGTTTGACAAACACTGAATCTGCACTGAATCTCACACATTCATTGTATAGATAACAGTCACTATAGGTTCATACAATGACATATTTTGTTTTGTTTTTCTTCTCAGTGAAATTTTAGGCTAATACCAGATTAATCACACTGATAGCAGACTAATCCAATACAACTCTATCTTTAAATAGATAGTAGAATAAAGCTTTTGAAACATATTGTACTTGTTCAAATTTGTTTATTCAGAACTTGGAGTTGAATGTTTTCTGGTGAGTCTCCTTGGCCTTCTGTTCAGTCCATAATCTGTAGAAACAAGGGAAAAAATAATATATCTTTTTATTTTACACTCAATGTTCTTTTCTTATCTTTTTTGAGTAACATCCACAACAATATATTCAACAACAAATCCTGTCTTTAGAACATTAGTAGTGTATTAGAAATGTTGTATTAGAAAAAAACAAAAACAAAACAACACTATTGTGACTGGGCAAATAATCTGCCAGTACCACCCTCTCAAGTCACTTTTTTGTGGCTGGTTGCAGAGATAATTTAATTTAATTTCTTTAACCCTACCAGGAGTGGGTCAACACTTATTTTATTAAATATTTCTTTTTTCAGAGATTTTGTCAGCTTGTGTTTGAAAAAAAAGAAAAGAAAAGTCTAACAGCAAGTATTACAAGGTAATTAATTTGACTCTTTAAGAACTGCTAAACCCTGTAGTTGGTGATGTGTAATAGATGTACGTCTTTACTTGTCTACATGCATGTGAGAGCACTTACTCCATTCATCCAGCTGATGAAGGCAGACACTCTGGTGAAAACTGTGGGTTTCTGGTATGTGCTGCATACGGCAGCCCCAAAGCTGGTCACTCCATGGACCACCCATTGGCCATTGACATTGCAGTTCAGAGGACCACCAGAGTCACTCTGAAAAAAAAAAAAAAGACACAAAAAACTATTATTAACTTTAAGTTAATCATTACTGTTCTGGAAGTTTCTATTCTATAGAAGTTTCTATTCTAGAAACACCAGGGCATGGCCAATGAAAGACACATGCCAGCACATCAGTCTAAATGTCAGTGTGTTGTGAATAGTTCCAACATTAACAGATGCCTGTATATGGACTCTATTGGGGTCTGTTGCTTTTTCCATCTCTACCTGACATCCAGACTCTTCATAACCTCCAGCACAGATCATGGTGTACTTGACAATGTTGCCCCACCAGCCAGGGCTGGAGCAGGTATTGAAGTCCACCACAGGGAGGTAGGCCTGTTTCAGGTCAGGAGAAAGAGAACCACCAGCTACACACAGGGGCAAATATTAAAGAGTGCTTTTTGTTACAATAATGCCTCCTATTGTATGAAGTGTCTTACTCTGAGTGAGTCCCCATCCGGTGATGTAGCAGGGGTTGTTGTTAGGCAAAATCTGTCCAGAAGGGGGCAGAACTCCCAGCTGCACATTGTCGTTGAGGGCGACCTCAGAGGACAGACGCAGCAGAGCGATGTCATAACTTCAGGTAGCATCACACATACACTTAGTTTATAAAGGTTTATAAGTTATGTAAAGTATAAGGTATATATGTCTGAACAGGATTAAAACACACTGACCCTGCAGCAACATCACTGGAGTTCCAGTTAGGGTGGATGTAGACCTGGCTCACGGCCACATACTGCTCATTGCCCTCGTGGTTGTAGATGTTGTGTTCTCCAAGAACAACACGCAAAGTCCTGGGACTAAACACACACTACTGTTAAAATTGTGTGTCTGTACAAATAATGCTTCAGTCAGTTCAGTCAGTCACAGAAAAGATCATCAGATCACCCCAATCAGCCATTCAGGACATGTACACATGCCGCTGCTGCAAGTGAGCCACCAACACCATCAAGGACACCACCCACCCTCCACACAAACTATTCTCCCTCCTAACATCTTGGCCATCAGGCTAATCAATGCACTCAAGAAAATTTCATGAACATGGCAATCACTACATCCAAAACAACTTAATACATTCCTATATCCATGCTGCCATCTCAGCACTCAGCATTTTATATATTGCACCTTCATATGTACCAAAAATAGCTTCCTCGTTCTTTTCTTGTGGAAAGTTATATGTCATTGTCTGTCTGTCTGTATATTTTGTGTTTATTTTATTTATTATTTATGTCTATGTACATTTCATTGTCTGTGTGTGGTTTGTGTGTGTTTCATTTTTAATAGCACATTTGTAGTTTTAGGGAAATCGCAATTTCGATCCCCCTGTGTAATGTCTTATCGTAATGATGTCTAGATTAAATTTACCTGTCTACACTTTGAACTTAAGTGTATTTATATGTATTATATGTTTTTCATAGTTACATGTCGACACAGTGGGCAGCGGTCAAGACCCATCCTCTCCTGATCAGGGTGCCTCCACACATGTGGTAGTAGTTGGATCCACTCAGGTGCTGAAGAGAGATCTGGGAACCAACAAAAATCCTTTCAAAGTAAAATACAGTTGAAAAATAACTGTGATAACTATAGTGGTAAAATAATAGTGAGCATTCAAAAGCAATAGCAGTTGTGGCAGTATTTGTAATAGTGATGATTTCATGATTACCCAAATGTTGCTCTTATAATTTTATCATATTGCAAATGTACCTGCCAGGGCCAAGAGTGGGGTCTGGCCACCTCTCCCCCAACCACCCTCCCCTCCAGAATGTTTTCCAGATACGAGGGCTGGGGCTCGGACAGCACTGATGAAAGAAGGTAAAAGGGTTAGCAACAGTTTTGGTTGACTTGAAGTGCACGCACAGTTCATCATGTTCAGGGTTGTAGTGGCATAAATTAGTTTACAACATCATTGGTTTTTATTATATTTTCTTTGACAATATCTAATAGAGTGGAATTTTGCCATGACGGTAAAGGCAACAACAACTAGCATGGTAATACGCACTTCTAATTAGATGCAGACAGTGCACTGTAGACATATTTTGATCTCACAAGCTGCTTTAAGAATATACTGTTCTGGGACAAGTTTGCATAAATACATGAGGAAAAATGGGTACAGGACCTACAAAAAATTTTGACTTTATTGTGTAGAGGTATTAAATTTTATAGAATGACAATGCATTTCTACTTAAATAAACATTATATAAAAATATCTTAAATTACAATTAAGATAAAGATTTATAATTAGATTAAATAATAATTTAATAATTTGTTTCTCTCTTTTCTTACCAAGGGCTGTGAGCGTGGCAAACAGGACAAATCTGAGCATGTCTGTGGTCCGCTGAATTTTCCTCAGTCTAGATGGTGCCCCCTCTGTCTTATATACAACCCTATGCACCAGTGTACTCTGTGTGTATGCTCGTGCTTGGGATCCACATGTGGCTCTCTCACACTTATCACTGCCTCTGGAGAATACTGAATCAAATAAAACCTTTGTTTTTCCATTTGCTTGGATAACCTTGAGAGAAGGTCTTTCTGTCTATGTGTCTATGTGTGCCCAACCAATACTAAACTAATATTCTAGTCTTATTCTAGTCTTATAGAATAAATAATGTTCACACAAAATGCATTTTACACATTGTTACAAACTTTATTCAGATGGAGTTTGACAGTGACAGAGATGGTTCGGTTTGTGTCTCCATGATGATGTCTCTTCGGCTTAGCCCATAATCTGTAGAAAGAAGACAAAATGTGACATTATGTGATACTTCAGTTTTTCTTTTTCATAGGTAACAATATTAATAATAATAATGATATTGACAATAAGAAAATTATGTATAAAACAGAGGTTTGAAAATTAAGGTATTGAAATATTCAGGCAAAATAGTTTCTTGTGGCATCCTTTAATATATTCAATTTGAATTTTTTAATTTATTTTTCTAGACCACTCAATATTTTATTGTCACTTTTTGGGGGGAGTATGCTTTACCCATGTAGAGTTTTAGTATACCTGATATATATATATATATATATATATATATATATATATATATATATATATATATATATATATATATATATATATATATATATATATATATATATATATATATTTTTTTTTTTTTTTTTAAATCCATGTGTGTTGGTTAAAGCACTTACGCTGTTCATCCAGCTGATGTAGGCAGATGCTCTGGTGAACACTGTGGGCTTCCTGTAGGCATTGCAGCCAGAGGAGGACACAAAGCTGGTCACACCATGAACCACCCATTTACCACCGACACTGCAGTTCAGAGGGCCGCCAGAGTCACCCTAAAGAACCAAAAACACAACATTTTCAAAGCTGGTTCTCATGGTCCCTCAGCGTTCAGAAGTGCCTCCAGCCGTCTTTAGCAGAACATGAGTGCACTACACTCTTTGTGTGGTTTAAGCAATAGCCAAGAGCACTGAGCCTCTGCTGATGCTGATGCTGCAAGAACACAGTGTGAAAGTGCACTGTAAAATATCGAGTATTGCAGGATGGGGTCACATCAGGGGTTCAAGGGGGTATTAACTTTAGGAGAGGAACTGTATGAATAATAAGTGTTTATTATTCATGTTAAGTATCACATTTCAAACATGCATTTCTTCTTCCATCTGTACCTGACATCCAGAGTCGCTGCCGCCTCCAGCACAGACCATAGTGTCCTTGACGGTGCTGCCCCACCAGCCAGAGCTGGAGCAGGTTCTGTGGTCCACTGAAGGGAGGTAGGCCTGTTTGAGGTTGGCAGACAGAGAACCACCAGCTACACACAGGGGCAAATGTTAAACAAGGACTTTTGTAAATATTCCTGACTACTGCATAAAATGTGTGTCTTACTCTGGGTGCGTCCCCATCCGGTGATGTAGCAGGGGTTGTTGTGAGGCAGGACCTGTCCAGAAGGAGGCAGAGCTCCCAGCTGCACATAGTTGTTGAGGGTGGCCTCAGAAGACAGACGCAGCAGGGCGATGTCATAACTTCAGGTAACATCACAAAGATACTTATGTTATACACAAAGAACAATACATTTATCTCATTCTGTGTGAACAGGGCCAAACCACACTGACCCTCCAGCCACGTTGTTGGAGTTCCATCTGGGGTGAATGTGCACACGGCTCACGCTCATGTACTGCTCACGGCCCTCATTACTGTTGATGTTGTGGTCTCCCAGAACAACACGCCAAGTCCTGGATCTAAACACACACAAGTTTGCTGTTCAATTACATGTTTATGCAAATATGTCCACTGTAAATGGGCAATGAACTTAATTTCTTGATCACAATTTGTGCACAAAGGAAATCCAAGTGCCTAAAGAATGAAAAAAGTATTTTAAAAGTACATAAAAAATGACAATGAAAATTCTGATAATATATAACTAATGTTGTGTATTAACTGGCATAACAGCAGCAAGAAAAAACTGAATAGAAGAGGTCCTACGACTGACCCCTGAGGGCTGCCATGTGTACAGACAATGTAAGACATGAGATTATTCCTTTTGTACCTGTCGACACAGTGGGCAGCGGTCATGACCCATCCTCTCTTGATCAGGGTGCCTCCACAGGTGTGGTAGAAGCTGGATCCACTCTTGTACTGAAGGGAGATCTGGAGGAAGCAAACCAAACAATCCCTGTTAGGCTATCCTGCTATTGGTAAATTCAATTCTGTGTTGTTGCAATTGTAGTATTAATTAAAAAGCAGTTCATTAAAGTAGTTTTTAATGTACATTCCATACCTTCTATTTATGTAGGTGTGAATTACAAATTTGTGAACTTGTCGTGTTTCACATACCTGCCAGGGCCAGGAGTTGGGTTTGGCCACTTCTCCTCCAACCACCCTCTCCTCCACACTGTCCTCCAGATACCTGGGCTCGGGCTCCAGCTCGGCCAGCACTGACAGATAAGACAAGGAAACAAGTCAGTAAAAATGTATGTTTAACTAAAGTGAAGTTTCACACCACACACAGGATTTATTACAAAACTATTACATCTCAATCCAAGATGTTCACTGCTCATAACATCATAACTTGGATTTAAGATCTTTTTGTTAAAACTAATCAAATTGGGCTGTTGCAAACATAAAATGTCAAGATTTTATTATCAAGCTGAACAATGGAATATTCATCTTGTGAAGATTGAAGGGGAGTGAAATGGAGTAAGGGGGAATACAAATGAAATAACATTAAATGAATAAATAATCTTACCGAGGGCTGCCAGCGTGGTGAATAGGACAAACCTGATCATGTCTGTGGTCCGCTGAACTTTCCGCAGTAGTGTCTGGGGTCCCCTCTCTCTTATATACCACTGTGCTCTGTGGACCGTATGGGACTATGTATATGGCCCACCTGTGTCTCTCCCACACTTATCACTGCTACATGGTTCCAGGAAATGCTGAGCCAAATAACATGCATGTGATATGTATGTATGTGTTATATAATAATATAGGTTGTTTGCAGATGTTACAATGCTTTAAAAATTCCATATACCACAATTCTTGTATTGGTACATGGCAGATAGGCTGAAATGTGTCAATAAAAAAACAAACAAACAAACAAAAAAATTAAAGATGACAACTTTTTAAGCCTTCACAGCCGTGGACCACTTTGGGACAAATAGCAATAGCAACAAAGGCTCAGTAGTTAGTTTGATTTCCGCTCAAACCACTGCTTCCACATTCATTCATTAGCCTATTCAACTATATAAGCCTTTGTAACTTTTTTACACAATCTTAACTCTTGTGAGCTTTAATGCTAGAATGTTGTTACCTCCTTAAAAACATACCTGGAGGTGTGTTGTGTTTCATTCATACATGTTTGCGTAATCCTTTACTATTAGTCTGTCTACATCTCCAAATCTCCAAATGCTCTGTTCCACCTTGTGATGTCATGTAGTGATAGTTTTCAATGGCTACCTTTTATCTTTTGTTCAGTAGAGATTAGCGATTCCAAGGCTGAAACCATTCACATGATTCTAGTGAAGTTGTATGGAGTTTAAAAACATGGTGGAGCACTTCCTGTATTTGAACCAAGTATTTTCAATTTGAGAGAAGAGCTCAGACTAAATATGCAGAATTTGTGTTTTAAACATGTGTGAAGGAAACAAATCACAACTCCAGGTCTGTTTTTGATAAGAAAACACTCATCCATCCATCCATTCATTTTCTTCTGCTTATCCAGAGCTGGATGGCAGAGGCAGCAGGATAAGCAGGGACTCCCAGACTTCCCTCACCCTGGACACTTCCTCCAGCTCCTCTGGGGTGACCACAAGGTGTTCAGCTGAGAGACATAGTCATTCCAGTGTGTTCTGGGTCTTCCCCTGGACCTACTGAGGTAGGTGTCCAGAAGGCATCCGGAACAGATGTTCGAAACACCTCAGCTGACTCCTCTCGACATGGAGGAGCAGTGGCTCTACTCCAAGCTCTTCCCATGTGACTGAGCTCCTCACCCTAGGGAGCGCCTAAGGGAGTGCCCAGCCATCCTGCGGAGGAAACTTATTTCGACCACCTGTAACTGCAATCTTGTCCTTTCGGTCACTAGCCAAAGCTCATAACTATAGGGGAGGGTAGGAACATAGATTAACCAGTAAATCGAGAGCTTCACCTTTTGGCTCAGCTCCCTCTTCATCACAACAGTCCAATACAGAAAACCACATTACTGCCGACGCTGCACCAATCAACCTGTTAATCTCACACTCCAGCCTCCCCTCACTCGTGAACAAGACCCCGAGATACTTGAACTCCTCCACTTGAGGTAGAGACCCTCCACACTCCCAGAAAGGGCAAGCCACCTTTTTCCGGTCGAAAAACATGGCCTCGGATTTGGAGAAGCTGATCCTCATCCCAGCAGCTTCACACTCGGCTGCAAACCGCCCCAGTGCACACTGCAGGTCCTGGCTTGATGAAGCCAACAGGACAACATCATCTGCAAACAGCAGAGATGAAATCCTGTGGTCCCCAACCCGGACCCCCTCCAGCCCCTGACTGCGCCTAGAAATTCTGTCAATGAACAGAACCAGTGACGAAGGGCAGCCCTGGCGGAGTCCAGCAGGCACCGGGAACAAGTCTGGCTTACTGCTAGCAATAAGGCAATTTGGTAAGAAATCATTATAACATAAATCACAAAATTGCATAATATGTACAGTTTAAAGTGGAACTAAACATTAAATCAACTCAACTCAGCTAATACTAGTATTATGTACTGTTCTTAGTTTTTTGAAACTGAGTATTCAGTGGCCTCACAGCACTGCCTTGATTACAGCCAGGTGTTTCAGACAACAAACACTTGGCTGCTGGGGCGGAGTTTGAAGTGTGGACCAATCACACTGCTCCTTATACCCCCAGACCCCACACCTCTTCCCCACCACTCTTTTCTTGATCCAGGTACTGCCCAGTTTAGCAGCAATATTTGAAATTTGGTTTAAAAAAAATAAAAAAATAAAAATCCAGTCACTACGATTGCCCTTCACCTAAATACTACCAGTTTCCATTGGCAGAACTCAGTGTCTAAAATGCCAAATATTTATGTAGACCTTTCGAGGCATTTGTTCACAATGGGATTTCACTACATGTTAACAGCTCTTTCAAATCATTGTTTTATTCAGAGTTGTAAACTAAAATGTCACTTCAGTAAAAGATTGTGAAAAACAGTCAGCGCTGAGGAGAGTGACGAACAGAGACGAGAGTTGAATTATTTTCACTTTGAAGAAATGCATTTTTTTGAGACAATTCTGACAAGCAATCTGAACAAAACAAATCGAGAAACACCAGGGAGGCACAAAATCATTATAATTGTAAATGATCTTTATGTAAACTTGGTGGGCGAGTTTGAAATGTGTTCATTCAGGTTTGAAAACGCATCCACATGTGGCTCTCTCACACTTATCACTGCCTCTGGAGAATACTGAGTCAAATAAAGTCTCTGTTTTTCCATTTGTTTGGATAACCTTGAGAGAAGATCTATGTCTTGTACATACGCACAACCAATACTTTTATTTATATTCTAGTATTATTCTAGTCTTATAGGAGAAATAACATTCACACAAAATGCACTTTACACATTGTTAAAAACTTTATTCAGATAGAGTTTGACAGCGACAGAATTGGTTTGGTTTGCGTCTCCATGACAATGTCTCTTCGGTTTAGCCCATAATCCAAAGAAAGAAGACAAAATGAGAGATTATGTGATACTACAGGTTTTCTGTTTCAATCACAATTTGTAGCTTTCTTTACAATATAATAATCTTTTTCTACAATATTAATAATAGTGATGATATTGACAATAAGAATATGATATGTAAACCAATTGCTTTTGTTTTTTTCCAGAGCAATGAATATTTGATTGTCACTTGCTCTATGGTACAACAATAACAATGTAATTTTGGCAACTCTCCAGTTGGGGGGAACATGCTTTACCCATATAGAGTTTTAGTCTACCTGATATATATATATATATATATATATATATATATATATATATATATATATATATATATATATATATATATATATATATATATATATATATATATATATATATATATATATATATATATATATATATATATATATATATTATATATATATAATATAATACCAACCAGACATAGTGGTGGTGGATAAGAAACAGAGCAGAGCCGTGGTGGTGGACATCGCAATACCAAGCGATGGTAATATCAGGAAAAAGGAACACGAGAAGCTAGAGAAATACCAGGGGCTCAAGGAAGAGCTGGAGAGAGCCTGGAAAGTAAAGGCATCAGTGGTGCCTGTGGTGATCGGAGCACTCGGGGCTGTAACCCCCAAACTGGAAGAGTGGCTTCAACAGATACCGGGAAAAACAACGGACATCTCAGTCCAGAAAAGTGCAGTACTGGGAACAGCAAAGATACTGCGCAGAACTCTCAAGCTCCCAGGCCTCTTGGTAGAGGACCCGAGCTCAATGAGGGTGAGAGACCTACCACCGTGGAAGGTGAGAAACACACTATATATATATATATATATATATATATATATATATATATATATATATATATATATATATATATTTTTTTTTTTTTTTATCTTAACTCCAGAAACACTGTCCCACTCGCTCAAAATCCATGTGTGTTGGTTAAAGCACTTATGCTGTTCATCCAGCTGATGTAGGCAGATGCTCTGGTGAACACTGTGGGCTTCCTGTAGGCATTACAGCCAGAGGAGGACACAAAGCTGGTCCCACCATGAATCACCCATTTACCACTGACACTGCAGTTCAGAGGGCCTCCAGAGTCACCCTAAAGAACCAAAAACACACACAAAAACATGTATTCCAGATAACATTTTCAAAGCTGGTTCTCATGGTCCCTCAGTGTTCAGAAGTGCCTCCAGCCGTCTTTAGCAGAACATGAGTGCACTACACTCTGACTCTTTGTGTGGTTTAAGCAAGAGCACTGAAACTCTGCTGATGCTGCAAGAACGCAGTGTGAAAGTGCACTGTAAAATATCAAATATGGTGGAATGGAGTCACACTAGGGGCTCAAGGGGGCATTAACTTTAGCAAAGGAACTGTAGCTACACTTATTATTCACGTCAAGTGTCACATTTCAAACATGCATTTCTTCTTCCATCTGTACCTGACATTCAGAGTCAGACCATAGTGTCCTTGACGATGCTGCCCCACCAGCCAGAGCTGGAGCAGGTTCTGTGGTCCACTGAAGGGAGGTAGGCCTGTTTGAGGTTGGCAGACTCAGTTGGCTCAGTTTAGCAGCTTTATTTTTAAATTTGGTTAAAAATCCAGTCACTAATATTGCTCTTCACCTAAATACTACCAGTTTCCTTTGGCAGAACTCAGTGTCTAAAATGCCAAATATTTATGTAGACCTTTTGAGGCATTTGTTCACAATGGGATTTCACTACATGTTGACAGCTCTTTCAGATCATTGTTTTATTCAGAGTTGTAAACTAAAATGTCACTTCAGTAAAAGATTGTGAAAAACAGTCAGCGCTGAGGAGAGTGACGAACAGAGACAAGAGTTGAATTATTTTCACTTTGAAGAAATGCATTTTTTTGTGACAATTCTGACAAGCAATCTGAACAAAACAAATCGAGAAACACCAGGGAGGCACAAAATCATTATAACTGTAAATGATCTTTATGTAAACTTGGTGAGTGAGTTAAAACGCTTGAAATAAACGTGTTCATTCAGGTTTGAAAACAGAGATGATAACAGCTGGAGCTGGAGAATCTATACATTAAAGGGATTATATTATG